GTATACTTTGTATTTTAAATAGAATACTATCGTACGCTTGAGAAAACCAGCAGCCAATATATACCACCTTTCTATATAAAATAAAGCATTTGAAGAAGTAATTAATCTTGAACCAGATATATTGCTTTGAAGAACGAGGTAATTTCTTAAAATTTCCTTTCCCTTGTTGGTAGAGAGTGTAGCATTTCGATGTAGAAACCATAACAGGGGAAAATAACAGTATGTTATTTAAATATTTATGCCATAATTTATACAGAAACTGGGTCGAACTGGGGCTATACTGGGTTTTCTGGGGCCCCAGTCACTGGGTCTGGGTTGGGCCTGGGTTATGAGGTTTCGACCCAGACCCAGACTGGGTTGGGTTCTGGGTCGAGACCTTCGACCCAAACTGGGTCGTGCGGAAGTCTACTCAAAACTGACTATACCCCTGACTTGATGGGACTCCTATGGGACTCCCACGGGACTCCCGCGGGACTCCTATAGGATACCCGTGGGACCCCCACTATTATAAAGCTTGCTTAACCAATCGGGGAGCTGTAAATAGAAGGTCTTACTATCTTATGATCTATCTTCGCGCTAGTTATTACTCGGCCTACTATAGAGTACTCAAGGTATAGAGGATAGATGCGATCGTTAATCAGAAGATTTTTGAGAGGTAAGTCAAGATTATTCTATCCTTATTATACTCCTAAGTCCCTCCCCTCTTTACCCCAGTCCTCTACGATATAATGATTATTGGAATATCATGTCTCAATACGATCTTTATACTGAGGCTAGCCCTTCGTCCCAGATTGCCTCCTCGTAAATTGGGATACCTCCACTATCTTCACTCTATAATCTTGATTTGATAGATGAACCCCTTACACCAGACTATTCGATTAGCCAGCAGCCGATTTATAGCGTACCACCATCCTCAGTCGTTCAGTCCGAAATTGAATCAACACCTCTTCTACCTAGTCTTCGTCGAATCGGTCCACGAAATCAAAAGTTCTGGGTTCTCTGGACTATAGAGAATAAGGCAGAGTTTATTGAATGGTGGAGGAATATAACTGGTGCTTATCTATACCCTCCACTCTATAAAGTGAACTTCGAAGCACGATATATATCTTCTGCTTGGGATCAGTTTGACTAGGTAGCACACTATTAAACTGGAAAACTAATGGCACTCTGTCGGAGATGTGGAAAGGTGCTATCGCACCTATCATCAACCTTGAATGGGTCGAAATCCCTAACTGCGCACTTGAGTAGCCGCGTATATAAAACTAGCGCACAAAAGGACTCAACCCAACAGGATATATAACAATCGTTTGAACTTTCGGTAAGACTAGGGTCTTATAAATAATCTATCTAAGGCTAACTTCTATATTATTCTTAGTCAAACCGTGTATCTACTCGAAAGGCCTTTAATCTACAAAGATTTGAGAGAGCCTAGGTAAAATTTATCGCAAACTCTCGCCTTCTATTTCAAATCCTCCGGCACCAAGAATTCCAAGATCTTATAGCAGAGGCACAGCTTTCACCACAACCTTTAAGCCTTCTTTCACCGAAAACTGCGCGGCGTCGACTCCAATCGATTGTCTAGGCAGAACAGCAAAAGCTACTCTCCTACCTCCCCGCTGGGGTAAAGCTCTCGATTGCTCTTGACTGCTGGACCTCACTATTCCAATAAGCGTTTATAGCGATCACAGGGTATTTTGTGGATATCGATTAGGTATATCATGAGATACTTCTAGGCTTTATACCGGTTTATAGCTAGTATACCGGCGCTTACTTGGCAGAGGTTCTCCTCGGTGTTCTTTCTGACCATGGGATCGTTGATAGGGTGATTGCAATTACTACTGATAATGCGTCAAACAACAAAACCATGGTTAAAAGTCTTTGTAAATCGATCCGATAGATAGATCTCCCGGATTCCACTGAGATTATACGGGTTCTATGCCTTGCCTATATGATTCAGCTGAGTCTAAAAGATCTTCTTGGCTTGATAAAGGCCAATCCAAAGAATGATAAAACCGCGACCGTATGATCAGAAGAAAATAGGAGTATCCTTCAGTAAGCAAAGCTACAGAAGGGAATTATTTATACACTTGCAAAGGTATATATCTAACCTCTATAAAGGTATCTTATATTAATCATAATTATAGGTTCGCGCTTTTGCTGTATTTATCAATGCTAGCCTACAGCGACAGGAGGCCTTTCTGAATCTCCAGAGCGACGGAATAAAGCTGGCTCCAATCCAAGATATCCGCACTCGGTGGAATTCTATATATCTTATGCTCCAGCGTGCCAAGCGCCTTTAGACAATATTCCAGCGGTATTGTACAGAGCACCAGCGCCCTGAGTTCTATATCAGTAAAGGGGAGTGGCGCCAAATCGATTACCTACTCTGTATCACAAAGCCTTTCTACAAGTGGACGGTCGGTCTATCAAAGATCAAGACAATAACTATTCACAATGTTTTTATGGTATATAACCGGCTATTTATATATTTTGAACAATCCTAGGCCCGACTTCGTCGTAAGAAGGTGCCCTGGAAGAAGGCTATACTAGCGGCTCTTAAAGCTGGAAGGGAAAAGCTTTCGGTATACTACTAATTAACAGAGGAAGCCTATGGTAGCTTATACGCTATAGGTACTATTCTTGCTCCCTAGTATAAGCTCAAGTTTTTTGAAGGCCCAGAATGGTTAGGTCAGGTTCAGCTCAATGATACTATTTCCTCTTAGTATGATATATATAAGTCTTCGCTTTATAGCTATCTTAAAGACTATTCGAAATATCAGCCAGAAAGGGAAGTACCACCTACAGCGATACCTTCGGTATATTATACAGAGGATGAAATAGTAAGCCTTCTCGCTGAGGATCAGCTACCGCCCCCACTACTATCAAAAGCCACTGGTTGGGAAGAAGAACTTAAGGGATATCTCAATCTTGGTAAGTTTATACTATCCTTTTACTATTTTACGAACCACGTTACTAACTCTCTATAGAATAGAGCGCAACGAATCCATGCTATTTCTGGAGGGAGAATACGCGTAACTTTCCGACACTCGCAGGACTTACACAGGACGTCTTTTCGATCCTAGCTACAGGCGTAGGTGTTGAGCGTCTCTTTAGTACTGCTCGCGATATTTGCTATTACCGACGGGGCTCTTTAAATAAATCGACGATTCAAGATCTAATGATACTCCGTTGTTTATCAAGGTTTGATATTAGAGATAAAGAAACTGAGGATACTGTTCAACCTGAATCCGTTCTTAACCAAGACGAAAGAACAGAGATTGACGAACAAAGGGAGGTAGGACTTCCTGACTATACGCCAGAGCCAATCAGTGATGGTGAAGATAGCGAAGACAGTGTAGACGATGAAGCCGACAACGTTAATCCAGACAATATGGATACCGCCACAGAAGAGGCAGAGCCAGATCATTCTATACGCCACCAATTACCAGTGATTCCGTTCAGTCAACAACGTCCCCAAAGAGAACGCAAGCGACGAAGAGATAATGATTTGTATACTTATATATAATAGAGATAGATTAGTATAGAATTTTTTAACAGCTGTTAAAATATCAAATTCTACTGTCTATCAGAAATTGCGCTCTAGATATAGCACTGCAAATCTACTATTTTTGTCCTAATACCAAGCCCAAAGTATTATTATCTCTATTCTTTGAGTAATTAAAATACCCAAAAAAACAGTGGCATTCTTTATAAGTTATGCAGGTCACATTTTTCTACATGTTTGCACTGTTTACAGTCCCATGGGAGTCCCATCAAAGTCCCATGGGAGCGGACTGGACTGCTTAGTCCCATTCTTGGCACTCCCATGGGACTTGATGGGACTCCCATATGGTCCCATGGGATAGTCCCATGGGACCACTCCCATGGGAGTTGGCAAGGTCTAGTCCCTTTGCTTGCTTCTCCTATCGAGTATAGCTTATTTTATATACGTCTACTTGGTCTCTCTATTTCCTTCGATCTGTTTCGGTACCCTCTTTAGGATATTCTGGTTGTACCGGTTCCTTTAGAGTATTAGGTCGTTCAGTTGACGGGGTATCCGGGTTGCAGTGATCCTAGACATTTTTTTGCATTGCGTATAGCTGCACCTTCGCAAACCAGGTGAGCTATTGCGGTGTATCCTTCAGTTTATCGCCCTTTATAGCGGAGAGAATCGATGCTGTTTCCATTGCTGGATACTGTATTGTTTTGATATGAAATAAGGGATAACTTTCTGCGGAGTGGCTTCGTGGAGGTTTATAAGACAGTTTCTAGCAAGTTGCTAGGTACTATATGCCGATATAGTAGTCTTATTCAGTGCGAACCGGGCTTATAACTGTCCGACTACTCCGTATGGTGGAAATATATAGGTCCAATCAATGGTCTTCAACTCTCCGTATTGCTGTATTGACTTCCTGGCAATTTATACTGTCCTGATTACATAAGAAATATTACTGCATACTTAGGATTAATAAATCCTCCGGTATCCTGGTGGATCTGCGCCGACACAACATTTTCAACTCACAAATGGATTTGTACCAGTTACTCTCATTGTCAATGGAGATATATTATATAAAAGTGCAGCTGCTCTTACAGCGGTACTGAGGATTTATTTCTGCGAGTTTATCCTTTTTTGGCTTTTTGATCATTTTCAATATATATATTTCCAAGCTATGGTGAGTTATTATTCTTCTGCTCTTTATTGTTGCAAAAACTAAATTTTCACAGTTGTCTCGCTATCCTAGGATCAGTCATCTAGATCAAAGTTAATATCGATGTCGTGTATCTACGTGCCCATATAGGTTAGCCTACCCCGTAGTCGGGGTAAATCAAGAGCGTTCTCCCCTTTAGACCCCTCCAGCTCATATCACCTCCTATCTTGTTGATGCCACCACATCGAAGAACCCGCGCATCTATTGCTTGCGAACGTTGCAAGCGCCGTAAGACGAAGGTAACATCATGATAAAGACTTGAAGCAGCGATAATTACTGACAAAATATAGTGTAATGGCGAGCTCCCCATATGTTCGGCATGTGAGCGGTCAGGATCCAGTATGCTTTCAAATCTATATCTCTCAAAATGATAAGCAGTGTTGAGATTCTAAGAAGCGCAGATTGTACATGGCCAACATTGCCTCAGCTTGATGCCCTCCACACCACAGAGCACTCGCAACTGGTGCAGCATGCTAGCAGACTAGAAAGACAAGTTGCCGACTTACAGGATCGCCTCCAGTCCCAGCAGAGGAATGAAAGCTGCACTCATGAAGTCGCCCCGCATTCTATCTCGCCGATAGACTACCATGGCGAGCTATCGACGGATGTCGTGCTCTTGAGTATGAACGCCGCTGCAGAGCCGTCATTTGTCGGTGCAACATCGGGCTTCTCGCTTTCTAGGCTCGTGGAGGGAATTTTGTCACAGTCTATGTTAACAGAAAGAGCTAGAGGTAACGACACCACTGTGTCTGGACAGACACCAATGCCAGAGCCTTCCGTGGCCACAGATCAAGAGGATGTGTTGATCGCTACATTTTTCCAACGAGTGCATCCTCGATATCCACTTCTTGATGAGGTTTCCCTTCAGGATTTATTTCGTCAAACCACCCGAGACAAAGACCACAATGCTCCCAATCTCTTCTTACTGTATATGGTTTATGCTATTGCCGCAAGAACCATTCAGCTGCACCCCGAGATGCGTCGATGTACAAGCCCAGAGGTATGTCACGTCATAGGAGTCCAAGAATATATTCAATTCTGAAACGCGCCTAGACATACTTTACACGTGCCCTTCGCCATATCGACTCCGCTCTAGCGAGCCAGAGCCTGCAACGGGTCCAAGCCCTCCTATTAATTGCGATCTACCTTCTCCGAACTCCCAGCAATGTGTCGAATCTTGGAAGCTGGCACATTATTGGACTTGCCATCAGACATGCGGTCGAGATGGGTCTTCACCGTAATCTTCGTGATTCTCGGGCGAGGCAGTTGAATGCAGACGACCTGAATCTACGCAACCGTGTCTTTTGGAGCGCGTACATTTTGGATCGAGCCGTCTCACTGACCCTTGGCAGACCATTTGCCCTCGCAGAACATGAGATTGACGTTCCGGTAATTTCCATTTGATTTTGAGCGAGTATAGTGCTGCTAAATACTTATCAACAAACAGGTACATGACTCGAGAAAGTACCAATCGTTCACCCACATGTGCCATTTGCGACGGCTGGAAAGTCGCATACACCGTGAAATATTTGGTGCCGACGTGCACGAAGCTTCCGATGAAAAGATTGACTATTTCCGGTATGAGCTGGACGCCTGGCGAATTGCTGTCCCAGTCCCGATAGATGCCTCCTTTGTTCTCCCTGGTTACTCAGTGTATGATACGAGGGAATTCTTCGATATTCAATATAGCAAGGCGTTACGTATGTTACTTCAGCGACGCATCACTATGGCAAAGAAAGAAGCAGAAGGAGACACTTCAAAGACAGCAGAGTATCTAACACTGAGTGCTCGGGCAGCTGGGGATATCTGCCAACATTACAAAGTGCTGCATCAGCGGAGCCCATTGGGCTGGAATCTCCTGGCGCTACATTCTATCTTCACGGCCGGTCTGACCCTTTTATACTCCACCTGGACTAGAAAGGAAAGACCCGACCTCGTCGCGTTGGAAGATATCCGAGCCTGTTCGAGTGTTCTGTTTGCTATTTCAGAGCAATGGCCGTCGACAAAACGGTTCAGGGATATTTTTGAAACTCTAACGCGGGAGATGATGGAAATTTTGAAACGCAGCCAAACCCAGAATTGGAACGGATTATTTCCAGTCGATGCCAATCCTTTCGGAGGTGAGGGCTTTTGGTCAATTTTTGATGATTTAGTGGAAGATGATTATATTCGCGATCAGTTTAGGCTTGAGGAAATGATGGGTTAAATTGTTGCAATTTCAGATATATTCATTCATCGCAACTCGAAATCTTGAAATGTGCCCTCACATGGGCAGCCTTTACAAACTCGCACTGTGCGTTTAGACAGGTTATAAACGACACAGCAGACAGTCGACGTGGGACCAGAATATGGCCCAGAATTCTCCTGCTTGGAACTTTGCCCCTCAACAGCATGCTCACATAGACTATGCGGATAACCAGCATGATCCTGGAACGCCGCCGTAATATCCTGTTCGATCAAATTTTCCTTCTGTGCCTGTGCGCGCAACCCTGCTTCGAGCCGCTCACCGCGATACCATGAACTCCCTCCAAGGTATGCATCGGCAATTTGCGTCTGTGACAGGAAGGGCCCAGTCTGGAAGTGGTTGCTGTGTAGGAGATACGGCTTTTCTGAAGCCGATGAAATGACGGACCTGAAGATCGTCTGCGGTGTCACTTCTAGACACATACCAATATCGTCAGCAGATGAGACCATAATATTAAATGAGACGTGGCGTGGGGTTCTAGCGATGCATTTCAGTCCGACTGAGTAGTTAGACTGCTCAAGAAATAGACGTCTCAATGCCCCAGAGGGGGGATAGGGATTGATAAATCAGGAGCTTGGTCAATGTTGCTCTGCAGAGAGTTCGCTGTGAGGCCTAGCCCGGCACTGTTGCATCCTGAGCGACCCAGCTGACCTGCTTCAGTGACAAGGAACATTGAAGGGATGTTTTCGGAGGCATCTGGATGAATTTCGAGGTAGATAATTGCGTCTTCAGTGACTAGTCGGTGGGACATATCCCAGTTCTGCGCTGTGAACACTACCCGGTCCCTTGTCGCGGGGGAAAGAATGATTGCGGAGGTGCATTCTTCTGCGACTTCGACCTGCTCTTTTTCGTCGACAGGCTTCTCCTCGGTTGCAGATTTTTTCTCGGTGATAGGTTCAGAAATTTCCATGGCATTTGACTCTTCCCCGCCAACTCCAATGGTGGGCGTCTCCTGAGAGATTTCAGGAATAGCTTCCACAGTCTTAGATTCTTCTGTGGCGGGAGTCTCAGAAACAACCTCGAACTTGACATGCGAGAGGTCATATCGCGCATTCAACATGACGATGTCTTCGATTGTAACACCAGCACCAGCGGCAACACCACGCATCTCTTCCCATCCCGATGGCCAGTAACGCTGTAGCCCCGGAATGTAGCAGTTATGAATGACTCTCGAAACCGAAGACCTGGAAATCAGCATCATCCAACAAATATTTGAGAAACAAGAGGCCTACCATGGTCCTAGTTTGCCTGGCTGCTTATAGTACGTGACATTGCGCTGGATCTTCTCCTTGGTTTGCTCACCGTAGGAGAATCCGCGGTCGTACGGTAATCCGTGGACCACCACATGCTGGAAAAACGGATGCACAGACATATTCTGACAGGTATTGGAGTATTTTCTGCAGATCTACCAGAAAGTCAATTGGCTATCAGAGAGGCTTATCCGGAAGATTGGCGTTCTTTATGAACTATTTACTTCGGCAGCTTCCCGATGACTGCAAATGGTTAGGGTTAGCTTATCTCGGAGATATCGGTTGCTACCGAGACATCGGTATGAGCCGATATATCGGCATTGCCGACACTTAACTCTCGGCTATGATCCCGTCATATGTTTATTATCATGACTATCATTACCCCAGGTCAGATGAAGGAGCGCTATTGATAAGAGAATGAAAAAACAGTGCGGGGAATATCGTTAGCTCCGAGTGGCTGCAAGAGAACCCGTGAAGTACTTATTCTCCTTCAACCGCCAGAAGCATGTCCTTTCGTCGATTAGAAATACTCTTTTGTGTGTTCCCGACAACCAAAGTAGCTTACAAAAATGGGAGAACACAACATACAGGAGACTACCGTCCCCCAAGGGGAGAAGACTATGCATGACAAAGGATGCGATGATGCCGCAGAGATGTTCAACGGCGACCTGGTGGTGGAGTACAGCGCAAGAGAGGAGAGTATTGTCCGCTGGAAGCTTGATCTATCGCTCGTTCCTATGGTAAGAGTCACTCACTGAGCCCCGTCGTTAATATACATACTTAGTACTAGGTGTATAGATGCTCATAACCTATTTACTCTCCTTTGTCGACAAAGGGATCCTATCGACAGCCGCAGTCTATGGACTCCAAGAGGACCTAGTAAGAACATACCCATTCACAGGTTTATGGTTGTCCCCAAATTAACAGTTCCAGCGCCTCGAAGGTCAACAATACAGCTGGTCCAACTCTATATTCTACTTCGGGTATGTTGCTCAATCCCATTCTGATCTATTCCCTGGTCTAATTAAATACAGCTTCCTCGTCTGGCAGTACCCCAACTCTATATTCATGCAGCGACTACCGATTGGTCGCTGGATAGGAGGCATGGTATTTCTCTGGGGTCTGTGTGTCGCAGCCACGGCAGGTGTCACCAATTTCGCGACGTTGGCCGTTGCCCGGTTCTTCCTAGGCGTGTTTGAGGCATCTAACAACCCCGTATTTACTCTCCTCGTTAGCCAGTACTATACTAGACAGGAACATGCTTTGCGGGCATGCTTGTGGTGGGCTGGCGGTCCGATCGCAGCATTTATTGGCGACGGCGTGTCGAACGGAGTCGGCCATTTCCAGGGCGCATTGAGCAGATGGCAATATCTGTACCTGATCTTTGGTCCCATTACAATGGCTTGGGGAATATTCCTCTTTTTCGCCATGCCCTCCTCCCCCATGACTGCGTGGTTTTTGACCCCCCGGGAAAGGCAGATCGCAGTTGTCAGGGTATGTTTCATTTTCACACAAAACAGGATCATTACTGATTGATCTTCCAGGTCTTGCAAAATCATACTGGATTGAAGAACCGGCAGTATAAGAAATACCAGGTCATAGAATGCTTCCGTGACCCCCAGGTGTTGATGCTCTTTGCCATTGTGTTCCTTCAATGTATTCCCGGGGGTGGATTAACTGCTGTAAGAAAAAAAATCCAACGTGCATGATTTTGGTAACTGATTTTTCTTTCAGTTCAACAAAATCATTCTCACAGGACTTGGCTACACAAGTGTCGAATCGACAGTGGTTGCCATGCCGGAGCATGCGATTCAGCTCGTCTCGGTAGTACTCGCGTATGTTGCTTCTAACTTTAACTCCTTGCTGTTCTATTTCTAACAAATCAGTGGCGGGGTCTGTTCCTATATTGGCAAAGGACGATGCATCGCGATGATTTTGAGTAATATCTGCGTGCTGGTTGGGAGTGTTCTACTTTACAGTGAGTGGTCACAATCCCTATTTCCCCTTGATAATATTAATGGTTGCAGCTCTTCCTGCCGAAAGAAAGATGTCACGTCTGGGTGCCGTTTACTCCCTCCTCACATGTACTGTCTCATACATCATGTGCATGTCAATGATCGCATCCAATATAGCTGGATTCACCAAGAAGATGACAGCAAGCGTAAGTGCACCTGTACTATTCCTACACTACAGGAAGCAACGTTTATTGATGCTATTTAGGTGATGATTTTTGTTGGATATTGTATTGGCCAAATTATTACGCCGCAGTTCTTTATCAGTTCTGAAGCACCGACATATCCCACGGGATTCCGGGCATATTTCGTCACTGCGTCGATGATGATTGTCATTGAAGCTACTTTGATGTAAGTTTTTACTCAAAGATGGAAGTTTTCGGGTTCTAATTTCTATAGGATGTATCTCATAAATGAGAATCGACGTCGCGATAAACGTGGCGAAGCAACGGTTATCGCAGATGAAGGTAACCAACATCATATCTTGGAGACCGATTTGATGGATTTGACCGATCGGGAGCAGCCAAATTTCCGATACACCTGGTGATGAAGTTGACAAAGTGATATAATCAAGTGATTAGAGCACTAGTATAGGAGTGTCATAAATATTGGGGCAGACGCGCAGTCATTACATGACGGAACAAGAGAGAAGTCATATATCTTCAATTTATATTTCACATGCAGTAGCTTTCACATGTTTCCTAAGGCCCCTGGTATTGGAGGAAGGAGTATCGTTAGTATCGTTTGGTCTCTCTTTATCCCGTAGCATCGTGAATTGAAGATTGTAGATGAAAATAGACCAAGATTCAAGATGCCGCAATCTCAATCCTTAGGTTTAAGATGTGGTCATAGATATGTAAGCATGTGCTGACTGGATATATTCTTCCCCCATCCCAATTTCTGTTTGTCTATGTGCAGAGTTTTGCAGTTGTATAATGAGTGCAATAGGCATGGGATAAAGTAACAACAATAGTCGTGGACCCCCGGGGCCGCTTACAGCCTCGCTTTTTAGCAGTCTTTGTCTGAGTACTAGTTTCTTCTCAAATTCAAACCTAGAATGACAACCAGACAGAAGGCTGTTCTATGTATAGCCAGGGATATGAAGAACTGACCACTTGACTGGCCTCACACCAGCATGATCTCTGATATTCATTGCGTTTGCATTCTCAATGCCTTCTTTGCTGTCTGTCTAGCATGACGAGGCATAAAAGACGTAATTCTAGAACCGAAGTTCTTAAACACAAAAAGCACGTATATTTAGGTGATCCGGGTGCCCTAAATAGACTAAGTTGATTCCGTTTCGAAGCATAGCAGCAAGCAGCTACGGCTATCTGATGGGATTCAACTATTGTGTAATTAAAAGATAATGCAAGGGAGTAACACTGGTCATTACTCCATGGTTGAGATATTGCTGCTTAGTCGTAAAAATGGTCCAGGTGGTTCGCTGACTTGTCGGACTCGGCACTCCACAATATCCCCTGGTCTCTCATGCGACACCCACCACCTTCACAATCCACAGATGCACAAAGAAAGCGATTGCTTCTTTCTTAGTGAGTTTTGGGCTTATAAATATCATTGATACGATGTGAATTGATGAATTCTCCAGGATTCTTCGGGACCGCACTCCGGCCGCGCGCACACGCTACAGCTATGCAGAAGAAGAAAATCGGAAGAAATATTGAAAAGCAATATCCCTATTCTTGTCATTGGGTTTATAACAATAACGAGAGACCGATATCGAAGCTGAACCTAAGAATAGGACGAGATCGGGAGAAGAAAAACACGAAAAAAAGATAAAACAAACCGGCTGCAATCGCAGAGACAGCAGAGACAGGCGTACATTCATTCCACATGGCAACGTGATCAACTGAAATCCGGAAACGGGCTAATAATATGAAGAAAGCTTCGGACCATTGCGAGAGGGGGGAGGAGGGGGTAAGAGCAATGGGATAAAGAATACATGGGGGGTCATTCAAAGGGACGTTGAGAAAGCACCACACCATCCAGTCGGCAGCAAAGGGATGGGAGCGCAATGGGATAACGAATAGGAGGGCAGAGCCCTTCATCGAACGCAAATAAAAGATGAGAAAACAACCTCGTTTAACGCCTCAAGCAACGCCAATGCTCCGAATAAGCCATTCCCTCTCAAATGGTCAAACAAATCCATGGAAGAGCAATCGTGATAATAATAGAAGCGGGAAAATGAAATTTTTATTTTTTTGAGAAGAGTTTGAAGGACCTCAGGCGGCCGAGGTGGACGGTCCTGCGGTCTCTTTCGGGATTTCATGGGACACTGCTGACTCTGGTGCCAACACGAATTCGGTAGCGGATAGCTCAGTGGAATCTTTCTCTTCAACGACAGGCGCAGGTGCAGGTACAGGTGCAGCTGTAGGCGCCTCGAGACTATGGGGTTCTTCGGGGATAGATGGGGGAAGGCCAGCGCCAGGCAAGGGAGACACGGGTGAACGCATAGGCTCTTCCTTGGGCTGTTCGCGTGGGACTTCGATTGAGGCAGGATTGCCATTTGTCGACACCGCAGCAATGGGGGGAAGAGGCTGGTTGGCGAGGGAAGGGTCGTCCTCTGACCGGGTGGGGCTCTTTGTGCGCTCACGTTCATCCTTGACACCATCCCGAACCTGAGCGACCTTCGCCTTAAACTTTCCGAACAAACTCTTCTTCTCGTGCTCTGACCCTATGGAGGAAGTGCTTTGAATGCCAGCATCCAAGCTCAGTGGGTGACTGGAGAGGTCCGTGCTTTGATAGTGGCCGCTACCGATTGAACTGGTGCTTCGCTCAGCTCGGGGGTTCAGGGGTGGAGACGCGAAACCGAGTCCAAGTTGCTCGCTGGTGCGCTTGGATGACCGATGGAACCGCCAACTACGACGATTTTCATGACGAGAGACTTCATCAGGTTGATCCATGTCAGACTGATCAGTGAACGATGAACGTGAGTTCATCGAGGGTGTGCGCGATTTATGAGGTTGCAGGGAGTGGTCAGTGTGGGGTTGCGAAGTACCCTCTGCCAGAGTCGGGTTCGAGTCAAAGGGGCTCTCTCGGTTGCCGAGCGTAGGAGCATTTGGCGGTCTGGGAGTGGTGTCACCAACAGCAGCTTCCACGGACCGATTTTCATATTTAGGTTGAAGATCCGCACTAGGATCTACACTTGAGCCATGGAGTGAGTTAGCTGAGCTTTGTGCGCTCATGCTTGCACTGCCAGGAATGCGCTTCTTCTTCAAGCGATTCGGCTGTCGAGGTTCTCTTAGTTCACCCTCATTTGGCGGTGACTTTGTGAAGAAGCTTGAAAGTTTGCGCTCACGACTCGGGGTGACAACCTGTGGGGGCGAAGGGACCGGGGGTGAGACGACTGGGGGTGAGGCAACCGCCGTGTTGAGATTCTCATGCGGTTTGGGAGTTTCGCCGAGGCTAAGACGTTCAGCAGTTGCCGGTGGCAATGGGCCATGGGTTGACGTGTGCACATAGGCATTGCCTGGAGTCAGAGAGGTAGTTGATTGACTAGGAGTCCGCTGCACAGGGCGCTGCGCAGGAGTCTCTTCGGGGACTGGCTGAGGACCCGGATGAGAAATCGAATGAGGAACCGGCTGAGGGACCGGTTGAGGCTGCTCAGGTTCTTCGCGCACCGATGGCGTTCGACTAGTTGATTGAGAACTGTGATGAGAAACAGCGAGACCGGAAGGGCTGTTCGAGCCAGTGTCGTGAGCTCGTGCATAACGAGCAGAAGTCAAGATGGGTCCCATTTTTGAGGGTAGAGTGTTGCTTCGGTGGACACCACCTCCTCCTCCTCCACCACCACAGGTGGTTGAGGTGGGAGTTACGGGACTTTGGGCGTTGTTAGAATGCCGTGAGTTGCGCGAGGAAACGGAGACATTTCGTCGGATACTGTCCAACTTGCGATGGCTTTCGGTGTTCGCACTCGCGTTGGATACCGAACGTCGGACGGTTGGGTGAGATGCGGGGCGCGGCATGCCTCCCTCGACTTCTTTCATGGTCTGCTCATCGGCAGCAGTGCCACTCATCCCGAACAGGAAATGGTCTTGGTTCTCAATCAGGAAGATCAACACGTCCTGACTCAATTTATATTCCTCTGGCGACATATCATGCTGGGGGTGGGACAGCAGGCCTGGTTGGAAGATCGCAGCCAGATTAGCCGACGGCATGCGATTCTGATCGGACTTTGATGCGAAAACCGCGAGGAGATCGAGGATATAGAGAAGGAGTTGCTTGTTCAATGGAGGCAGCTCGATGATGAGCTTCTGGTATGTCTCGACAGCCTTTGCATGGTCGAACTTATCGGCATCAGCTGTGTCCTTATCTTCTAAGACCTGTTGCTGGTAGATACGCAGAGGTTCACGGAAGCGCCCATAAAACTCCAATGGCACGATGGGTTCGGGGAGCTGGTTCAGGTATCGGCGAAGTACGTTTGCTGCATCGTGGACGGTGTATCCGGACCAATCGAGTCCTTTTCCATATCGCTCGGGGGAATCGAAGACTTCCTGGAGATCCTTAATGCGCTTGGCCGATCCGTTAAGACGAAAGATGCCTTCGACATCGGTTGCTATTCGAAAATAAATAGGTCAGTGATAACTCATCGAGTTTAGCGAGGTAAATACTAACCTTTTTCTTTTAGGAAAACTCCACACTTTGCAACAACAATGGGCACATATCCATAAATGGAGCTCTGACCGTGATCGTTGGTCAAAGAGATTGCCACATTAGCATACTTGATGCTGACATTGAGCGGAACCCCGAAGATGCCGCGGGATGTTTCAGCTGCGACAAACGGGTTAGCAATTCAGTTCGAGGCGATGAATAACACAGCAAATCAATTGAAGAGCGAGTGAAGTTCGCAGCTCCAACCATGGCGAGTTGCAGCAAATATCTCCTGTGCGACGAGAGGAGTATACACGGGAGTCTCAGGGGAGGGGTGGCGAACCGCCGCAAGCCGGAGAGGAAACATTTACGCGGTCGCCAGACTTCTAATATCACATTCACCAGATATGGCTTACCTTTCAATTCGTCTTTTCTTGTGCTGCGTTTGAACTGCTTCCACCATGAAGCCAAATCTCGCTTTGACGGCGGGGAGTTGGCGCCGACCGGATCGGGTGAGGTGGGGAGAGGGACTGGGTCAGCACCCGGGTGCGACTTGCCGACCGTCACCATGGCGAGTCCGGAAGGCGACTCGAGATGGAGTCGAAGATACTGAGAATCGGAGAAGCGCAAAGAAGTGGGTGTGTCGATCGAGGGATTCGGGAAAGTTGAAGCGGCCCTGCGTCACCGCCCTCGTGTGTGAAATCCTGGGGCTGGGCCCAAAAATAGCACAGACACGTTTCCGAGAAAGGCAGAGCAGAGATGGGATTCGGGAACGAGAATCTGAGAACAAAGAGGTTGAGAAGAAAAGGGAAGGATGTGAGAGTGGAAGTCTGATGGATGAAGGGATGCGAAAGGGCTGAACAGTCAGGGTTTCGAAAGGGTCAATGAGTCGGGGGCACGAGCCAAGAGTCAAACACATATGACAGAGAGTATTGTTTTTTTTTTTTTCGTGTCCTGGGTACAGAGGGAATTTCTTTATTTTCGAGACTATGAGACTATGAATAGCCGATCTAGAGAACCAAGGTTCCCCGAATAAGTTAAAGATGGGTCAGGGTCGGCCTGTCATATAGATTAAATTAGATCGTAGGAGTACGGAGTACAGGTACACAATGCTACAGTGGATTATGATCTCCCATTCTACCACAATATATAACCATCGTGGAATTTCTGGAATTTCTGGAATTTGAGTCGAATGTGAAGAACGGCTGTCCCCGGGGCCTGGGAGTTCAACGTCTGGAACTAACGGGTCTTGGACTGGCTAGAACGTATCCGGACCCTTCTAGGGGGTCTTTGGGAAATTAGTCGCTTGTATCGGGTTTCATATCTTCCGGACAGGTACCGATTTTCTTTTTTTCTGCTTTATTCAACTCGGTTAGATTTTGGGTTAACATTACAAGAATGGTCGGCCACTTATGCGGCCTCGTGATGTCTTTTTAGTGGTCTTTTTAGCACTCCGCACGGAGTAGTCTTCTCAGATATTCTTCTATGTGTCCTTGTTGTTTTAGCTATTTTGTCCTCTACCCTGTATTTTTAGGTAGACGAATTTTCCATACCAAGGATAGCCAATGAAGTTGACGAGGTATACAAATTACCTGCTCAGATATCTTATAAAGTATGTATATACATTATCACTTGGTCTATTGCGGGACAACATGTCTCCGGGACGGGGTAGATCTTCTCTCGAAAGAAATGAACCACTGTACTTGACTTGGAAGTGGCGTCTTCGGCGTTATTTCCCTTCTCTTTGAAAATAATCTTGAAGATGATGCCTACATGTAGTTTGAGGCTTAGACGTCATTTAATTTGTCCAAAAGTGTAAATAATACTAATTATAGCAGAAGGTTTTTCTGCCCTGGTCTATAGCTTTCTATCCACAGGCACAGAAACTTTTCACTACACGTAAAAAATTACTGAAGTGGGATTAGCTGTCCACAGCGTCATGAAGTGAGGTTGAAGAGATATTGGTGACGTTAAGAATCACGTGGATTTTGTATTCCATTTTCGGTATCTTCCTCCGTTCGGATAAATTCTCTTACAGAGTAGGTATAGCTGACATTACAATACATCTATCTATTGGATGCCATGATACATATAAGAATTGATTTATTACGTTCAAGTTTTGCGTGAATTTACAAACTGTGGAAGTAAGGGCGCCTAAGCTATACAAATAATGAAAAAAAAACCGATGTTGATTCAGTTGTGGCCTGGTATCTAAGGCACATCGATTTGAGTCGCCTGGACTAACATTCCTCCGGCACCCGAGAAGCTCAGAACCAGCGGAGCTGGCAGCTGGCAGGAGACTTGTAGAAAGCATCTTACCATCAAAACATCTTTATTTCATTTATCTATCACAATGGAAGGGTAGGTATCTCTTTTGAACTCTCTTGAATTTCCTACTATATTTTCTATTCTATTGTTCCTCATGATCATTCTCTGAGCAAACCGCTAATACGCAAGTGTCACAGACTTAACGCATCGGAACAGCGCGAGTTCGCCGCCCGCATGGAGCGGAAGCAGATGAAGGAGTTCATGACCGTATGTATCTCCTACCTTCCCTGTTCAAATCTAACTTTGCGCCTATCTCCCTGCCCGTGATCCCGTGTCATCACCATCACCAGTCTTCACCCAAGCTCAAGATCTAACATCATTTCCTTCAGATGTACTCCAAGATGGTCCAGCGCTGCTTCGATGACTGTGTCAACGACTTCACCACCAAGTCCCTCATCAACCGCGAGGAGACTTGCGTCATGCGCTGTGTTGACAAGAACCTCAAGAGCTCCGCCCGATTGAACGAGCGCTTCCAGGAGCAGAATGCCGCCATGATGCAGAGCGGTAACATGGGAGGCAACTAAAGGTCTATCTTGATAATAAGAAACATATTGTCGACAATTTTCCGTTTTGGCAACATGCATGCGATGAATTGTGAGCGAGGCGGCTCGATCGACCCGGTTGTCTCCGGCCCGACAGTGGCTTTATACGGAGGTTTAGAGGGATGACAAAGTGGTCGATGACCTATTGGCGAGGAAGCAGACAGGATCGGCTCCTTTCCGTGTACCATAGTGAATAGCACCGGAGATATCTACCTCTCCTCTCCCGGGCTCAAAATATAAAAGACTTGACCAAACTAAGGAAGCAAGACATAACCATGTACGTTGAACCGGTTCGCAGAATAGAGCTTAGCTTAGGTTGTCTTTCTCTCGAACTCCAGATCCATCCGTTGCTGCCATTGAGCAAGTTGGTGGTCGTGAAGCCTAAGGGCACGCGCGTGTTCCTTCTTTTCTTTTCTTTTCCTTTCTTCTTTTTTGTAGCGTATGAACTCGGATTTGAGGTCTGTCAAATGTGCTGTTATTATCCTTCGAGTCAATTTTCCTGACTCAACACTATCTCTCGGGTTTCGGGTGCTGCGAGTTACCAGATGGTGATAACGATTATTCCGCGACTATTCCGCGACTAATGAGATCTTCCGAGGTCGGCGATATGCTGTTTTTGCCAAATAACATTAGTGTAATCATCAAATATGACCTCGAGAGAGAATAACGAATGCAAGCAACCCATTCGCCCTGTAAATTATGCCTACAAATAGATATATAGTGCTTATGTCGTATGTGTAGTGCTGGGCAAACAGGGTATGTATACCCCTTATGAGGGCATTTCCCGCGGAATGCGGGAGCATCTACCCGATCACGCATAATTCTATACGGAAAACATCTTATCTTACTGCGTTTCCCCAAGTGGGGAGAGCATATGAGGGGAGTTTTGTAGCTGTCCGGATCTCCAACTTCTCTTGACGCTTTTATCTTTCCCCTCACCGGATCCACCCCTCTCCTTCAAAAGCCCATCATTTCCTTCTTTCCTTCTTCCACTACCGTATTCTTGGTGTGAGTCTTGATTTTTCTTGGCACCATTTTGGGAATTGCTAACATTGTTCTAGTTTGGAAATCAACATACACAATGGCCAGCACAGTAGGAAAGGTAAATTATTCTTTCCTTTTTACTGAATAATGTTGCTGACTCGGAAATCTACAGACAATCACTTGCAAGGTAAGCTCGATCCGACCGCCCCGCACATATGACGTCGACCAGTACAGCTTGCTGTGAATCATGAACAGTACTGAACAATTCCTAGGCTGCCATCGCCTGGGAGGCTGGCGCGCCTCTGTCCGTTGAGGACATTGAGGTCGCTCCCCCTAAGGCTGGTGAGGTGCGCATTAAAATCCACCACACTGGTGTCTGCCATACCGGTAAGCCCCGCCATCTGCCCCGCCCTGCAGGGAAAACGGAAAACGCAAACTGCAGATAACCCCGTTATCTATGACAACAGTTATTGACATACCTCAGATGCCTACACTCTCTCCGGAAAGGATCCCGAGGGTGCTTTCCCCGTTGTCCTCGGTCACGAGGGTGCCGGTGTTGTCGAGTCCATCGGCGAGGGTGTGACCTCCGTCAAGGTCGGCGACTACGTTGTCGCTCTCTAGTATGTTTCCCGCTCCGATCTCGGAATATCAGCCCACTGACAATTGTAGCACCCCTGAATGCCGCGAGTGCAAGTTCTGCAAGTCCGGCAAGACTAACCTCTGTGGTAAGATCCGCGCTACCCAGGGTAGGGGTGTCATGCCCGATGGCACCTCCCGCTTCAAGGCCCGCGGAAAGGACCTCCTCCACTTCATGGGTACCTCCACTTTCTCCCAGTACACTGTCGTTGCCGATATCTCGGTTGTCGCTGTCACTCCTAAGATCCCCACCGATCGATCCTGTCTGCTTGGCTGCGGTATCACCACCGGTTACGGTGCTGCTGTCGTGACTGCCAAGGTTGAGGAGGGTTCTAACATCGCTGTCTTCGGTGTCGGCTGTGTCGGTCTGTCTGTTGTGCAGGGTGCTGTCAAGAACAAGGCCGGTAAGATCATTGCTGTCGACGTCAACGATGGCAAAGAGGCCTGGGCCCGCAAGTTCGGCGCTACCCACTTCGTCAACCCCACAAAGCTTGAGGGCAAGACCATCCAGGAGCACCTGATTGAGATGACTGATGGTGGCTGTGACTACACCTTCGACTGCACTGGTAACGTCGGTGTCATGCGCGCTGCCCTCGAGGCCTGCCACAAGGGTTGGGGTGAGAGTATTGTCATTGGTGTCGCTGCTGCTGGTCAGGAGATCTCCACTCGGCGTAAGTTACCACCTTTCTTCACTTCCCAATGTATATGTTCCTCTAACACATGTCACAGCATTCCAACTCGTCACCGGTCGTGTCTGGAAGGGATGTGCTTTCGGTGGCATCAAGGGTCGCACTCAGCTGCCCGGTCTCGTCGACGACTACCTCAACGGCGAGCTCAAGGTGGATGAGTTCATCACTCACCGCCAGTCGCTGGATGGTATCAACAGCGCCTTCGATCAGATGAAGGAGGGTGACTGTGTTCGTTGCGTCGTCGACATGCAATAAATGCAATAGTCTGCCAGATGAAAAAAAATACCTCATGTGAAATATGACTTTAATTATTTCTTGGATTCAAATTTTTCTATATAACACAATCCATGGGGAGCATGAGCCTTTGTAAGGTTGGGGTTGTCATCAAGGTCCTCAACCCCGCTGCACCTTGAGTGGTAAATGTGTAAACGCTGATATCAGCAACGTGTTGCTGAAGGCAATGATATTCCTAGAGCCCTCAGTTGAACACCAATGGCCGGAGGATAGATAGCATCGTACCACCCTAGTAGATCAATTAATAGGGGATGGATTTTGAAAGGTCTCAGTGCCTCAAGTTCTTGACGTCTAAGACCCCCTTCTCTCTTCGTCTCTTTGCGTACATCCTAAGGACTTCAAAACACAGTCTCTTGAACCATATCAACGGCCGCCGGAGAAAATCACAGATAACGCGCAGTTTATACATCTTCTACGGGCGATAGTCCGAAATCCCCACCATGTCCGCACCAACAAGCTACTGATAAAGCCCCTAATCTCGGTTCTACTTCGGAATAACGTCTCTGGCGGCCTGTGATAGGTGGTATATAGCCTACATGTAGCGCTATTCATGTATTGATGGGTCTAGGAGGGGCAGCCTTCTGTTATCAAACCCAAACTCAACTCCGCTCGCCGCGGCGATGCCCGCGGCGATGTCTGGGAGGGGTAGTATATAGTCCACGATATCATGGTGTGAAGATGTACTCGATCAGCTTGATTCAAATATTCTCTACATTCAGTCTACGACTATCAGTCTACTTGTGTTATACTCCAGATCAACTCTCTCCACCAAACCACCGCCGCCACCACCACCACCCCCACGTCCTCCACAGTCTATACAGAGTACCTCCACGCAAGATGGCTTCCCAAGACCCAAACCCAGTCCCCCTCCCATCCCCCTTCTCCACAATCCCCCGAACCGCCCTCCTCCTCGGCCCCTCACCAATCCACCCCCTCCCCCCGCATAACCGCCGATCTCGCGCAAAACAACCCTCACCCCCGCGTAACCATCTACGCCAAGCGCGACGACCTAAACTCCGCCTTCGCCTACGGCGGTAACAAAACCCGCAAACTCGAGTACCTGCTCGCCGACGCCCAGGCGCAAGGCTGCACGACCCTCGTCTCCATCGGCGGCGTGCAGAGCAACCACACGCGCCAAGTCGCTGCCGTCGCTGCACGCTCGGGTCTAAAAGCCCGTCTCGTGCAGGAGCACTGGGTCGAATGGGTTGATCCGGGCTACGAGAGCACGGGTAACATCCAGCTCTCGCGACTCATGGGCGCTGATGTGCGACTTGACCCGTCAGGGTTCGGGATCGAGCATAAGAATACCGCGCAGGCGGTCGTAGAAGAGGCCAAGAAGGACGGCGAAAAGCCGTACTATATTCCTGCAGGTGCGTCTGATCATCCGCTTGGTGGACTTGGGTTTGCGCGGTGGGCGTTTGAGGTCAGACAGCAGGAGCAGGATATGGGTATTTTCTTTGATACTGTTCTTGTTTGTGCTGTTACGGGGTCGACGTTTGCGGGGATGATTGCTGGGTTTAAGTTGTTGGAGAAGATTTATCCTGGGGATGCGAAGAGGAGGGTTATTGGCATTGATGCTTCTGCGACTGTTGAGGCGACGAAAGCGCAGGTTTTGCGTATTGCGAAGAATACTGCTGCTAAGATTGGGCTTAGTGAGGAGGATATTACGGAGGAGGATGTTGAGCTGGATGAGAGGTATCACGCTGGGATTTATGGTGTTCCTAATCGACAGACTTGGGATGCTATTGAATATGCAGCGAAGATGGAGGCGTTCATTACTGATCCGGTTTATGAAGGCAAGAGCTTTGCAGGTATGATGGATATGATTCGTCGGGGGGAGATTAAGGGTGGGAATATCTTGTACGCACACCTTGGTGGGCAGTTGGCTTTGAATGCTTACTCCGAGCTTGGTCGAACCAACGAATAGAGATATGAGTAAGTTTAGAGAATGAAGATAGATGACCTTGAAATAAAAAATACAACTACATAAGAATTACAACTTTATGGATAGCAAGTATGTTGTCGTGTGTTTGAACTTGTACATAAACGAGCTTAGGGAACATGGATTACACTTGCATATAATCTACAGCTTTATGAATAGGAAGTATGGACGGTTGTAGCATGTTTGAGCTTATATTGATGAATGAGTGACTATAGTTGGCGCGTAAAGATGATCAAACTAGGGGAGCATGGACAAGTCCTCTAGAACAGCTTGTGCTCAAGGGTCATCTCCGACTCGGGCTGGAGACCAACGCAAGCACGGAAGATGTTGATAAGAGCGGAGCGCTGCTTACCCAAGGCGTTGACGACAGGGGTGCCGGGAGGGGTCAGGGGAGCCTTGAGCATGTAGCTGAGAATGCTCAGGACGCTGTGGAAGCCCTTGTAATCGTCACCTTCGCCCTCAGTCTGCCAGCTGACACGGGTCATCATCTCAGCGAGCACGACAAGATCGATGATGAGAGGCGAGGCCAGAAGCGAGTCCTCACAGATGTTGAACAAGCTGATGGTCTGGTGGCCACCCATGAAGATCTCGGCGTAGTACTCATCCAGAGCACGCTTGTTGTCACCGACAGCAGGCATGTACTTGATGACGACAGTGTGGTCGGGGTGCTCATCCTTCTCGTAGAGGATGTGGTTGGCGGCGACCATGTCGTCGACAACGTTGGACTTGGAGATCTCCTTGGAGCGGAACTGCTTCTGGGAGCTCAGGTTCTTGCCGTCGTTGTTGCCCAAGTGGTTGTAGCTGGCAATGGAGGTGAGCTTGATACCAGCGTTGATCAGGAAGTCAACAAGGGCCGACTTCATCTTGGTCTGGCCAGACTTGAAGTCGTCGCCACCGATGAAAGCATGGTGCTTCTCGGCCAACTGAAGGGCACCGGGGACAAAGGTGTTCTGGGGCGAGCCATTGATGAACGGAGTGTTCTCGAGGATGGCGGCGACAGCGAACACGGTGGAAGGAGCAACCTCCAGGTGACCAGCCTTGATCGAAGCGATCAGATTGTCGGCAGTGTCGTTGACACCGGGGATGATGTCGGCGTAGCGCTCAGTGTTGGCAGTCCACATGATAATCACCTTGTCCAAGCCGTTCTGGGCCTTGAAGTCGCGAATATCCTTCTGGATCTGCTCGACGTGAGCCCAGCAAGCCTTGTCGCCCTCGATGACGTTGTCGGCACGGTCCTCCTGGTTGGCAGCGATGAAGTCGGGGTAGTAGATACTAGGCAGCGGCTTCATCTCGGCCATCTCCTTGCGGACCTGGTTCTTGAGAGTGGGCTCCAGCACCTGAGCACGGTCCATGGACTCGGCAAGGTTCAGGCTGCTGATATCCCAACCGCCAATGGCCAGATCGTTAGGGTGGACCATGGGGAGCAGATCGTGGAAGGGGATGTTGATCTCCTCGCCGGTCTTAGCATCGGAGCCCAACTTGACAGTGGAGCTCATGACGATAGAACCGTAGTAGTTGGAGGTCTGCTTGCCATCGCGAGTCTCCCAGGAGAGCTTGCGACGGTTGGCCATAATACCAGCAGTCACGGTGGAACCGTTGTTTCCACCCCAACCGACCAGCATCATGCCGACCTTGCCAACCTTGCGGTTGACCTTGAAGTTGTAGTTGGTAGCCTTGGGAGTGGCAATCAACTTGTTGTCCGCGGTGCGGGTGATCTCAGTAGTCTGATAGGCGTACTTCGACTTGATCTCATCATCGGTATAGACGACGTTGGGGGATTGGACAGTAAACAGTTCTTGGCGAACCGACCCGTTCAGGGTGCCATTGGCAGCATCCGAGTTAGCGTGAGGAGCCATTGCGTTCACAGCGGGATGAATTGGCGAATTTAGAGTTGTGTGTGTGATAGCGTGGCTTTAACGAATAAAGGGTGCGCAATCCGATGCTCCTCCACGGTTGGATGAGCGTCGGCCGTTGAACGGGTGGTGCCGGCTGGGGAGCAGTTAGCAATTGATCTTCTGTATCATCATGGTGCCTCCATTTAGAGGTGGGAGAAACTCACGAGTTGAGGCTTGTCGCGAAAATTGTGGCGGTTGTATGTGATCACTTGACGAGAAGTGATCTGACCTGCTGACAAGGTTTATACGAACCTAAGATAAACGGGACAAGAATAATATGAGGATTGAGGATGGGGAGAGAGAAGAAGAGAAAGAGGAAGTGGCAGGAGGGCGACACTTATACCCACTTATACCGTCTCCGCCTGTCTCCGGTGTCTAGCCCGCCTGTCCCCCGATCCCCCAACTTCCCCTTTTTTTTAAAAATTTTTTCTTTAGTTTTGACCTATTTGTTGGGATTAATCTTATCATTGGTTGTAACACGTAGTATCTCACCGTCTATTGTGCATAGCAGCCGATACCGCACTGTCAATTATCTTCCTTGTTCCTGCATATCAAGCATAGCGTATTACTATGTACTACATATACTAATCTTCATAGTATACTACAGTCAATGCATTATAATCAATTAGTACATCCAATTCATAAATCTCCAGTTTTTTCTTTGTGCCGTTGACCATCTGGGGGTGCTCCGCTTCCGGCTTCCGGCTTCCAAGGGTTTCTCTGGTACCTGGCCATTCGGTACATTCCTTTCCGAATACGAATTTCGGTGACGTCTTTCAGGCGAGATTCTGCTTTTTGAGATATCTGAATTCTCAGTACAACATAAGCATTGCAATTGCAATTGCAATTGTAAAAATAACCTATACAAAGTACAACATTCAGACCACGAGCCCCCTGCTGGACCGTGCTGCACATCTGCACATCGGAGGGGTAACCTCCGCGGGGCAGAATGGCGGTCAGCCCATACACTCAACATATGCTTGGCATTGAATTTTGCTAAATTAATTTTATTGTTCTTGGTTATTATCATTCTTGCACATCAGAAATCCAGGAAGCCCTAGAACAAAGTAAACACATTAATTTTGCGGCTCTTCCAAGGTTAAGATCCAGATGGCTTCAGATAACCCAAACTGATAACCTTACCTATGACTTTCCAAGGTTCCAACCTCAGGAGTCTTAACTTGCCAATTTTGAAACAATGATGCTCAATATCGGAGGATTGTTCCAAATTGCTATAGAATCAGCCGCGAGATAATAATAATAGAACTTGAAATGTTATCAGAACCTTACAGCAGCAATATCTTTGCAATTTCAATCAGGCGGTCTCAAAGCATCTACCTCTATCAGCCGCCTCCTTTACAATGGTTATCAAAGCTTGTAATGCACCAGGCTATGCCAAAACTGACATTGGGGCCTGCTCAGGATGTGAGCCATCCAAATCCAGCCTGGCATTGCAGCAGAGAATGCCAGAAGGATGATCTCAAAGTCCACAAGCTCAACTGTGCTTATAACTCCATATGACTGCTTCTTGATCCGGGCTACTCCTATTGCCGGTGGTTCTCAACCTGACGCAGTTTATATTGAGGCGTTGCACCTCAGGTCTTATAGAAACCGGAGCCTCGAAACGAAGGAGCAGATACTTCCCAAAACATAATGCAGTCTTATATCGAAACAAATCATGTCTGCAATTTATATAAACATTCATAGTAGTACCATTTCTTGTTGAAGAAGTATTCCTGCCGATTCCACCACCATTCCTATTATCCCAAGCAAACAGTTATACTCTCAAACCTTCGGCTCTCCATCGTCTTTCTTCTCCAAAGGCCGATCGCCTTGTGGTTGACGACCATTTGATTTATTTGGCAACTGCCTGGCCACACGAACGGGGTCTAACCAGCCCTTTGACATAATAAACACCTGATCTATATCTTCCAGCGAGATGCCTGCAGTTTCCGGGAAAAACAGATAGACAATCGGTATCATCACAAAGTTTAGACAAGCAAATATGAGAAAGTATTTCCATCCAATACCATTAAAGGCGATTGGGGTGACCTCAGCGACCAAAACACTCAGAGCCCAATATATGCCAGAGCTGATACCATTGATGGTGGTACGCAAACTGAGAGGTGCCACCTCGGATGCATAGAGGAATGGTATCCCGCCAAACCCGACAATCATGCTGAAGTGGAAGATGAACATGAAGACTACCGCTGCGTGCATGGCAATGCTGTTTGTCGTCTGAGAACTAAGTGCAGCCACGAGGGCCATGGCGATTGTGTTGGCCGTCGCACTTGACAATAATAAGGAACGACGACCAAATCCCTCTATAGTGAACACGCAGACAATGCCACCGAAGACACCAGAAAGCTGATAAATTGCTGCCAAAATTCTTGACGTTGTCGAGTCAAGGTGAAGGTGGGTTTCGAAAATCGTCGTACCTGGTCGATCTATGAGTCAAGGGGAATTGGCCGGGATTGAAAGATTAGAGTACGTACTGTAAAACGTGATAGAGTTGACACCTGTCAATTGTAACAACACCAATCCTCCTCCCGCAAGAGATGCACGATGAAAGATCCTTTGAGATCCCATCTGGGAAATTTGGCGCAGAGACCCCTTACCAGCAATAGCTAACGAGGCCTCCACATCCAGTATTTCCTTCTTGAGCACCTCGCTGTCAATTTCAGTGTCCCTTAACACTGCCAATACCTCACGCGCAGCAGAGACTTGACCCTGCTGGATCAGCCAACGGGGAGACTCGGGCATATGATAAGTAATTACAAGCACAATCAGGCAAAGTATGATAGGCAGTCCAACTGGAAGACGCCAGCTTGCACTGTTAGGAGCATATGACATCCCGAGATCGACGAGTAATGCCAGCGTAAGTCCCATACCGACGAAGATTCCCATGGTCCCAACATGTGCACCACGCTTGGTGGCTGGTGATATCTCTGATTGCCACATAGGCACAGTGGCTAGTTGGCCGCCTGTTCCCAAACCTAGGATAACTCGTGACACCACGAGCTGAGCAAACTGAAAGGAGCTAGCCATGAGCAAAGCCCCGATCATTTGCACCACTGAAGCGAGTATGATAGTTCGCCGGCGTCCGAGGATATCGCCCAGCCCAATGCAGGTGATGGCTCCTAAGAAACCACCAGCTGCGTACAAGGCCACCACTGTACCCTGCAATGTCGATTTATAGTCTTTCTCTGAAGGGTGAGCGCTGGTCACGTCGATTTCAGGAAACTGGGCCTTGAACCAGGGCAGGGTGAGAACACCCCCTAGTAATCCTTGATTATAACCCATTGACATCATTGCAGGCATAACCATACCAAGGAGTGCTACATAGTGCAGACGACGGCCTCGAAGGCCAAGAAACCGTGCCATGTAGGGTGCAAGGTTTCGAGCGAAGCTGTGCTTGTGCTTGAAGGATTTGATATTAATGTGGAGGACTTCAACGCATTTTCAAATTAATCAGAGATGCAATATTGTTGGGTGAATCTGACCCCTGCATGTTTTCTTGCATTCCAATCTCGAGATCGGCCTCTAGAGGATCGGCCTCTAGAAACGCATGTTTTACCATCAGCATGAGATAATTTGAGTTTCAGATAAATATGATCTATAAATGTTGTGATATCTGCAAGGGGTATGTATGTCCCAAGGTATCACCTGATTGTTGTTTCGCTACTAAACTCCATTTCTATAATCCTTTAAGTCCACAGAAGTGTGACATCGCATAAATTGTCTGTTGTTGAGGGTCTTTGTGCGCTCTTTCTGTCAAAATCAAGACCTGGGATCAACTTGGGGTTATTTGGGAAATATTTGGTGAATACATATATGTACATCTACACAACCTTTGAGAATCGAACAGTTATTTTTTTAAACAATCATCATCTTTCCTAGAACAGATAGTCATTAAAGCGAGTTGATGCCAAGGTTAACAATAACCATATCATTGCCACCATAAAATAATATTGTGGCACCGGATTAAAACTCCCCGCAGCGGGGAATGGAGAACTTCCCCGACAGAAGTTTTGAAGAAAACATATCCGTCATGCCCGGTGCGAAAAAACCCCAATGCTGGTAAGGAACGGTCTAGATGATCCTAGTTTATGGGACTTAGCATCTGACTATATTCAGTGATCCATGCCGTGTACTTCACCATAAATGTAACACCACATATTCGCCTTCAGACCCAGCTCTCTGCTGACTGTCGATAGGTGACGGAGTCTTGCCACAATGCGGCCGATGTGTTCGCACAGGCCGGGAATGCACTCGAGATAAAAAAGAAACCAAATTCCGACAGGCAAAGAGCCGGAAGTCGCGCACTAACTTTCCTAGCAACCAAGTGTGGGTTCAGCCACCACCTAGAGGTTAGATTCCGCACCCAATTTCCTTCCGATTTAGTCTGACATCAGACCGTATCTAGTTGATTTTGTACTTGAAAGTGGAAGTGGTCAATTGGATAACTCGACCGAAAGGCCAACAAATGTTGAGTCGCCTGCTGGGAGTTTGCATAGTCATGCCGAGTCCATTCCTTTACCAGAAGGACCGTCTCCCGGGTCTTCATATACCGTGCCTTTGCAGCAATATGGTTTCTCAAACCACCAAGTACATACGAGCAGTAGTGCTGTTTCGCCAATAGTCCCGGTAGTGGACACACCTGAACGATTATATCAGCGGCGATGGCCCTTGAGAGATCCAGAGGAGGCGCGTTTGTTGCAGCATTTTGTGGATAAAGTTGCACCATTCGTAAGTGATGGTCTTTTGTTTCACATGACAAACGGTAGTCTGACTGTACGATATCAAGTTCGATTGCACGGATCGCCAGCAGCATTTTGCCATTCATATCCCTTATCGAGCGCGCCGTTGCGAGACATTATTTAATGCAATATTAGCCATGTCAGCCCGTCATCTAAATCGCACAACGGCCTTTGACCCTTTTGTGTCAGACCATTACTACCAAGCATGTCTGGAGAAGTTGATCCCCGCGCTCAATGATCACGGTGTTACGATGGATGATGATTTGCTGGCTGCTACTGTCATTCTGCGCTTGCTAGAAGAATTTGATGGTGAGCAGTGGGTACACTCCGATAGGTGTCAATAATTTTGCTAACGATGATCGTAGTCCCACTCGCGGGCTCTGATATTCGAGGCCACTCCTTCGGGACAAAGGCTTTCATACGGGGTCCATCGATAATGACCACAACCCCCAGTCTACGGCAGGCTGTCTACTGGAGTGGCCTACGCCAGGAGATTTACAATGCCCTTAGCCTTCAGCAAGCGCCAGACATTGAACTGAGGTCCTTGAATTTAAATTCCCACTTTGGCTCGTTAGGCCCTGATGCAGGTGATTGTGCATGGGCAAATCAAGCAATCACTCATTGTGCTGATGTTTTGGTGTTTTGTTTCGGGGAGGGCCCTCGCTCAACAACTGTGCATGCAGAGCTCAAGGCACATAATCAGCAATGGAGTGAGACTCGCCCGGATTCATTCGAACCTTATTTTGTGGGTGAAGATGTGGAGGTGGGAATTAAATTGCCCGACATTCGCTACGGGTGTTCCTGGCATGGTATGTATTGGGCGATCTTTCAGGAAATGGCGCACCCTGAAAGCTATTTAGGATACGAAAGGCTAATCGCTTGAACCTATAGCAATCGGCAATCAATATATCGACCTTGCCCAAATTTTGCTTTCTGTGCATGACCCTAATCTCCCTACGGTTGGACCTCTGCGCAGGCGTCTGATTCAGGAGGCTGATGTAAGTGTCCGAGTAACTTTCCAATCAACTTTAGGTACTCAAGCAGAGGCTGACTGATAGTTTAGGATCATATCCGCCGGGGGGTCTGGACAGTATGTGGCGCTTCATTATCAAATGCCTCTGTGCCGCCAGCCATGGTTGTCGGGTGCATGGCCATCCATCTCTGTAAGTTGAAACTGTTAATATCTTCTAGCAAGTTTCAATTAGGCTGACCAGGATCACAGGCGGCGATCGCTTCACGGACCCACACGAACAGGACCTTTTGATTCAAGTTCTTATTCAAACAGATACACTCCACGGCTGGCCAACGCATGCACTCCAACGACAGCTTCGGGAGACATGGGGCATGCGTTGACATTGGTACTATATACCCCGTACTTTGTACAATGTATATGGGTAAGCAAGAAAGAGGAGAGAAACTTTCACATCTTTCCAACTTGGGACGCGTCCCCGCTGGAGGCACAGACGCAAGAGATGATCGTCCCTCTCCCGCGCAATCAGAAGCCCCATACTCCATACTCCGTACTGAGTAGTACCATCTCGTCTAATTCTCTTTTCATCGCACACGTGTGAGTTTTCAAACGGCAAGAATCACAACACCCGGGCTTGGCGCGTTAATTCTTGCCAACTACCCAAACGGTAAAAACGTACTAGTATGTACTTCTGCTTTCGGTCAAGTGTCAGGGTCATGCATGATTTATGGCGTTGAGTGGAAAATAGTGACCAGTAATATGAGAGGTTCGGAGGGAGAAAATGGCCCCGCGGATCGCCAGGACGAAAAAGTACAAAGTTGTTTGTTTTTTGTTTGCCTCATCGAAGAATATCCCGCCAACTTCGGAATATCGCCACATGTCTCTCATCATATGCCATGTCAGGGGGAAGTTTGACTTTACAAAGTGTCAGAATCCAGATCGAAACCTCTTTGAGTTTATCTCCACTGATCGAACGACTGCACTCAAATATCACTTGGGCAATGTGATTGGTGCTGGTGGAGGGATCAGATACCTGGTATGGACCAGTCGCATTGCAAGCTCTCTTTTTGTGCATATCCATATTCCCTGTGCGCACAATGTTTTGACTCCACTGGTGTTAGGGGAGAGAACAGGCTAGATAGGTGAATCTTGGTGTTATGGAGACAATTATTAGTAAATGAAGAACCAACTTCCTAAAATCCATTATTGACTGTATCACATCTAAAATTTATACTCGATAAATAATATAATATCATCCAATGTAACCCCTGAACAAGTTACGCACCCCCTTTCCACACTGGAGACGCTAACACACTAGCGTATTTTCTCGCTCTAACACAAAGCCCCCATACAATTCTCTGAGGGTCCCTCGATTTCACTTCTTTAAACCTCTAGAATTAGTTTTCCCCATATCTCGAAGGGATATGGCCTGAATTCGATGTTAACGATCTTTGATGGCTTCAATGAACATGGGCTTCTTGCCCACCATAAAATGCTCTAATTGTGGGTGCAGTGTTGAGATCTCCTCTATGGGAGATCACACTTGCATTCGAAATGATTTTGGTAGGCTTTGAATAATCTCAACGGGAGATTTACCTGCTGATTTGATTAGCTCCAGTTGCTATCCCATCACCGCCTCCATCGGCAGGATTCGATTCAGATCGATTCATAGAGGCAAAGGGTGGCCGGGGTCCTCCCCCGGCCATAGACCCCTCTGCTGCAAGTATGTCTCAAATCGCCATGTGGGGAGCTCAAGGGATATGCGACTAACCTTGCATCTAGACCGAGCATTCTTGCAGCCGAATATGCCGACACCAGCTAACAGTGTCCATTTGTCACCTCTTCCTACTAGTCCAGCACCGCATGCACTGCGCCCGTCTCATCCGACCGGTGATTCCGAGGACAACTTGGATACGGTCTTTTCATTCCCCATGCCTGGAAATAGGTCGCCGACTGAAATCAGGACACCAAGTCCAATGACAAATCGGAATCCGATTCAATCACGTCCACCAGCCTTGTCTCCGGGACTAGGAGTCAGTTTAAGGCCAGAGAATATACAGCTTCCACCTAGCCCAATGCCACCAAAGTCCCCAGAGCCAAATCATCGCAGGGAGGACTCGACGGTGAGCCACAGCAGCTACCGGTCGTCTTTCGCCAGCAGCCGCTACGGTGATTCCACAACGAGGTCATCAGCAAACAGCCTCTCGCGTGGTTTCCAGTCATTTATGGACGATATACCGCCAGTGCCGGTGGCACCTCTCCGCGCCTCTAAGAATGCTTCTTTCCCTCGTGACTCTGACGCCTCGGCGATTTCATCCCGGATTAGCAAGGAAGAAGCCAATGGATTCGACTTTGGTATTCCTACAGCCCAAAGCCCGATTGCCGGACTACATGATCTCCCGGAGGAATCCCCTCTATTCCAGGATCGTACTGAATATATCGCTTTCCGTCCTGGACAACACCAGCTCCACCCCGCGACAGCGGCAACGGAGCCAGGTAGCGATGCGCCAAGGAAAGGCTCCAACGCAAGTACAGCAAGTGCATTTTCTGTCACTAGCTTCGCCCGGGCTCTCGGTCTGGACGATGAAATGAATCACTCTGAAAGCTCGGGCTCTGATTCATCCCGTTCCGATACCCGCAGTGGTAGTTCTATGTCCAGCCTTCCCTCCGATGCTAGCTTCAACCGATACAAACCAGTCGAACCGCTCAATCTATCACCCTTGGCCGAAGAAATGCCTGGCCGGACCCGACAGACGATTTTAGAAATACCCAGTCGTGTACCGAGCGCCATAGGAGGTGTCCCTCCTATCCCGGCTGCTTTCTTCAGTCCGGATTCACCTACCGACCCTTCAATTAACAAAGGTGGTGTATCGTTGATTGCAGAGAGGAAAGAAATCCCCCCGAGTCCGACTCCAACACAACCAAAACAATCCATCCCCCGAAAGTCACCACCACAACGCTCATTCACAGCACCCATACCACTCCCCAAAACACCAACAACACCAACCCGGTCCTCTACTGGACGTTCAAAGGGGCAGTGCAAAGGCTGCAATGAGACGATCACAGGAAAATCGATATCATCCTCAGACGGCCGTCTCACAGGCCGATATCACCGAGGCTGTTTCGTTTGCTTCGAGTGCCACTCTCCCTTCCAAACAGCCGATTTTTACGTCCTCAATAACAAACCCTACTGCGGACAACATTATCACGAGCGCAACGGGTCCCTTTGCTCCGGTTGTCACATCGGCATCGAGGGCCACTACCTAGAGACAGTCGATCGGAATCCTGCACGACCAGATCGCCGTCGATTCCACCCACAGTGTCTACAGTGTCGTACATGTCACGTCCTTCTCAAAGGTGACTACTTCGAGTGGAATGGCCAAGTCTTCTGCGAAAGAGATGCTCGCCGAGCCGCAGCCTCTCAACATCCACCACTGCCTTCCGGTCCTCCTGGTCCTCCTGGTCCCCCTGGGCCCCCTGGTCGTCGTCGGCCTACATTGGCTTCATCTCCACTGGCCCAGTCTGGTCACTTCCCGCCGGGCTCGTACCCTCCGCCTGGCGGAAGACCAGGTCCTGGATATGGACCTCCACCTGGGTCTGGGCCTGGACTCCACCCCGGTGCTCGATTCCCTCCTGGAGGTGGAGGTAGGTTCCCTGAACGACGGACTACTAGGCTCATGATGGCTTGAGTAAACCACCCTACTCATTCTTCTTTCCTGCGACCATTGGAAAGCGCTGAGTTGCACATTCCTCTTTTCCGCTCTATCGCGGATGGCGTTCCCCACTTTCTTCATTCCTTTATATATCGCGATATACCCTGTGCTATCTCACCCATTTGGCTTTCGCTGGCAATGGCGTCATCTGTTTTTCCCCTTGCATCGGGGCTATACTTCATCTGTATCCAAAACGCCCCATTGGCATGTTTTGTGATTTTTGGGCCATCATTCGGGGTGTATTTTGTTGACTTCCTCATGTCGAAATGTTTCCAATGTACTCTCTTTCGGCTCGGAGTTTGGTTGGCGGGTTTTAATTTGTACAGGATTTACAAGTTACAATTTTTTTAATGGACATGATATCTTCAAGTTTCACCAATAACCCAAGATCATGCCTCGTTATATCACTATCCATTAATATGCCATCGCACCATTACCGACACGCGACGCTATGCAACTATTTGGACTTGCGTTCCTCAAATGTCTCAACCGGGGCAAGGTACACCCGCTTCAAGATCCACCCAAAGCAAATGACATAAAGCGCCACAACGATGATCTCCACGCGTTGTGTTAACGTGATCCGGTCTAGACCGGGATTCGGCACGCCCAATATACCAGCATGTTCCTTCTCCCACCCCTCACACACCTGCCGGAATCGGCCGGGCTCGTCAGAGATCACGCCATCGATCTCATGCCGGATACACCAACGCATGAGGTTCGGCGCATTCACCGTCCAAACATAGACTGGACGTCCGGCTGCGCGCGCCTCGTCTAAAAACCCTCGTCCGAGCGGACCCATTAGGATCATCTGGTTAATGTTGAAGGATATAAGCGGTACTTGGAGGAATTGTCGTGCATAGCTCACGTCCACACAGACTAGCGTCACTGGGTACTGTGGCAGGTGCTGTGCACGCGCGGGTAAATATCGTGCGGACCAGCAGCCGAGAACAATTCGCTGGTGCCAGTCGGGCCCATTCGCGGGTTTAGGTACTGACTCAATAGTTTTGGCTATTAATTCCATTATGGCGAAAGGTTCGTTGGTGAGCTGGGAAATGCGGTTGAATATTAGCATTCTGAGAGAGTGGGTGCGAATGGGGAGAATGGCCTACCTTTATATCTAGCAAGATCCAGGAATTCTCCCGACCCGGTTGACTTAGGTATTCCAACACATCGATCAACCGGGGCATCGGTTCATGGGGGGCTTGTAGAGTTCGTAGGGTTTTTAAATACTCCCAATCGCAGTCGGCGACCTTCTTCTTAATGCCATAACAGCGCATGAGGCTTGCGTCCTTGAAAAGATGAGCATGGTTCTAGATCGTGGAGTGTGTGTGCCTACATGTGATAATACCACAATCCCATCGCTGGAGATGTGAAGGTCGAGCTCGAGTGCGTGAGCTCCTGCCCGGAGTGCTCCATCTATTGATCGTATAGTGTTCTCGGGATATTGACCTTTGAATCCGCGATGGGCGATAGCACGAGGTAAACGCGGGGAGGCGCGGTTAATCGGCCCCGGTGAGTGGAGGAAATGAGCTTGGCATGCGTTAGTTTGACAATACTCACAGGGATAACACCAGTATAGAAAGTAGCGCACCTGGAAGTTCATGCGAATACTCTTCTGGATCTAGAGATGATGCGTCGCCCATTTTGAAAGCAATTGTGAGAGTTGATGAAGTGAAGAATGGAGAATGGAGATGGGGTGATCAAACAAGGTCATCGGAGTTTGGCGGAGATAGACCCGCTGTCACGTTCTACTGTGCACTGTTCATATTCGCTGACCGGACTTGCGGTTCTCTCGTGTGGGATCAGACCGGATGGCTGAATAAGCACTTGGAGATACTCGCATGGCCATTGTCTGCCAGAGAGAACGCAGGGAGCCCTGGAGAGGAGGTTGACAAGGTCGAACATCTCGATGACTCAGCACCTCCAGACCTCAAGTGCCTAAGTGCAGGCCTCGGCAATGGATCCATACTCCAAATTTCTCAAACACGGTTAATAATCAGCTTCGGCTCTTAGCCTGAACCTGTACTTCAATCAGAGTAGCGCGGCGAAAAAAATGGCCGTTAAACAATGGATCTCCCCTTTGAAGGGCATTGACTGCCTTAGCCAGACCGAAGTTCCAATGCCCACACCAGGCCCGAGCGAAGTATTGGTAGAGGTCCGTGCCGTCTCTCTGAACTACCGTGACGTGGAAGGTAAGAAGTGGCGCACCAAGCACAGATAGATATATAGGGTCCATGCTGACGGAGGTTTTCAAAGTGACCAATGGCGAGTATAAACATCACAAAACCGCCGAACACGATGCCACCATCGTACCCTGTTCGGACATGTGCGGGGTGGTGACGCAAGTCGGACCTAGCGTGACCAAATGGGCTGTCGGCGACAGGGTGCTTTCAACTTTCCTGCCCGATCATCAAACCGGCCAGGTCACCGAGAAGGAGCTTAGCAAGAGTTTGGGACTGCCTCAGGATGGTGTTCTTGCAACTCACCGCGTGTTCCCCGACTACGGTCTGGTGAAAGCGCCCAGCTTCATGTCCGATGAGGAGGCAGCTACACTTCCCATCGCTTCAGTTACAGCGTGGATGTCTATCAATGGCATGCGACTGATGGGACAGAGCGGCGGGAAGGACGAATACGTCTTGCTCCAGGGAACTGGTGGCGTAGCGATCGCTGGATTGCAGATTGCCAAGGCCGCTGGCGCGAGGGGTGGGCAATCGATTTAATACCGTTTATAGGATACAAACGCTAATCTTTCAAACAGTTATTATCACCTCCTCGTCCGATATGAAATTGGACCAAGCTAAACAGTTGGGTGCTGATTTTACGATCAACTACCGCACCAACCCCAACTGGGAAGCCGAAGTGATGAAGATTACTCAGAACCATGGCGCTGATATCATCTTGGAAGTTGGCGGTGCCAAAACACTGCGGAAGAGCTTTGATTGCATCGCTTTCGGAGGATTGATTAACTGCATTGGGTATGTCTCAGGCAAAGTGGATGCCGATGAGGACCGCCTGAATGTCAACCTGCTGGCTCTCCGTCGAACTGTCACTCTTAGAGGAATTATTAACGGTCCCAAGGATCGGTTTGAAGAGATGATCCGTTTCTACGAGACAAAGCAGGTCCACCCAGTAGTTAACCGGGTCTTTTCGTTCGCCGAATCTAAAGAAGCATTTAAGTTTCTGGAAAGCGGCAGCCACTTTGGCAAGGTAGTTATCAAGGTTCAATAGAGGGCTGGAGCCCGAAATACTATCAAATTTCATTCAAGTTATCCCAGAGAAGCTGAGAACAATCACTTCTACTCAAGCGTTGCTACTGGGGATTTCTCCAGCCGCGAGTCCCAGTTCTTCTCCCAATTCCTTCCCTGCCACCGACAATGGCTTACAATCCTGCAGCACAAACATGAGACGGGCCCATTCTGTCTTGCTGGTGTTGCGCCACCCATGCATCGTAGCCCGCTGCACCACAACATCTCCCCGGTTCATGATAACCGGATCGCTATCTTCCACGATCATTTCAACCTGTCCTTCAATCACCACGCCGTAGTCGAGACTCTGCGTCCGGTGAACTACAACAACGTTGTCCGGGGCGAAGTCCACAATGCGGCACACGGTTCCACCAGTGTTAACAAGGCCGAGCCCTTTCGATTCCATCAAAGCTTCGTGGCCCTTGAGGTCCGCGTCATTGTTGAGATCCGGAGGGAATTGGGTCGTGTAAATAACGTTGAATGCCATCTTGGTTGCTTCGAGTGACACCCATCTATCCGTGTTCGAGGAATGGATCACCGCTCTACCAGCCTCATTGTGGCCGGTGATGTGCCGAGCGAAGGGGGGCAGATCTGATACTTGGCTGGTATTGGAAGACATTGCTTATAGGACGTGAAGTTGAGTCGGAGGTGTGAAGCTATTGAAGTCAGATCAATGTACGGAGTGCAACGTGAGTCCTCGGATGGTTTTATGTCTATACTCTCGGTCCACGTGGTGCGGGGCAGGTGCAGGTCAGTTCGTATACCGGTGAAGTGAACTCGAATTCCAATGTCACGTACTCTTTGTTCGATGCGAGCGATTTTGAAATCAACTAAAATACGTCAGAGCTGATCGGAAGATTGTCGATTCGATTGCTACTTTGAGCGAAGACTGCAGATCCGATCGCTCCTGATTGTGAGATTGGTCACGCAAAGGAGAACCCAAAGAAACGAATTTTGGGAAGATGTTTAGTTACATCGATGCCAGATATCATCTTGAGTTAGCTACAGAGTTCTTTCTATACCGAGGTCAACGCGTACTTTCGAGCGCTGCCCAGATGACCAGCTTACTTAGCATGCCAAGCCCACCTAGGCTGGGATCAAAAGGAGTTTTGGCTTGGCTGAATACTCGAAGGAGTACGGAGTACGGAGTACCATGGGTTTCTACATATTCGGCTACTCTATGGTGAGTACTTAACTAATTCCAGCGATATCCGAAGTTATGCATCCATTCTAGCCCTGATTATTCACCACACGCCCCGAATTGGGCATGACCCTTCAACAGCATGGACCCTGAAAATCTCAAAAAGGAAAAACTATCATTGAACCGGCTCGGTTACCCCGGAAATCCCCACGTCTTCTCTTTGCGGGGAAAAGGACACGGGGCGGGCCTCGAAGTGGCGTAAGCGAGATCAGGAAAAGACCTATAGACAGATGGATATCCATTTCGCTCAACTAAATAAAAATTCAAGGGTTCTTTTACAAAAACCATCGGAACTCAGCAGATGCCGGGCCGTCTCTCATTCGCTCCGTTGGAATATCCCGTGCGCGGATCGTGACTCCATCACGACGGTCGCGCCGTTTGTTATCCATAAACATGTATAGTGCCAATGCAGCCGCTAAACAAGCGCCCGTAGCACCGAATGCAGCAACGCTGATCAGTGCGGGCATATACTTGGGTGCATCTTGCTTCCGGAACAAGTTGCTGCTGACCAAGCCCATCAAGTTAGCCAATGGGACGCCGATACTCGTCAATAGTACACGGCGACCCTCGTGGGCGATGTTGTTATTATACCAGGTGCTAAGCAGTACGGACGGGGCGGAGGTTCCCCAAGTCATCATGAAAGTTGCGAAATAGGCGACTTGGATCTCGTTCTGGACATCGTCAATGGATAAATAGATCATGAACCCAGCGAAAGTGAACAGGAAACCCAGTACAATGAATGGAGATCGGAGTTTGGCCCAATCGGAGGAGAAGGCAAGCACCAACAGCATTACTGCTCCTGTCACATTTGGTGCAACCGTGTACAAGTTGGTTTTGACGGTGGTATAACCCAACCGCGCGACGATCTGCGGCATGAAGAGTGCAACACCCTGCAAAGGCACACCGAGACAGATTTCAATGCACAAGAAGGCGTACGTAGTGGGGTGCTTGAAGATTCCAAGGGCGTCGCGGAAGCTAAACTCCTCGTTGACTACTGCACTGGAGTCAACTTGAATTCGGTGGAAAGCTAGCGCTTTCTCGTCATCAGACAAGAACTTCGCCTCAGCGGCACTCCGTGGGAGATATATGAATGCAAATACAGCGAAGAGAATAGTGACGCCGCCCTCGATAATAAACAGGTAGCGCCAATTGGGGATATTAGATCCCTTGATCTGGAACACTCCAAAGGCAATGAGTCCCGAGAAAGCGTTTGCAATGTTCGACGCAGCATAGAAAATAGCCAGGCGACGAGCCAGCTCGCCACGGCGGTAGAATGTGGTCAAGTAGTAGATGACCAGTGGGAAGAATGCAGCTTCGGACATGCCTAGGAACCAGCGCAATGCGAACATGCCACTAAAATTGTAGGCGGCCGAAGACAGCATCGTGAAGCAACCAAATGAGAACATCAGGATTGGAAGTACGCGCGCTGGACTGAACTTCTTTCCAAGCATTGAGAAAGGCGGTGCAAAGACTACGAAGGGAACGAAGAATATCGATAATAGGAGATTGTACTCGTTCGGCTTGAAATTCAAGTCTATGTTGTAGTTAGTCTTTAGTTCTTGGCGCTTGGATCAAGGATCTCACGTACCCTTGCTCATCCCATCTGTTTCTGCATTTCCAAGATTTCCCTTATCCAGGGCATTGAATAAATCTGTCACTAGTCAGTTCTGTATGACCGACATGATTGGATAGACTTACACATAACCGCCAGGATAGGGAGCAGGCGATAGTCAAACTTCCGACAGAGACGCCGTTCAGCCTTGTGGTCCACAACTCGGGTCACCTCCTCCATCACACCTGGGGCAGAGCCATAGCCTTTCAGCATGTCGGGCTCTTCAATAGCGCCCACGGTGTCCGTTTTCTTCGCCGTGCCATCAGGCGACGGTTTGCGCGCTAGATTCGACATGTTGTATCCAGAGTATTTTAGACAAAGAAATATAGAAAGGCCAAGTCAGTCCACCAGCGCTGTCAAAGTTATAAAGCTCCAAATATGAGCTTCCCCTTATCAAAAGAGAGGTGGCATCCCTTGCTCTATTAGATAAGAAGAATGTTGCATTACCCCCCACGCTTCTCCGCATGAAGCTTTGGCTGAACAGGCAAGGATCGCCTGAGACGGTCGCATTCGGACTTTATGGGCTGTATATAACCTTATCTGCGGGGAAAAAGAAGAAATATTTGATTTCGATTCAATATCGCCCATTAGTATATGCGCATATTACAGATAAAGCATTGCAGATAGCATTCCACTTTCTCCCCCTTGAATATCCCATGCAGATCATGTCTCAGCGGTTTATTCTCATTACACAATTCCTTCTAGATATTTCTGTGCATAAGTAGGAGATCTAGAAGGTATCAAAATAGGGGCGCATCCCGTTCCAGTGTGCAAAGTAGGGTTGCATCCGTCGCATGACCTCACCGCATTAAGCCACGTCTTAGAATATGACAGTAAATTTGACTAGGAATTGCCCAGAAAGCTTTCTTTTATCTGATCGGGAATTGAACTTCATTCAAAGGTTTATATCTTTCCTAGAAGAGATATTAGCATCATAGGAAGACAATCTGTAACTTGTGCACCAGAGTGACTTGCTAGGTAGTATTTGAGGTCAGCAAAGGCATCACGGTTCCATATTACAATGCTACCGATGTAGAACATACTTAGCCTTGGGAATATTGAGGCATATGTATCCTTTTCCGATCATATATATATCCCTCAACCCTCAATTCAGAGCTCGGGCAAATGTCAATCGACTATGAACCATACTTGGTGCGATCAATAAGCCTGTGTGTACAAAGCGGTAGTATGAATCGGATGAGTTTCATACAAACACGAAGAATAACAGTCTCTTCATGCAGGCCCCGGGCTGCAGGTAGATGTCAACGTGGCCCTAGCGGAGATAGAATTGATCTGAGCCAATACAGCATATATCATAGGAACAACTTTGTTTTCTACATCTACCATAGTCGGCCACTTATATGCCCTTCTTATATATTTTATATATTTTTGGTTAGACCTTCGAGTAATTATTTTTTGTAGTCTATTTGCTATCCAGTATTAGTAGTCTTCTTAGAGAAGCTTTCTGAAAGCTATTTTTCGAAGACTTTGGAAATATTTTCTCAGATATTCTTCTTAAGTATCTTCCTGCTTACTTTTTCTTCTCGCTATTTTAGCCAGAAGGGTAATCATTACATAGCTATAGAAGTGTCACCAGGAATGGGAATAATAGCACCGAGTAGACATGCCGGTATATCACCCTACGCCAATCTAAAGCAGTATAAAACCAACCGTACAGACGACCTTTCTATGTGTGACCAAAAATTGTTCTTCAGGATATTGCTATTTACCCAATTATCCAGGATTCCGCCAAAAACGGTACATAGTTGCATTTAACCACTCCCCCGCAATTTGTCTTTGCGGAGAGAATATGCAGCGACGGAATAGAAGAGCAAAATTTAGATATTTACCCACATTATCCGGGTAAGATCGTCAGATAACTGGCTATAAATGTAGATCGAGGATCGCTTTGAAATGTGGGGAAAAGGGGAATCTTGCACCAGTTGGTCGACTACCTACCATGACTATGCTTATGTTTCAACTCAGATCTATATTTCTCATAGCTCTGTGCGCCCACTTAGTATCTTCCTATCCTTTACTAGCTCGAGGAAAATATGGCGACCAGACAGGACACTCGCACTGGGTGAATATATGGACTACTATGCCTCAGTTGGTCGAGCCCGCCAATCTACCCCCTGTTCCGTTTGTACGTTGGGGATCATTGTCACAGTGACCAATGCTTCATTACTAACCGACACTTCAGAATGGGTCCAACGCTGTCTTCAGTAATACTACAATTCGCCAAACCATCCAAGTTTCATTAGCTGCACAAGAGATCCGTATTCGACTCTCTAATGCATTTGGTCCAAACGATCTCAAAATCACCAATGCGACTATCAGCCTGCCAGCGAGACAGCAAGTAGGAGTTAGCGCACTGCAGACAGGGACATTGAAAACTATCTCGTTCAATGGAAGCCCAGATGTGGAGATCCCGAACGGTGGGTTGGTCGTGTCTGACCCAATCAAGTTCCCCGTCAAGGCCCAATCGGCCCTCATGATCAACATATATCTTGCAGAGGGACAGCAAGGCTTCTCTGTCACTGGTCACCCTGGAAGTAGAACAACATCATACCTGGCTTTGGGGGATCAGACTGGTGCACAGAACCTCACAGACTCATCTGTTCAAAGTACTGATCATTGGTGAGCATTTCTCCCGCAAACCTTCTGGATGACTCAAATACGAATATATATCTCATCTCTATCTCAGGTACTTTATCAGTGGAGTAGAGGCTCGGCTACTTTCTGAGTCTAGCGCCTTCGCGATCATTGGCGACAGCATCACCGATGGGCGAGGAAGCACCACAAATGGCAATGATCGGTAAGTGGAACATCCTACTTTGCATGTTTATAGCTTACGAATGTAGCTGGCCGGACCTGTTACTGGCAAGGATGCAAAAGCATAAACCCACGTCAAATATCGCAATTCTCAACCAGGCCGCTGGCGGAAATCGCATCCTACAAGATGGCTTAGGTCCAAACGTGATCAGCCGTCTTGATCGGGACATCCTAGCCCAATCTGGAGTACAATATGCGATGATTTTCGAAGGCGTCAACGATATTGGCGTCGCTGATAGTGATTCAGCTACGCAGGCGGAGATTGAGAAGAAACTTGTTGCGGCATATAGGCAGATCGCGACACGAGTGCATGCCCTAGGCATCCCGATATTTGGCGCCACTATCACACCATTCGGCTCGTCGCCAACTTCCGATTACGTGCAGCCTTACTCGAGTACCGAGCGGGAGAGGACTCGTCAACGAATCAATACATTTATCAGGCAAAGTGGCGTGTTTGATGCGGTACTGGACTTTGACCGTGTGTTGAGAGATCCACATGCGCCATCTCAGTTGCTGGAAAAATATGATTCAGGAGATCATCTTCACCCTACTGTAGCGGGATATCAAGCATTGGCTGATTACTTCCCTCTCACGGTATTCGAGTGAACTTCACACGGTTATTCTCAAAGGCCGAGGCAGAAAAATGGTTCCCAGAGTTTTGTCTACAGATGCATATATAGGTACATAGCTTCAAACCTGAACAAATAAATGCTTCAAACCCCCGTCAGAAAGACAGATACTCTTTAAACACGACGCTTGAAACGGGTCTAAACGTTGCGTTTGTAAGCGCCGCCACCGATAAGAGCCTGCTTGCGTCCAGGGCCAAAGTCTGGAACACCGCCCAGTGAACCAAAGATATCACCGATGTAGTTGCTGGCCTCGATACCAGCAGCAAAAGTTTCATCCCAGCCGTCCAGAATACCCTCAACGACCTTGATACCAGCAACATAGAGATTCTTAATAGCAGGCTCGAAAGCACCCTGCTCAGAGGATTGGAAGAGATTGTAAGTCGCCGAAGCACCGGGATAGGGGCGATCAAAGTCTGACGCAGTGCGCATGACGATAATGCGGGAGAAATCAGTCAGCTTGTAGATCGAAGATCGGAGCAAGACTTCGAAAGTAGCGTTATCCTCCTGTGCACTTGCGCAATATTCGCCCGTTCCATTTGTCAACACCTTGGTGGTATTTTCAAACACCGAGCCGAGGATATTACCGCTGAAGTACACGTCGGTTGTTGCGACGTCACATTCAATAACACTAGGAGGCAAGGTAGCAGCCTTGTACTTCCCACTGGGGGTCTTGTAGCGGGCGCGGTAGGCCTGTGCTATGGTGGAGTCGGAGAGGTTTGCCTTGCGGGCAAAATTGGCGGCAATTGTGCGCAGCTCGGCGTTCACCTCGAAGACCTCTGTGCCGTAGATGCTGGTCGGGTACTGGCCTGGGAAATTGGTGCCTTGCGCGACATATCCCGTGGAATAGTTGCTGGGTAGCTCGCGGATATCAATTTCGTACTGCAGTGCAACCTGGACTGCGTACCGGGCAAAGGTCGCGGATCCAGTGCTAGCTTTCTTAGGGTTGATGCCGGCAATGCCCGCGACAAAGAAGTAAGTCTGCGTGAGGTCGAACAGAGGGGAGAAAGCAACGGAGGTGACAGTGGCAGCAGCATTAATCTCGCCTTCTCCGGTGATGAGCTGGCAAACCTCGTAGTCCTCAGTGCAGTGAACGTCCGGGAACAGAGGCGAGAGACCTGGAATGGTGATATTATGGGCAAGCAAGTCGAATTCCGGAATGTTCCACCAAGCTTCGGCTTCAGGTGCGAACTGTGAGGATTTATTAGCGATATTACAGCTCATTTGGTGTAAGCGCATACCATTGACACAATGAACACCTTGGGAGCAATTGCTTCATGCGAACCCTTGTGGCCCGTCCCAGTAGCTCCGGCACATAGTGAGCTGCCAGTGAGCAGCAACGAGGCCGTCAACGTTTGAAGGAAGTGCATGGTGAGAAAATTTGAAGTGGAAATTGGAGCTCTATTCCTGCATAGGCCAAGGGCTTTTATTAATACAAAGCTGAGTGAAGATTTTGTCTTCCTTGCTTGCGTCTTCCACGCTACGCATGGATCATCACCCATGAGTGGACATATTTATACCGGATTAGGGCAAGATCAGCATCAGGTCGTGGAGCATGTTAGAGTAGCTTCAAAAAGCACCGGGGATTCTCCTATTGGTTTTCTTGATGGGGTATTATTCGTGCGAGATATATGGAAAACACAGGAGATTGTTGATTGCTGGTGCCTGAGATTTGACTGGCCCTCAATCGAATGTGGATCGATTCTTATGCGATTTCACAATTTATTATGACGACTCGTTGCTTTTAACTATCGGAGCTTGCCGGGGGCTCCACTCTATGTGTGCCAAGATGAGTAGATAGAGATTAGAGAATACATGTGTAATTTGTATCAAAGTTGTCGAAAAGGTTCAGGGCATCAGGTGCCATATTTTTACTGCAGTTGCTATCCAATCTGCAATATCCGCAACCCATATCAATAAATGGCTATGCGGGCTGTAATAAAATGCCAATAATTCCCAGGTATCTCGATCGATCGGTAATTTACCCATGCAATTATATATGCAAGTAATTGGAATATCGGTTTTTGGGGCAACAAGGAATGCATATATGTACAGAATATGTACGGAGTACTGCCTGGCTCAAATTTTCCTGGTTTCCATCCCATTTCCCTCCTTTTTCCAGCTTTCCTGTTGGAGCTGCACTCTACGTCTCTAGAGAAGCAAGAATGAAAGGTGGATGATGAATCTAGTTACCTACTGGCATGAAACTCTTCAATAGCTAGCTCTATGCTGACAAAAAAAGCTCTGAATCACTTGAGTAGAGCGTGCAGTCAAACAAGCAAAAAGATATGCCTTAGCACCTCACTATGCATCAGTCTTGTCATCCCCCAATCATTCAATTCAAAGGCCACATGTGCAGAAGAAAAAAGAAAACAAAAAAATCATCCCCTTCTTCCCCCTCATTTGGGAAAAAGCAAAGTCCATGCCCCATTATTCCCGAGGTCTATTCGGGATAGTACTTGATACTCGTGTTGTACCAGCTGAGCTTATAACTGCCCATTTTCATTTTTCTCGAAGTATCGTCTTCGTCGACATCAGCATCCATACCATCTTCGGCCATACCATCTTGAGGATCCATCTGGGTAATGGCCTATCTATGTTAGACGATAAGAAATAAAGTGTAAACTCAACTTACCTTTCTGGAGACCCGTCTTGTGATAAAGCTAGGAAACCTGACAACCTGTGCTAGGCAAACAGCTGGAGGAATACAATAAATGGCGACTGAGTTCGCTATGAAATTTCAGCTTGCTCCGATAGTTGGACTGACTTGGACGCCTCGTGCTAGATCTGACTTTGCCCTAATCAACTAGAAACCACACTGACTGCCGCAATGCATGCAGTAAGTGAAATGAGCGTGCGTGACAGGAGAGTAAGAGAAAGAATTGATGTTCTACAAACAAACGGAAGCGGGCTAAATAGCCAGTGGAAACCTGACAAACAAGGTTCTTCTTCTTCTTCCACAACTTCAATGCAAATAATGAAATGTCATAGCATTCTAAAGTTCATTGACCGTCTTGCCCGACTGTTGGGGCACTACGTGGGCAATATGCGGCTTACACATTAGCCACGTTGAGTATCTAGCGGCGCAACTGGTATGGCGCCTGGCGCCAGAGAGGTTATTCATTATCTCAAATATCACCGGTTAGGCAGGCCTAAATATTATATCAAACTTGCTAGAAGAAAATATGTTCCCACTTATTGAAGCTAGCGATGATCCATTTGCCCAGTACGTAATGTATTGAGGCATTGCTTACATGCAGCCTGTCCTGTTTCTGTTTATCTCCTTCAGGATTCTGTCTCTTTGTCTCATGAAGCTATTTAAAGAGCGGCATGGCAGCGGTAGATCGGTATCATAAACCCAGAGACAGTTTTCTCGCTCTTCTCCTGGTCTTTCGTCGGGTAATCACCACGTCTGCAGAAGTGTCGATAGATGCAATCTTCTTCTGTAAGAGGATAAAGCAAGACAAGTGGTCAAAAGAAACTCAATTATGATCATCTTTCTTGCTTCCTCTTAGAGATGTAGACTGCATCTATCAGCACCTCCTAGGATGTGCCGTATTCATCGGCTGTAGGGGAGCTCATCAGAATTTTATCCATTTCATTTATTTACTAGAATACGTCTGCCAGTATCTCAAAATATTTTTGATCGCTTGTAGGCTTATCCAAGAAAGCGAGATGATCATCCTCCGATAGGGACGCATTACATACCCCAACTCTCAGTCATCAACCCCAAGCGCATCGAGGGGCTAAAGATCGATTACGGCCTAGCTAACTGGCCCAAGATTAATTTACTAATGGCTGCGATTTAGTTGGTTTTAAACTGGAGAAATAGCGAACATGTCTTTCCCCTCAACCCCCCTTGTTATGGACCGACCCCCCGACACTGTTAGTCCCGCCACCATCTCTGCCAAGAACTTCCAAAGTTGTCCATCAAGGACAAGGTTATTCATCGAATACAGAGTACTCATTCTCTTTTTCAATATAAGACCACACAGTGCTATAATAGATCTAGAGAAAATACACATCACCTTCATTCGATATCATTACTATCATATACACAGAAGTATCCATGCATCCAAGCAAAAGGATACGATATTATACCAATGTATCGAATGAAACGTACTTGATGAAATCAGCATCTATTTACTGATATGAGGGCAGGTGCAATACTACCAGCGAACCATTATAATACAAACGACCCTACAGGGCTATTCGACTGAAAGGTATGGATGATTGATCTATGGACGGTGTCTAAGTGATTAGGATTACTTATTGGACACTAATCATCACAGTGCAATGATCATCGAACGCGCAATTCCATAGCACCAGTCATCATGAACGTAACTAGCTTATATTTACTCTAATTAAGTCTAAATTCCATAACTAGAGCAGCTCGAATAGGAACACAGGGAAAATCCGATATAGGCACATGTGCAACGTGGCCCAAGGCAACAAAAGCAACAAAGAATACGACAATAAATCCTACGTTATCACTAACGAGGACAGTAAAAATCAAACTCGCGTGTTTTCACTTCCATACAGAGACGGGGGAAGGTCGACAGTGGATGCAACAGGCCCAGTAATGCCGTGGCTTTTAAGCCACTGACTGACAGAGGTTAAAACGTGGAGGATGACGCACGTCAAGCATACTTTGTACAGTGAGCGTACTTCTAATAGAAATAGCACAGGATATGCCATGCTGATCATCGGAGATTAAATTGTTCGGCTCCCTCAACGTCATCTGACGTCATTTTAATATATGTACCACGGAAGGCAAAAACAATAAAATCAAGGCCAGGGCACCTCGAAGACTGGTGTTTATTACTTTTTGCTTCCAGTTGTCTTCGTTTACCATTCTATTCGCATTCGCTTAAACAATACACATTCGCCATACCAAGTTCAGCGTCTTTCCTCGATATCTACATACTCCCGATACCCCACCAATCAACTCCTATAACAACCACCTACCATGCCTGGAATACACGAACGTATCCGCGAGGACATCCTCCACAAAGAGCGCGAACTCTGGACAGCCCTCACATCCGCCGACCCAGCACCACCCATCTGGCGACTCAGCAACCCAGAAGCCTGTTTCCTATTCCCTCAGATGGAGATCGTCACGCTGGAGGACGAGGAGGCGTTCAAGAAAGCCGTGCGACCACCCTTCCACCGATTCGACGCTTACCAGTTCGAGGAGGTACGGGTCATCATCCTCGATCTGATGGCCGGCGTCGTCACATACAAGGTCCGTGCTAAGCGCGGGAGGAAAGAATATATCTGTTCGGGCTCGACGACTTGGAGTCAGGGCTCAGATGGGGAGTGGACGCTCGCTTGTCACCAGGAAAGTTTGCTGTGATGGGGCTTTTTTTTTTTTTTTTTTTGTATGCACCCGTTTTCTGATATACCTTTTGCGACGGGGATGAGCTCGGCGAGCGGCGAATGTGTGCTTTGAGTGATATGATGCAATGTATCACGAGTCAACGAATCTTTTAATGCAATGAAGTATGGTTTGAATTTATTGGAAGTACGGAGTACTTAGTACTAAGGATTGTTTTTTCAGTAGAAAAGTGGCTTTTTGAGTGTATCGACCGATCGGCTAATTAACGCGATGATCTACGATCTGCTCCATGGGGAGTACTCAAAATAGCCAATACCTGGCCTGTTCTTTTTTGATCGAGATTGCAAATGTACTTTGTATTGCGATCGATTTATTGATTTCATCCGTTTGTGGCTGACATCTTCAGTTGTGGCGCAGGACCAAAAATTCTGCCGTGAATTCCACGCCAATTCACTAATGCAAGCCCCTTGCTTTGCCGGCAGATTTGACACAAATGGCGCAACCAACACCCCGGACTAGCTCGTCACTAGTAGGAATATATCATGCCATTGCATGGTCACACACGGAGTACGGAATAAAATGATTTGAAATCCTTCCCCAGGGGTAATACATTTCAATGGAGAAATTAATCGGCGGAGCTACCCAGCTGGGCATGCAGATCCGAATAGGAGTTAGTCTGATTAAAACCCGAGAAGGTCCCCTTTTTTGAGGGTGGTCCGATCATTAAGCTCATCCGATCATTGAGCGAATCAATCCGTGGATGGATACTATGAGAGCCTCAGGCGGACAGGAACCATGGGGTCTTCGATGGAGATCATCGACGTATTTCATCGTCGCGACGATGGCAGTCGCCATGCTCACCGGTAGGACTTTCGCGCATAGCCAAAAAAAAAAAAAAAGACATTTCTTAACCCATCCCCATAGATATGTATCTGTACGGATTCCTGGTTCCGATTCTTCCATTCGTGCTGGAACATCGACTGGGCCTTGACGCGTCGCTCACGCAGCGCATAAGTACAGCACTGCTATCCCAGAGCGCGCTCGTTATGGTCGTGGCAAGTCCCCTGATCGGGTCTCATGCGGATCGCTCGGGCGCGAAACGTGGCTGGCTGTTATTTGGACTCGCGGGCGCATTGCTGGGCTCTTTAATCGTCGCTCTAGCGACTTCGCGTAAGTGGCGCCCAATCTTGACTCCGCGGATGATATTTCCAGGAGAGGTTAATGTGGCCGACTAGTGTTTGTTCTCTTCACCGGGCGTCTTATACAGTCGGTTGCGAGTACCGGACTGTGGGTGGTAGGCTTTGCTACGTTGGCGGATAACGTTCCCGCCGACGAGCTGGGCAAAATGTACGGGTTTGTGACTGTGGCCATTGGGGTAGGAACATCGGGCGGACCACTTGTGGCTGGTGTTCTGTTTGACGTTGGCGGGTATTGGGTGGCGTGGTCGAGTGTTCTTTTCATTATTGTGTTTGATGTTATTCTGCGATGTCTGATGCTGGAGCGACCGCGGAACAAGGGTGAGACTGTTCGCGCGGAGCCCGACGGGCTAGAACCAGATCCAGAGACGGAGGCCCTTTTGGCATCGGGTAATCCAGAACAACAGGTAAGCACCGGTGGGGGTGTCTCGGAGAAGACGGGTATAGGGTTTTATTTATGCCTGTGTCAGAACGGACGGTTTGTTGGTGGGGTGGTTAGTTATTTTTGTTATGCGGTTTTAACTGCCAGCTTCGACACGACTCTTCCTCTCCATGTGCGTGATGCTTTTCACTGGGGAAGCCTCCCCGCGGGCCTGTTATTCGCTGCTTTCCAGGGCCCCGCGGTGTTTTTTAGCGTTCCTGTCGGATGGCTGAAGGATCGAGTGGGGACTCGGCATCCGACCACGATAGGCTTCGCTCTTTTGGTACCGTTGATGTGGCTGATCGGTGTTCCTGGGGATGAACGGTTTCCCTGGGCTTGCCAAGAGAAGTATGGTTCGATCATATACAGCGCGGCAGTCACGGGTGTTGGAATTGTGATATGTTTACTTAATGGGGTTGGGATGATGGAAGCGACACGTACGTTTTTTTTTTTCTTTGTTCTTTTTTTTTTTTTCTTTTAGCGACTGTCACATTGTGATAGTGGATATTAATACGGATAATCTTTTTTAGAAGCTGTTGATGAGATCCAGGCAGAGACTCCTGGAATCTTTGGCCCAAATGGTGGATATTCACGGGCGATATCAATCTCCAGTATTAGTTGGACACTAGGAATGTTTGTTGGGCCTATTTTTTCCGGCTATGGCACGGAACAATTCGGATACTATGGGATGAATTGTGTATTGGGTTCGTATAGCCCCTGTCTGAATTTCTTCATGTTCTGCAACGCTAATGCTAATGCAGCGGGGATGTGCGGACTTTGTTCATTCACCGCTTTCCGGAATTTAAAATCGTCTGTGCCTCAACGGTGAGATCGGAAAAGACGGTGGAGATTTGAAATGGAGATAGAGATTAGATCCAATTTCCTTAATGTTTGAGATTAGGAGGATTATAGGGGGGATTTGGGTGAGAATAGGACAAAAGATAAAGAAAATTAAAGAAAAATAAAGAAAAATAAGAAAAAAGTAAAAAGTCCGGAATATTTAAGCTTAGCGTAAATAAAAGGACGGGATAAAGGTACCTGGGTTATATCTCCTTGCCGAGGTAGTACTTTGTATATTAACAGATAGACAGAACAATTAACCCCAGACTGAAAAAGTTGGCAGAAGTTGGAAGGGTAGAAGGAACTAGGATCTAGAAAATGTAAATAACTGGAGCCTAATATTGATAAAAGTCCAATAGGTTGGTCCCCGAGTCCTTAGATGGTCTTAAGTGGTCTTAAGTGGTCTTAAGTGGTCCCCTAATAGTGGCTAGTAGTCTCTAGTAGTGTTTAATAGTCTCTAACTGGTTGAGAATAGTGGACAAAGAACGGTGCTGTCAATTTCTCCGGTTCAACGGGTTCCTTCCGTTCTTAGCCTTTTCCCGAGCTTCTCCCATAATTCTAAACTTCTAATCTATTTTTTTTCTATTTTTTCTGTTTTTCTCTGTTTTTTCCTGTATTTTTTTCTTTCAAACATATCACGGACATTTCCCAAGAACTTGACTCATATTTGAAACACCCCTAATGGTTACTATGATGTATCATGCATCCTATGTGAGCTATATACTCCGTACACACTCTTTTCTACAAAAATTGTGCAGATGTGTGTCTCCACCTCGGAATCCACGGATGGATATGCCCGAAGGATTTCCTCCCCCGGCCGAGCCTTAGAGCCTAGTGTTTAGGTGCATAGTATAAATTAATTTCTGTATGAGCCGAAAATCGTCAGATGGAAAAAAAAAATCTCTTATAAGCTCATGCCAAGATACCCTTCTCTCTTTTCTCTGGAAATCTTGATCTCTCTACACAATCATGGAGCCAATTCGCCCACCACAAAATATCGTCATCGTCGGTGCCGGCATCGCCGGTATCTCGTGTGCACTGTCTATATCTCGGGAATTGACTCCTTTCGTACCGGATCTGAAAATTACCGTTTACGAACGTCACGATGTACTCTCCACGTCTGGTGGTGCCATTAATTTGACCCCCGTTGCCCAACGACATCTGGCCCTGTTGGGCGTGTTAGCTGAGTTGGATCGGATGGGTCCCGAGGGCGGAGCAGATGTCGATGCCATTGAGCTCTTCTCCATGCGTTCTGGACGCGGGATCGGTGCCATCAATTTCACAGATAACCAAGGAAAAGGATTTGGTGGTTACAAGGGCCGACGAGTGATGCGGATTGCCCTTTCCGTGGCTATGATGACCGTTGCGGAGCGGACGCAAAACATCGAGATTGTCTTCGGCAAGAAAGTCGTCGGTGGCGAGGAATTCGCCGATAGAGCCGTTGTCAAATTCGATGATAGCACAGAGGCTGTGGGTGACTTGGTCATTGGCTGTGATGGTGTTCACTCGGCGGTTCGGACCCAGTTTGTGGACGTGGGCCGATCGGCTGAGTACACGGGCTTGTCGTTTTTGCAGGCGACGATTGATACGGATTCACTTACTTCGCGTCCTCACTTCCGCACATCATCGCTGAATATCTCGCGTCATGGCTCAATGCTGGCGAGCTACTGTGACCGTGATAATGAACAGATCTTCGCTGCTGCCATCGTTCAATTTAGTCGCGAAGCACTGACCCGCTATCGACTTCAGCCTGGTCAGGATTGGGGTACGCAGCACAGAATTCGCGCTGCGCTTCGCGAGGAGATCAGAAGCCGATTCCGCAAGTGTAATATTCCTTGTATCAAAGAAATGATCGAGAGTAAAGCGGATTGGATGCTTTATCCCGTATATCAAGTTCCCATAGGAGGACGTTGGTGCATGAATCGAGTCATCTTGCTGGGCGATGCAGCACACGCGGTATGTCTTATAAAAACCACGGATTAATTTTTGTATTCTATTCTAACAAATTATACAGATGCCCCCACGTGATGAATCCGCTGCATATGCACTGGACGACGCAATTTTGTTCTCTCGAATCCTGGCAAGCTATCGTTCAGAGCCTCTAGCCGAAGTATTTGACGCATACGAGACTCTCCGTCGCGATACAATCAACCACGCGTTCAAAGAGTCCCGTCGTATGTGGGAACGAAACCGCGAAATGGGATTGCTCGAGGGCCGACTGAAGGAGTGGATGATGTCATTCCATATCAAAAGCAACGAACACGCACGGGAGACCGCATGGGCCTTCGATGCCACTAAAATGGCCCTCCCCACACCGGCACCCAGCGAAGACCTGGTTTCGTTGAATTCGTTTTTGAGAGATCGCACCCTATGAGGGAGAAAAAAAAGCATTTTTTACAGGACTGTGGAGTTTTGGGTTGGCTTGCATGGACTGGAGCGTGAATCATTTGAGTTAATGGATACCCGATAACTAGCACCCAGAATATATCTAAATCGATATGTCCACGGATGTTTTCCGCACATTTTTTGATCCGTTCACTCTTATCGTAATTAATATATAGAATTGGCGTTCCGCTAATCCTTATTCGGTATGTCGGTTCGTCAGAATCCTGATCTACTAAGGAAAACTAGATTAGCGCTACAAGTACCGAAGGATGCAGGATGACATCGCTTAGAATCTTTGCGTAAATTGTATGTATCAGATGATATTTAATATCCGGCTGCATTCCTTTTGATTTTAACCGGAGGAATTGGGTGTCATGTTGTCTTCCTTTTTTCCATCACAAATTCCAATAATTGGGGGGTTTTAATTCATTGGAGTGGAAATGAAGTCCATTCCTTTGAAGTGTGGAGAGATTACTTCTGTGGCTTTATAAGTCACTTCTAGAACCACTCCTATATTATGAACATTTTTACAAATCCCACCCCATCGCATTTAGTATAATTTTACCTGTATTCTTTCAAAATCCTTCATTCGGGTTCGTATCTGGATTCGTAAGCAATATATTGAACATTATATAGGACTTCCAAGGCTGCTCAGAATCACTTTTAAGGTTTAACTGACTTGGAACAGAACAGGCATGATCTTGGCCGATCCCAATCTAGAAAAAATAGTTTAAATTTCTTCACGTTAACTTATGATTATGAGATTGGCCGTGTTGACGGCGTAAAACTGATAATCTGATATTAGGCACGTCAAATGGAAGAATACTACCATGTGTTCTTCGCTGTTCTTTTTACCCATCCTTTTAGATATATACTAAGACAACACAAAGCATACACTCTGCAGACAACATTTCTACGTATAACCAGCGCTGATTGATAAAATTGATTGATTTAAACGAATGTATATATCTTCTAGATAGCAATGTACTTAGTACAATAAAAACAACCCAAAGAAGAAAAGATTTTGCTTCACAGGTAGCGATTCTCTAGTGACTTGACTTCACTTAGAAGACAAGGGTCTGACCAGCAGTACCAAACACAGCGGCCTCAACCTTGGAGGATCCAAGCAGGGTGTACTTGTAGGGAACGGACTTGAGGGTTCCAGCCAAAGCCTTGTTGGAAGCACCACCGAAGTCGTTGTCGTTGGCCACAGCGTAGCCCTTGTCGGTAGAGTAGAGGGGCTTCTTGCTGCCAACGAACTTGTTGGACTCGACCAGAAGCTGGGCGCCCTTGCGGGTGTTGACACCGTCGGAAACATCGAGGTAGAAGTTGTTGTAGATGTGGCCGGTTCCGAAGCGGACGGAAGGACCGCGCGAGTTGATGTTGTACCAGAAGTTGTTGTTCTGGGTGACGCGCAGGTGGCCGGTGTCCTCGGCGCTGTTGCTGTTGGAGTGTCCGATCAGAGAGGCCTTGTAGTGGTCGTGGATGAAAGTGTTGGAGATGGTCACGTAGTCGGCAGCGTGGGTGATCTTGTTCGTATTAGCATGGTCTGTGTGGAGTTCACTCGTGACATAAGCTCACATCGATAAGTCCGTCATAGTAGTCCTTGCCGTGCTGGGTGTCGGAAGAGACATCGCAGTGGTCGACCCAGACGTTGGTGGATTTTTCTAAGCCCAGTTAGCCTTCATGCTGCTTGATAGGTCTTTTGGAGCATGTACTTACGAATACCAATGGCGTCGCCGTTTGTGGCAAGCACCTTCTTCACGCCGAGGTTGCGGATGATGACGTTCTTCTGTTCCTTGACCAGACTGTATTGGTTTAGCGCTATCTCAAGTTAATGTTGGGAATGAGCCACTTACAGACCGAAGCCGGTCAAGATGGAAGTAGCGTCCTTGCCAATGATGCTGGTGTTGCTTCCAACACGGACTTGGTCGGCCTTCTGAGTGATAGGGCCCTTGACGTAGACGACCTTGGGAGCATCGCCCTTGACTGCAGAGGTGAAAGCAGCATAAGAGGAGACAGTGGTAGTAGTACCACCGGCACCACCGTTGGTGCCGCCGTTCAGGCTGGCATAGCCATGAGCGACCTAATTCACAGCCACGTTAGGAGGCTGATCTTCTGATCCTCGAACTACTCGCTGATTGATGCTCACCTCATTGACACCGGCGCGCTTGCCCAGCAAGTTTGCGTCATTGACGGTTGGGGTAGGAGCTGCCAGTGCCAGACTGGACAAGCATCCGAGGAGAGAAACTGCGAGCAAGTTGAAAGGAGCCATGGTTGGCAAAAAGAAATATGCAAAAGAACGTGGGGGGAAAAACACAGTAAGATGAGGAAAAGAATGTAAGGGTTGGTTCTAAAACATTGAGAAGCGGTCGACCAAAGCACTTTATATACAATTCAAGAGCTCAAGAGCTCCAGCTCTCCACCTGGCAATGGGCGTCTCCTGAAACAAACCATATCCACCATGGTCCTGGCCGTTGGTGAATTTCCCTCCTGCTTGATGTTTTTTTCCCTCCGGCCAAGCCGAAGATTAACAGAGGTGGACATGACAGGAGTAATTTTCCGACGCCTCAAGTGTCATACTGACACGCCAGGGGTCTCGCCTGCGATAGCCAAGTTCACATGCTTGGTTCTTTCCCCTGAGATAGAAAGCTTGGCATAAGTGGGTGGAAGTCCCCAAGTGGACAATAACAACAGTTTTGAGACCTTCGAGGACGAGAACAAGGACACTCATGCACACCTTGCTACAGAGTAGATGGAGCTAGGGGCCCTTTGAATGGAGAATAATCATTAGCGATGAGCTGTGGCTCGTAGAACGTCTTCGCCGGAAAACTTCTACAAATGACTTGAAACATCACCAAGAGTATAAAGTTGTTACTAGGAGGTGCCGGAGTTTCTACGGAGAATTTTAGTCTTGGCATTCACAACTGTCAGGGGGGTTCCAAGGTTATACAATTTTATTAACCGACCAATCTCACAATGAATCATAACTCTTCATCTCTCCATGTGGTTTCCGATAGAAATTTTGTATAATGTTGAACATGTTCATGGGTGGAAGTTGTAGCGGCAAATGACGTGATCGCATTAATTAAGGAGGTCTTTGACCCGATCTTCCGATCTCCTGATCTTCCGATCCTCAGAGCTTCGACATAATTTGTGCACCCAACTGCCGGAGAAATAACCTCTTGGATCCATACGTGGCTGAGTAATCTCTGTCTACCAGTAGACCTGCATCTGCATCTGGGGAAAGCAATCACTCCAATCGCAATAGGCGGAATGACTGAAACGTTTTCATCCGTGCCGGTCGTCGACTTCGCTCGGCTAAATGACCCTGCCACGAAAGATGAGGAGCTCTCAAATTTACGTCAAGCAATTTTCATCGTGGGGTTCCTATATTTGACCAACACGGGATTAGAGGTGCGAGCGACAACCATGTAGGTGACCGATCTGCTAACCCAAAATGTAGAGCCTAATTCAACATACTCATGAAAAGCTACCTGAATTCTTTGCCCTGTCAACAGAGGCCAAGGAGAAATGTAACATGATTAACTCGCCTTCGTTTCTCGGGTATACTCGCCTCGGTGCCGAGACCACTGCGACAAAGACGGATCTCCGCGAGGTGAGATTATTTCCTTTTGGGAAGCTGCTGCAGTTCTCGGGGACTAATCCTCTGTTTGTTTTAGCAATTTGATTTTGGAACCCCCGGTGTGAAACCCTGGACAGAGCAGGACCCCTTCTGGCAGCGGCTTGAAGGGCCTAATCAGGTGGGTCAAGGCCTCTTTGAAGGAATGTACCTACTACTAACTCCCAATAGTACCCAGATTACCCAGGCGCTCAAGATCTAGTCGACGAATATATTTCGAAGACTGATACCTTGGCGCAAGCATTCGTACGCCTTGTAGCAGAAAGCTTGTCCCTCCCACGAGAGACATTCGATGGCTTCAAGGGTAACATGAGCCGACTAAAGTTTGTCAAATACCCACCCGCAGCGCAAAACTCCCAGGGTGTTGGCCCTCACAAGGACTCGGCGGGTCTTTTCACCTTCCTGTCTCAGGACAACACAGGAGGACTCCAGGTACTGAACAAGAATGGAGAATGGATCGATGTGCCTCCCATTGAGGGAAGCCTTATCGTAAATATCCAACAGGGATTCGAAGCGATCACTGGGGGGATTTGCGCGGCCACGACACACCGAGTTATCGTATGTTTATCATATCATTCATTGCTGGACGTTTCTAATACCTTGCTCCTCATAGGCGCCCACTTCTAAGACGCGCTATAGCATCCCGTTCTTCCAGGGTGTGAGACTAGACTTGACGCTAGATCAGCTCAAGGAATCTGCTGCTCATATCGTGCAGCGCATTCCAGCTTCTGACGATAAGAAGAAACGGGCGGTTGATGTGCCGAGTGAATTCCTTTCTCCTTTGTATTCTTGCGTGAGTGATTCTGGTTTACGAGTTTCATGCATGGGACTAACGGATCGCAGTTCGGCGAGGCTCATCTGAGAAACCGCATCCTAAGCCATCCGGACGTGGGACAACGGTGGTATTCAGAGCTGTATGCGAAGTATTCACAGCAGGTCCTGAAATAGTATCAGAACATCTTGAAGCAGAATGTTACTTAGCTTGCACATATATATATATCCTGCGGATAACTACCACGAAACGAGAATTGAGACATTGTGAACCAGAACTTCTTTTGTGAATGACAGCGGACTAGAAGCAAAATACAGACAAAACATAGACAACTTTTAACATTGCATGTACTTAATTCTAGGTTCATGGTTGCTTTTTGTGACTCCAAATGTGACTCCAAATGTTACGCCGAGGAAATACCCACAAGTTCGCGGGGTAAATTCTTCGTGCCCACCATTTTTCCACTTTCAACCATGTCCGAGATCAATACTGCAGCCCTCGAGGCTCTGCGGAGCCGCATAAAGAGTGCAACTATCTATACACCTGACTCAGAGCGCTACAAAGACGTTCTAGTCCGCTGGTCGGACACTGGAATGAAATATGCGGTACGGAAGGAACAATACCAAATAAGACAATCGACTAATAAGTTGTAGGGTGTTGTAGTCCAGCCCATTGACGCACTGGATGTTTCGATCGCGCTGTCGTGGGCACAAGAGTATGATATCGATCTTGCTGTGAAATGCGGGGGTCATTCCACCGCCGGCACAAGCTCGAGCGATGGTGGCCTGGTCATTGATCTGTCGCGCATGAACAAAGCGACAGTAGATACCGAGCGCAAAACAATTACCGCTCAGGGTGGTGCAACTTGGAAAGAAGTCGACGACGCTGGTGCAGCCCACGGTTTGGCGGCCGTAGGGGGCACCGTGAACCACACCGGCATCGGAGGACTCACTTTAGGGGGTGGTTACGGCTGGCTGAGTGGACAGTACGGGCTTACTATCGACAATCTCTTATCAGCGACCGTGGTTTTAGCCGATGGCCGTATTGTAACGGCCTCTGCCACCGAGAATGACGACCTGTTTTGGGGATTGCGAGGTGCAGGATACAACTTTGGCGTCGTGGTAGACTTCACCTACCAGGCCTACGACCAGAAAGATCCCGTGTACTCCGGCCTCCTTGGATTTACTGCCGACAAACTGGAAGTAGTTATGGATGCCTTGAACGAATCCCTGGCAAAACCTGACTCGCGCTTCGGTGCGATGTGCATTTTCACGTTGGCGCCAGATGGATCTGGGCCGATGATCATCGTGATTGGCTTCTACAACGGTCCACGCGAAGAAGGAGAGGAGAAACTCGCCAGCTTCACAGCTCTCGAACCGGTGCTGAACACCCTTGATATGATCCCATATCCTGTGGTGAATACCCTACAGAGCCCGCAAGCGACCTACGGTGATCGCAAGTCTTTCAAGGGTATTTTCTACGAGCCGCCATTGGACCCTCACTTTGCGAGAGTGATGTTTAATGATTTCATGGCCAAGATTCAGGGTGAACCGGACCTCAAGACGTCTGCCATCATTCTTGAGTTTACCGACATGCGCAAGATTTGCGAAGTGCCCCTATCTGCGACCGCGATGGCAAGCCGAAATCCTACTCAAAATGGAATCATCTATCTAAGATGGACTGATGAGTCCAAAGATCTGGAACATCGCGCTTGGGCACGAGAAGTCCAATCTAAGTGGAAAGTTGAATTGGATGCCAGAACTAAAGACCAGGGTGTCGATTTGAGCGTGCCTCAGTACATCAACTACGCAGAACGTGAGTCCGATTGACCTAGAAATATTTGCATCGCAATATATACTGACATCTTACCTAGCTGGTGACTCGGTGGTAAGCAATATTTTCGGCGGAAACCTCGAGAGACTGCAAGAGGTGAAGGCGAAGTACGACCCAAAGAACGTCTTCCACAAAATGCAGCCTATTCCAACGGGCGCATCCGTTAGCAAGAAGGAATAGGAAGGACTTGAAATGAATTGACGGCCTCTTTTTTCAATATGGCTTCAGAGACTTTTTTCAATTGCGTTTTATTTCTGATGATTTTTCTTCCTAGTGGGTGAAAAGATAGGACTGCACAAGAATGGCCTAAATTGTATGAATGTACAGTTCTTTTACAACTCGGAGTATCACTAAGAACAACTTGCAACGAATTGAGGGACGAGAAACCTATTGAGCTATCCATAATACTCATGATCGTGGAAGAATGTGGAACTTGACAGCCTTCACAGTAGTCCAAACATCGAGAGCCTCTTCGCCCATGTCTCGTCCAAATCCACTTTCCTTTACTCTTCCAAACGGAACATTAGCGGCCAGTATCCCCCACGCATTGACAGTCACTTGGCCTGCCTCAATTTCCCTAGTCACTCGATGAGCGCGGCTAACATCATTGGTAAAGATGGCAGCACTGAGGCCGTGATGAGAATCATTGACTTTGAAGATGACTTCCTCCTCGGTACTAAACTTGGCAATACTCTGAAATGACCGGATTAGTATTCAAGATCACACAGCTTTGCATGGGAAATTTGCTTACCGCGACGGGACCGCAGATCTCCTCTCGCATGATTGTCGCATCGTCACCAACGTCTACAAAAGCAGTGTTTTGGACGAAATATCCCTTATCGCCAATCCGCTCACCACCGAACAGAAGCTTAGCTCCGGATTCCTTTCCTTGACTACATTCGTCAAGGATCTTCTCATGCTGCGCACCACTAACCACTGGCCCCTTTGTAGTAGAAACATCCAATGGATTACCAGCGACAGTCTGAGCATCAGCAGCAGCCTTTTTATAAGCCTCGATAAGCCGGTCATAAATGGTATCCTGAACATAAATACGTGACCCGGCCGCATACATTTGCCCCTTGTGGGATGTGATTCCAATGCGAGTCCAGAAGAGTGCGTTTTCGAAATTACAGTCATCAAACACAATAGATGGCCCTTTGCCTCCAAGTTCCAGACTGACCTTCTTTAGATTTGTTCGGGATGCTGCTTGCAAGATCTTGCGCCCTGAAAGAGCACTATCAGTGAAGGCTATCTTGCGTACATCCATATGTTCCGACAGAGCTCGGCCGGCGCTGGCGCACTCGCCCGTAAGGATATTCACAACACCAGGAGGAATACAGGCCTCCTTTACCAGCTCAGCAAGCCGCTGGCCATACAGTGGCGATAGCTCGGAAGTCTTCATAACCAAAACGTTACCAGTGATCAGAGCAGGAGCTAGCTTCCAAGTAGTGATCAACCTGAGAACATGTTAGACGTGTTTAGGGGGTTGAGTTACATAGGAGCATACAGCGGACCATTCCAAGGCAAAATCGCGCCACAGACACCCAACGGCTCACGATGCGTATACGCTATGCTACATTCCATGTCAAGTGTCTTGCCATCGATCTTCCCCGCCCAGCCCGCATGATATCGCAGACAGCTGATTGCGAGAGGGATGTTTGTTCCGATTGAATCGGTATACAGAATGCCTGCATCAACGGCCTCAAGTGATGACAGATCTTCCGCATCATGCTCGATCAAGTCTGCGAGTTTGAGCAATAGCTGGCCCTTGACTGGCCCGGGGACTGATCTCCATTCTTTGAAGGCCGACTTGGCGGACTTCACAGCCTTGTTGATATCCTCCGGGCCCGCAGCGGAGATTGTTCCAAGTTGATTTATAGTTGTGGGATTCTCCACAGATAGTGTCTAACCGGTAGAGGAGGAACAAATTCGTTGTGGATAAAGAGTCCCGTCGGAACTAGGTGTATTAGCAACGGTCACATCCAGCTCAAGGTAGACATACCTGTGATTTGGCGACCCTGGATGCCCGTGACGGTTAAGGTAGAAGACATTTGTATTGTCAAGGAAGATATTCCGATGTCAGATTCGCAGCTTTTGTCGTTCTGTCATTCCCTGGATAGTTCAGATGCCTTTTGTATCTGATTTCACCCGAATATTCCGTCGTCGTACGGAGCTGTGAAATCCGCGATTCCCGAGGCATAAGAACGAGTTGTCCATCAGAATGAGGGGTTAATGTATTAATAACGCTGTTTAGAGTTGATTTAGATGCTCTAACTCGATGATAGACATTAAAAATGAACAAAAACTGCCACTTTTAAGGCGCTCCTTCTCTGTGTAGTATTCGTGTTTTTATCTTCTAGCTGCAGTGTGCAAATAAGATAGGGCACAAAACCAGACACATTTGAACCTGAAGCTTAGACTGAAGGTGCTCCTGTATACAACCCTCGAGAAGAAGAAGCGTTCATCATAGTATCATTTCCCAATCCGACCGGACCCATTCTACGCGTCGGCTCTGCATATCGGCTCTTTTCCAGGATGGCAGATGGCAACGGGAGAGCGACCCATGGACGAAAATAAACGGACGGAAATAAACGGCGTAAGTCTTTAGTTGTGGTTTATATTGGGGTATTCTGTTGAATGGTGTAATACTAGCATCCTGCCGGCTGTGTCAAGTCAGCCTTTAATATTCTCAGTCATGACCGGAGGAACTCACGACTATGTCCTCTATTTAGCTTTCCAAAAGGCCCAGGCTAAAACAAGAACGCCCTTGATGCCGGCCGATAGCCAGAGGATAGGAGAAATCGCCCCAGTGACCTTGGTGACCCATCCGCCGACGATGGCACCCACAAGTGTTAGCACAAATGCAATGATCCGACGGTCGCGTTTCACATTCCTCACAAGAAATAGCTGGGGGTCTGACATTAGATCACAGAGAAGACTGGTAATCACCACGGTCGGGATCTCATTGAATCCCATGGCACGACTCGCTACGATCTGACCGGCAGACTGGAGACTCAGGAGAACAATCGGGACTTCCTGGTCCCAGGGGGGTATTGCCTGCGATCCTTTGCTGTCTAACGTACTACTGATGGCACCTCCTTGAACCAGTCCAGCCGTAAGTAGGATTATACTAGCCTGTAATACGAAAGACAGCATCAACGACCTGCGTTGCCGAGCGCCAAAAAAGCGATGTAGGCGTGCGAAAATGAAGGATCCGACGATGAAACATCCGATGGATGTGAGCGAGCGTGCCCAGCCATACGCACGGAGGTTTTGGTGCGATGCACCTAGTCCGACGAAGATAGTGTTTCCTACAAATGACAAATGGTTGTGATTACTGGACATTGATGTGGGAGTGTGGATGGGTGAGGCCATGGCCTTACCTGTTTGCATAGAGACAAAAGTGTTGTAGGCTACATACTACGTTAGTTGAGTAGAGGGGATTTGGACACTGTCCTACCGCGGTAGATCGTGCTATCCATAAGCCCCGATGTCAAACAACACGTGTAAAGTAGAAGATCGGCATGCTGCAGCTCGAGCTCATCTTGAAGAGATGCGGAGATTCCACTAAATGCACCTTTTTCATGATCCATCTCGGATTATATTGACTACAGTGAGGGAGAAATGAAGAGGGGGATGGAAAAGCCAGGGAGACACAGGAAATCTTCCAAATAAAGGACAATTGACAGAGACTTTTTTTTTTTTTTCCGCGGCGATCGAAGGACGGGTGAAAAACCCTTGAAATTTGCCAACATCTCCTTCCCCTCTCACTCCCCTGGTCAATTGCATCAGAATCTCACCGAATTGATTCACCAAGATGGGGCCAAGGGATTTCGAAAATTCCGAAGCTCCGTGTAATTCCAAGAACTGCAGTCCTAGAAGCGAGATAACGACCGCCACAATCACATTCCATGCATAACGCCCTCGTGGCTCTGTTGATCGGGCCGCAGACCAAGCCGACTTCGCACTAACTTAGTCTCCGATGTGTGCCTAGAGCGCCAAGGATGACTCGGTGGAATGGATGCTGGCGAATTGCTTGGCGGCGCCTTTCTCTCCTAAACGGCGTCCGCGGGCAGTACTTTGTGTCACTATGGGTCCTCATTGAGGGGTTGATGTACTTCATGTACGACCCGCTGTGCATGATCCCCAGGCCTTGTGGCAGCCAAGAGCCAGTCTCAGATTTGCACACACAGCCTCCCGATAGGACGATACCAGAGACATTGAGGCCAAGTCTGACGAATCAATGGCGCATATTGCTGCATAGGAAATCCAGCATTCAACCCTCCATTTCTGCCTTGAGTACATCAATATCCAATTCTGCCATAACTCCAAGCACAACACCCAGACTCTCCATAAATCCATTGACAGAAACGCGCAACATTCGGTTTGTGGTCGCGGTGTACGTTATATTTAACAAGGTTTTAGACTCTTCAGGGTCCTGCTTTTGCTTCTTTTCTTGAGGCTCAGATGGCGCCTCGACCGCCGGGGCTTCGAGGGTCAAAGCCCGTCGCACAAAGGGGGATAGTTCGGCGTCAACTTCCAAGGCGCGTAGTGCGCATGATGCGAGGCGATTGGTTGGGAGGGGGAGGGAGATTGTGCTGAGTCAAAAACGTGAGTATTTCTTGGTCTATTCGGGCCCTTTTTTTTCGGGGCTATTTCGGCGAGGAGGGGCTTACAGCGAGTAAGGGAACTCGGTAGTTGTTGGTTGTTTGAAAGCCATGATAAGCGTAATCAAGTGGGTAAATCTGGAAGGAGATCGTCGTTCTGAGTTTAAAGAAGGCGTCTTCCACACAGCAGGGGGTTATCAGTAATTGGTATGGCGAGGACATCGGGTGGAAATTGGCGATGCGGTCGGAGTCCTGGAGTCCCTGAAGGAGTCGCCGGGGAACCAAACGGATGACTCAGCTCCGCGACCAGCGCCCAACAAGGTTAGTGGAGTCTAACTGGCCAACCTTGGCAATGGTGTACGGAGTGCACAGGTACACAATGCACAACAATATGCGTTGATTCGCTACACAGCACTCGAATGGTGCCTCGTGCATTTTTTTGGGTGATGATCTCCCGGTCTGAAGATCTTGGCGAACGAGGGTCTTTGTGGAACGGTGCATTTGGCCAAGAGGCAGATAGACCCTGTGAAAATATCGTCGCGCAGATCTCTTCCGTGAAAAGAGCGCAATATATGCAGTCATCCTGCCAAGGTACCTCACATTGATTACTTTTCGTTGAGAAGCGAGGTATCAGGATCAATGTTTGTGGGCCGAGTCCTCCGTAGCCAGCCTATCTCAATCAATCTACAAACCCCGATACAAACATGCATTATCTTCACCTTGACTGATTCGTACGGGGATATATCTATACAGAAATTATTGGGGCTCTTGATAGTGAATCTTGATTGATGGGATTAATCTGGGCCTGGTTAGCGCTGTGGATCTTCGGCAATAAATCTTCTTCATGGATTCACTCAGCTGAGGTCATTTAGGACTAGTACGACGCGAAGGAAGATAAGGGTATCAGGGCGTTCTTGGCATATGGTGGAATGTTACATTCCCAAGAGACCAAGGCCTTTTGTCTTTGGTCAGATGCGTTTGTCCTATACGAGCAGGCAGACGTTTCTACTCTCGGATTGGTGTCTAGATGTAGCGAATACTTGCGGGGCATAGAGCTCGAAAATATAAAGAGGAGCGTTGTCCTTCGTAGATTAACCTGTTGTACAAGAGCTCAGGTGTCCAAACAAGAAGACTGCTCCTTTTTTATCTCTACATTCAAACATGACTATCACAATTACCGTCGAGAAGGATGGGTACTACGAGGTCAATGGGACCCGACAGGAGCCCACTGTCTCTCTCTATGTGATTCCCGCAGCTTCCAAGTTGCGTCGCATGCTGAAGGATACCAAAGAGCTCATTGTGTGTCCTGGTGTGTATGATGGCCTCTCGGCTCGCATTGCCATGCAGGTTGGTTTCAAGGGACTGTACATGGTAAGAACTCTGATGTCTGATACCACGTGCTCACATGCTGAACGAAGAAACAGACCGGCGCTGGCACTACTGCATCACGCCTGGGAATGGCTGACCTCGGCCTGGCCCACCTTCACGACATGAAGACCAATGCTGAAATGATCGCCAACTTGGATCCATTTGGACCTCCATTGATTGCAGACATGGATCATGGCTACGGAGGTTAGTGATTAGCACTCTAAAACGATAGATTCTTATCGCCTGTTTGAAAAGCACTCTAACCTTCTTCCAGGTCCCTTGATGGTGTCAAGATCTGTACAGCAATACATTCAGGCAGGTGTGGCTGGCTTCCACATTGAAGATCAGATCGCAAATAAGCGTTGCGGCCATCTCAATGGCAAGAAGGTCGTTGGCTTGGATGAATACCTCATGCGCATTCGTGCCGCCAAGCTGACCAAAGAGCGCTTGCACTCGGATATTGTTCTGATTGCACGAACCGACGCGCTCCAACAACACGGTTACGATGAGTGTATCACTCGACTGAAGGCTGCCAGAGATATTGGAGCTGATGTCGGACTACTTGAGGGCTTTACTTCAAAGGAGCAAGCCCGTCAAGCAGTTCAGGATCTGGCACCTTGGCCTCTTCTCCTCAACATGGTGGAGAATGGAGCGAGTCCCCTCATTACCACAAAGGAGGCTGAGGAAATGGGTTTCAGAATCATGATCTTCTCATTCGCCACCATCACCCCAGCTTACATGGGCATCAAGGCCACTTTGGAGCGCCTCAAGGCGGATGGAGTTGTCGGTGTACCCGACGGACTCGGACCACGGACCATCTTCGAGGTCTGTGGGCTGATGGATTCTATGAAGGTTGATTCAGAATCTGGAAATGACGGATTTGCCAACGGTGTCTAGAGCGGTGTTATCATGGTGGATACATGCATGTTTTGCATTGGATGAGCAACGGAGTTTATATAGCTATTCTCATGTCTTCTTAACTATATCATAAAGCGAGATACTCAAATTGAAAGCAACAGTCGCAATATACACTTCTTCAAACGAGCAAAAATCTTCCAAAATCTTCCAAAATATTTCTAAATCTCATCCGAGTCTGCGTCGTCTTGATGAGATTCCGTTTCATCGATCCTGTCAGCGGAAAGAGCAACCGGGAGGATCTTTTTCACAATCTCCTTCTCAACTATAGACCATTCGCCTTTTCGAACGACCTTGTATAAACCAGGCCACAGGCTAGCCTGAACGAATCCATCCGAGGTATCCTCCTCTGTGAGCGCGCGCATTCTCTCTTTCCGGAACGGCAACCCGTATTGGTGACTACTCCAGAACATGTATTTGTCTTGTTGGCAATCCAATTTATGTTTGAATTTGACACAGCGCGCAATGATGTCGTGTAGCTGTTGCATTCGTTTAGATTTGTCAGTAACAGCGTAGCGACCAAAGCAGGCTTCTACCTTCTCGATGATCCAATTGCATGATTCTTGTAAACTAGGAGATTCCAATGATAGAATAGCAGTGCTCATCGCACATCGCCAATGTCGGGAAATATGGTTGGAAACTTATTTGGTTAGAACGCAGTGACAATAGTGATTTTCGGAGCGCTTACACTGTTGATTTATTTCCAAGTCGACCTTGCGGAGATAATTACTCCAAAGGTGATCGGCTCCAACCATAAATCGGTTCCAAAACGACCGATAAATTAGCCCGGCTATGTCCGACTGGATAATATCCAATGTCGAGATATCAAGCCTGTCTGATCTTGCTATGGGATCGCTCGTTTGGTGAGATGTTGACTTTGCACCAAAATGAGTAAACTTCCAGTGTTCAAGATCATGATACAGCAGAGACATCTCTTGTTTGGCTTCTTCATCGGAGAAAGTCTCGGTTTGAGCTTGCAGGCTTGCTATTTTGGTCAGGAGGATCCGGTTCTCTTTTCTAGCTTCTTTTGACTCTCGAGCAGCCTTTTCGAGCAGCTCTCCTAGTTGACGAGCCTGCTCCTCTGCAAGAAGCCGACCCCTGTGAATTTTCTCTGCCGTTTCTCTGGTACTTTTGATTTGCTGTTTGATTTGTTAAACAAAGATCAGTATAGAAGGAACCTTTCCCCACATACCTCACGTAGCCCTTCAAGTTCATCATACATAGCCTTTTGATCCATGCAAGCTAACGGATTCATTAAATTACATTCAAGCCACGAAGGAAAAAACGAACCAATAGTAAGTGGCCCCCATTTTGAGGATAAATCTGGGGACGCTGGAGTACTCTTGTTCGCCTGGTCAGGCTCAGGTCCATCGAGAGGCCACATTTCGTACCAATACTGGTTTGGATTTTATCCATGAGACATTTTCTAAGTTGATGACACCACAATTAGCCGATGTATAAATATGCCTCACGCCGACGCTCATTGCGGCTAAGCGCAGGAGTCAATGATATCAAACTTGCGAAATGAGCAAACTTTTGAATGAATAAATATCCCCCACCAGACTTTTTTCTCACAAAAGGTTTCTCCCCAGACTCTGTTTTGCAACATTCAAAAATCAAGACAAGGAGTGCGAACTCAACATGGCGATCACAGAGGAACGGCCAAAACTCATAGTGGGTGTTGACTTTGGAACAACCTTCAGCGGGTAAGTATACATTTTTTTTTAATAATGGAGATGTAATAAACTGACCATGATAGTGTTGCTTGGGGTATGGAAGACAGTCCTGATGATATTGAAGTCATCCAGACATGGCCAGGTGGTGGTAACAGTGAGTCTTGTATAAAATATAACCCAAGTTCATCAAAACTAATAGTTTCATAGTCACCAGCCAGAAAGTCCCAACTCTGTCTTCTTACAGGGATGGTCGCATGAAATGGGGTCATCAAACTGACCAGTCGAGCCATCCGGGCAACGAACACGGGCTCATCCAAGGAGTCAAGCTTTTGTTGGATGAAAGCCAGAAATACCGCTACGCACCTGCTAGTGACTCTCAGGAAATTATCAAGGAGCTAAATAAAACGCCAGTGGAGGTTGCTGGTGATTATCTGGAAAAATTGGTCGCCCACGCTCGGAAAGTTTTGAAACGTCGTTTTGGAACTGCACTGCAAACCATGGACTTGGAATATATTCTGACTGTCCCCGCTGTGTGGTCTGACAAAGCCAAAGATCTTACCATGCAGGCAGCACACCGAGCTGGTATATCTTCTGCGAGTTTGAGACTGTTATCTGAACCAGAGGCGGCTGCGGTGTGTGCGATTCGAACAATTCAACCGAATACAGTCGCGGTATGGATTTCACCCCACCATGAGTTGTAGTTGAATGATCTGACAAATTATAGGAAGGTGACTGCTTGATTGTCTGCGATGCCGGTGGTGGAACAGTCGTGAGTATTTCTTGTACAGAACTATGTAGTTGGACAAATTTGAGTAACAATCATAATAGGACATAATTACCTATCGCGTCACGCAGACGGAGCCACTCAGAGTTGAGGAAGCTACAAAGGGAACTGGTATTTATCAAAGGCATACACTCTTGCTTCTTTCTAACAAATCTCTGACATATTCTAGGTGCTGTCTGTGGCTCTGTGATGTTGGATGAGGGATTCGATGCACTTATCAAAGACACCATTGAGAAGGAGTCGCATCAACCGATCCCTCAGTCTACCGTGAGGGCTGCAAGAAAATACTGGCAAGACTACATCAAGCCTAGTTACACAGGTCCTCTTGATGACGATGACATGTGTGATCCAGGATATTGGATCCCCGTTCCCGGGGTTTCAGGGATCTCAAACGTCGAGCTCAGTGAGGGGCACTTGTATCTAGAAAGGTATGTGTGTTTACTTTGTCGGTTCAGCTACAGACTACTCTAATCAGATACAGCGACCAAGTGAAAGGAATCTTCGATCCTATCATTAAGCAGATTGAGAATCTCGTCACCAAGCAGAGAATGAGCGTCAAGGCAGCAGGTCATGCGACTAAGGTGAATGCTCAAAGCACTTTCAAAAGAGACTCAATTAACTTTAATTAGGCTATTATTCTGGTTGGAGGTCTTGGTGCCTCTGTGTATCTCTTCAAGCGCCTACAGGCTGCTTCTGATGGGATCCAAATCATGCAGCCCCCAAACGCGTAAGTCCTTAATCTTTTGTTGACTCAAACCGGTACTGATATAAATGCAGGTGGTCTGCTGTTGTTCGGTACGCATCTAAATCATTCTTAACACTTGTTTTGTATCTAATAGGTCCAGTGGCGCTGTTATCCGTGGACAAGAAGGAAACCAAGTGGACAGTCGCATTGCCCGAAACAACTATGGAATTACCATGAGAGTCCCGTACGATTCCACACAGCACCGTGCAGACAAAAACCTCCATTGGTGTAATTACGAGGAAAAATGGTATATGCATAAGCGTATGAAATGGTATATCCTCAAAGTGAGTAGCCCGTGCCCACTGACCATCCCATGGAGGCTATGAGTGCTTACCTGATGAAATTTGAAGGGGAAACCCATAGCCGAAAGTGAGCCAATAAGGATGAGTTTCTATCGTGTGGTCGGTGTTGGCAATTCCTTGGTATTCCAGGATTCATTGATGTTTTGCCAGTCAACTACAGCCCCCGCAGAGGAGAATTCCAGTATGTCCCCACCATGTCGCCAATGCATATTACTAACTTGAAAAGGGGTCATGGAACTGTGTGAGATGGAGGCAGATCTGAGCAGAATTCCGAAAGAGCTTTTTACAAAGAAAACGAACTCTAAAGGACAACAATTTTACCTCATAGACTTTGACTTGGTCATAACGCCAACTTCTGCATCGTTGTTGTTTGACCTACAGTTTAATGGTGTCTCCTATGGGAGCGTGAGATCTCGCTATTGAATTCTACTACGGCGAACCGAGAAAAGTATGTCTTAGGATAGCTGGGTTGAAAGGGACTTTTCGCCTATGATAGGTGTTGCTGTGCTTCTTGGACGGTCAATCCCTTGATTGCTTGGAATTTGCTTTATGACATAGTGGAGAAGACAGAAATAGTTTACTTTCCTTGTGATAAAATATAAGACACCGCGTACTAGCTAGTTTCCCACAAGTCTGGCATGGTATATTGAACGGGATGCGATATCAATTATCCCTGGCACCCTGGAAAATGGACAAATGCTGCAAGCCTGAGCCTTCCAAAACATCCAACGGTGCCACGAAAGCCATTTGACTCCACGAGAAAACAGTATTCCTTCCGCCATAGATAAAGACTTCAAAGCGGCCGACAAAGGCTCCATCCACCCACACACGACTTCCATATATCTCGTCTGTGGAGATGGTGACTTGTGATTTGCGGGGGATTGTCACAACCTCATGGCTTGAGGTGGTCTTGTTAGCCCAAATTCGTCCAGGCTGGTCTTGGTCGAAGCCATCAGCTTCAGCAACAGAGCGAAGAGGATATGGCCAGCCATCAGAAACAAATGTCAATTCGCCGTCCGATGACAACGTAAGTGTCGCATCAGAGGACTTCAAAGAAAAAGGACCTGTGACGTCTAGCTGGAGAGTATAATCCATGCCCTTACTGCCATAGCCCAGATGATATTCATCCTGATTGGACTTTTTAGTTGGTCTTTTCCATGAAAGCAAATGTCCCGATCCATGACTTCTTTCTCCTGGGAGGAGTCGGTCGAGATTTTGCCCAACAGCTTGAGAGGATAATTGTGCAATAGATTTGGCCAAGGTTTGTTCGTGTAAGCGAGGTCCACGCGCACCACACCATGCTCGTGAAGCCACAACCGGGATGCCATCACGGATTGCATAGTAGGCTTCAAGTTGGGTAGTGGCGTCCGGACCGCTGTCATTCCAGGCAGCCAAAAGAGCACCCGGTACAGCTTTGGCATCCGGTTGTTCAGTCTTGTTCACTGGATTGAAGAGCTCTGGCGTCCACTGCCACCCATCTTGATCGGCGAAGTTGACAACGCGGGTGTTGTTGAAGAATTGAGGATAGGGGGCTGGGCTAATAGGCACATGGTTGCTTTTCAGCGACATATAGGCCCACCAATCCTCGGAGTTGATAACCTTGTAGCCATTGCGGGCTAGATCAACTGGATCCGATTGTCCATACTGCCAATGTTGAATTGTCACATTCTTATCAATGGCAATATCTGATGGCTCGTATGTGCCCCAAATACGGACAGTCTTGCCAGAGGTTTCTTGCACAAATCGGGACATCTCGTTCACAAACTCAACATAGTCATTTGCATAGTTAGCATCGTACTCATCGGCGCCGATGTGCACCTCCTTCGTGTGGAACCAAGGAAGGAACTCGGTCCAGATAGACTTCATCAACGGGACAGTGTCCGGATGGGAGAGATTGAGCAGATCCTTCGAGTTCAATGCGAGATCAGGTCTCCATTTCGTTACCGTGAGACAATGCCCGGGGCTTTCAATCTCCGGCATCACCGTCACACCTCGCTGGGCACAGTGATGCTGGAAGTCGTCAAACTCAGCCCGGGACAGCGTTTCATTGGCACGTTGGACAAGAGGGTGAAGAGCCTCATTTTCGGGGTGCAAAGAAAACTGCGAATAGACCTCGTTCCAGGTCTCGTTGTGACCGCGACTCAGTGGATAATTGTCGGTCGCATGGTACTGAAACTCGGACATTTTGAAGAACGAGGCATATGTGCACAGATCTTTCAAAAACTCCAGCGAATACCATTTGCGACCAGCATCTAGCAGAAACCCCCGAGTCGCATAGGCGGGCGCATCTTCTACGCGACCGGGTCGCAGAGATGAGGGTGTCACAACGAGCTGCTGGAGGAGCGTTCGCGTCCCCCACCACATACCTCGCGCGCCGGAACCGCGAATAGACACGCTGCCATCATGGATCTCCAACTCATATCCTTCTTCGGTCTCGTGTCCATTTTCGTAAGTAAATCGGTCCGGGTGGTCTGTGCGACTGAGGAATATTCCCGACGCGTGTTTGGGGAATCGCTTGACCGTGCGAAGCTCCCAGGAACTATTAGTCAGTTCCTGTAAGTCATCGCGAAACGTATTGGCGAAGTCGGATGCCGACGGTGGAATCAGCGTCAGCCCATTCTGATCCTTCCAACTAGCGAAATCGGCATCCAGGTAGATTGTCCGGTCGGTGGTTGCTAACGAAAAGCCTCTATGGCCTGGACCACTATTACCAAATTGGACAGGGGGCAGGCTCTGCAGTGCAGATGCGACTGCGGCGAGGGAGATGACAATCCACTTCATGTCTGGACATTGCCACGTTTGCTGCAGTGTGAACTGGCCTTTTTATGCGCAGCAAGGGGTTGTATATGGCAGCGTTACATTCCTTGTACAGGGGCGTGGGGGTATTGCGGGATGTACAGGGGGAGGTAGGGTAGGGTTGCGGGGAAGTGTGGAGTTGATACTCCGTACACCTGCGGGGTTTCATATTGGCAGAGTAGTGCTTATTCTCCTTCTTCCAAGCTGCTTAGGTCGTATATCCAATGCATACAGATAAGCAGGTTGCATTAACAAGTCGAACACATCACACTATTCCCAAGTACAGCGCAGTCTCACTATATTGGCTGCTGCAGGCACTGCGCCGCTCTGCCAAGTTACTCACTCGTTGGCAGGGAACACAAAAAACCATAGAATCAACTTTTATTCAAATACACAAACGATCATATGTTGTCTATATCTCTTTCTGGTCCTTTTCTATTTCCGCCGTGCTTTTTTCCGGGCAATGTGTTGGAATAAACCGCTCACGATACGCTTGATGAGGAACTATGTAGATGTAAGTGAATATGCACTCAAGAAACAGTGTCACGGGAGCATCTGCTTAAGGTTCTGGTATATCAGGGTTTACCATGGCCGCTTGGACATGCACAGGGAGAACAAAAGTATTTCTCAGTCCCCCCCAGTGAAGCGCATCAAGTCTTGCAAGTCCGAGTTTCACAAGTGGAAAGCTTTGGCTCTGACACCGCAGAACCTGTAGCCACGAGTCTACTAAATGCTTTCCCCGTACCGCATGTGCCATATTCGGAGCTTGTACCAGTAGCAGCATGAGGTAATTTGAAATTGTGGCAAAACCAATTCGCGACCCTACAACGTTAGCACCTATTCAGGTTAAGTAATGGAGGTCAACATAGTAAGCTTACAAGAATACCAGAATGCCGTGAAATCACTAGACGTCAGTCGTCTCGCAAAGTTCACCAATATGGAAGCACACTTCTCTGCTGCGTGTAGAGTGGCATCGCCGGTGCCAAACTCATCGGAGATGGCTATTTCCGGTAATGATTCGATTTCTGGGAGATCCATGAAGTCTAATATCGAATCTTCTATGGGCACGGGTGATGTGGCAGACATATCTTCCAAGTCAAAAATAAGCGGCGGGTCGGATGATCGTGCCATCGGTCTGAGCATCGCACGGTAAACATAAACCACGAGCAACAGGTAAGCAAAATGGATCGACGTAGGGTACGGGGCAAGGCCATTGACAGATTTGCTCCAATTGGGAAGTCGAAAAGTCTCAGGGAGAGAAGAATACCAGGCATTCAGTTTTTCAAGCAGACCGCGCCCTAGCTCAGCAGAGGCGATAAAGTTTGCGTTCAAGAATTGGGAGGCCCGGAGCGTGCTACAAATCGGAATCAGCAAGATTGCTTCTCGCCGGGGGACGAACAAAAAGCTTGAGAGTCAAAACTTACTAAAATGTGTCATGGATCTCTTCGCCGATTCGTGTGAGATTGATAAGGTATCGGAACGGAATCTCGGTATCACAAGAACTAGTTGAGAATCCTTGTCGCGGGCCCACTAAGAAGTCCCCTTCATCCAATTCACTCACATCCCACTCTGCAGGGTGGATATATGGTGGACGGCCCATCAGCAAACTGCGCCATTTGTCTTCAGCATACACAGCCCACCACAACCGCCGCCGGAGGCGCTTCTCCCATGCCGGGATGCCCCACATACGGCATTCAATGTGAAGGCCGAGGGAACAGGCTAACCCCACGATTTGGCCGACGAAGGACCACAGAAACGGGGTATCGGCGGTTGTGAGACGCGTTTCATCCTTCGGCGTTTGGTGTATATATAGTAGCGCTGCTTGCAGCACAGCCAAACGGGGACTGTGTATCTCTTCGGTCACGAGTTCATAGACCATCCGCCACAAAGTCTCAACTGGTGACGCGTTATACGTGCTCAGCACACAGAGATAGTCATCATGGGCGACAAATGGAAATGCCGATGCATAGATGGCCGCAAGAAGGTGCACTGGGACCTTTTCTAATGCTGACAGCTCTGGTAGCTGATATGTTCCCGCAGTCAACCCTAGTTGGGAACGGGAAATGATTGGCAGGGCAGGGAAGACATACTTGACAAACCTGCTGTTGTTAGTTCAGTGGTGCTTCAGACTTATATTAAGGGGTCGTACTCACAAAGCTACTAGTCTCCTTCCATACTCAGGGGGTACTAGATAGTCCAGGCGTTCCCGTGTCGCTTCGCCGACTCCGGCCCTAGTTTCATGTTTAATGGAGGTAGTGAGCTCTTCAGACGAAATCATGAAGTGTATTGGGATTCGCTGTGCCGTAGGGACACCTCCAGCATTGCGAAAGTGCACTTTGTAGAAATATTTCATGCCAGAATCGTCAAAGCAACAATGTCTTAACAGCCAGGGGTCTGATTCAGCAGATGCGCCGAAAAGCTGGGCATGGCCGTGTTCTAGTTGATCAATGCTCTGTACGAACTGGGTCGAGGGTCTTCCAGGGGCTAGAACGCCGGAGGCGGGAGATAACCCATGATTACTTGGATCGAGGCCGATAGTTGGGAATCGTGGGTCGACACTTTGTCTGCCACTCTCTGCCAGACTGGACTCGCGGGTGAAATTGCTTTCGTGTGTCTGTGGGACAAGTGTATTGCCTTCAACACTTCGGGTGCCAAATGGCGATGAATTCTCTCCGGTCCGCGCTCTTTTTGGTGGGGGTTTATCAAAGGTACATTGTAGTTTAGACGCCCGACATCGCTGGCAGGAGCCTCCGCTGTCAGTTTGACATCCTAGCTTGCGACCACGGCATTGATCGCACGGGCGCTGACGTTTTGACCGATATGGCCGAGCAGATAGAGGAGAAGACATGGCTTGTTTCAGCTAATCGGCGAACGCAAGGAATGTAGTATGTTGTAGGCAGACGCGCAGTTTATCAGGCCAAACTACTAGGTAAGTTATCGGCCAACGGCGAACAGTGGGCGGCCGAGACGAATGGCAGAAGTTAAGAAAATTCACACAACAAGGTTGCCCGAAAGATGCCAGGCGAATCGATGCCGTCAGGTGGACCGCCTCGGGGGACATAGCCTAGTTACGTCATCCGCCGAGCGGCCACGACGAGCCGGCGAACTCAGACAACCAGTGGCCATCTCGGCATAACTTTATACGCCAGAACCAACCTAATGCTTTGGGTAGAAGCAAATTTTTACAGTTCGGCAATGGTAGGCAGCATATATAAATGGCCTAGATATCCGGACTATAGATAATTATGAGGGACTAAAAAAAAATATCAAAACATATATGTCCACCCAGACGTGAAGCGCATTGCTTAGTTATCTTAAAACAAAAATTCACATCTCCGCTTCTGGTATATCCTATATCATATCCTCAAAATGCCCGAAAGCAGCAGATTGAGTCGATTCGATCACCTCAAGGCTATTTTTTCCCGAAATTCTAGCCCAGAGCCCGAGACCAAGGATGATTCAACGTCTGAGACTACACTAGTCCCACGGTACGACTACCCCAAATATGCATAGAATATCACGATGCTAACTCATTGTAGAGAGACAAAACCAAGAAACCACAAGAAGCGCGATGTTCTCCAGGATTATAATGGTAAGTACTTCAACCCTAATATCTAGAATGTCATGCAACATCAGCTAATGGGGAATGCTTGCCTAGCAGCCGATATGTGCTTCGGCTCTTGCTGCCGAAATTGATATCGGAGATATAAGATCTTCCCAATGAGGACCATACACCCAAGCAAAAGTTACTAGTATAAGCATTTCGATACCCCATTTGTGGGAAGATGAACATCTTGAGCCCCCCTGTTACATAATCTTCATAATTCATAATTTAACATCATTTACTTTTTTTCCCCTTCACTCCTGGGGGTTTTTGTTCCATTCTCTGAATATGAAGATTAGGTACTTGAGAGTTAGGCTAAGCGGTAACGAGATCAGGTGGTAGCTTGTAGAACTATAAATGGATTGACGTAGGGACTCAGCATGTGCGGAAAATTGTGGTTTGGCATTAATTGCATCCCAGTTATTTTGATATGAAAAAAAGGCTTCAATTGGAGGTCTCTCCTCTGATTTGATATAACATAGGAAAATAAGAGAAATGTGGTGATATAAAATCTCACTAAAACGCTTCTCCCCACAAAACCGGGGGAGCGGGGTAAGCGAAAATGCATAAAAACGGTACGCTTTGCACTTGTCATGTTCATTGGCATACAATCAGCATTAAACTGCATAAATTGTGTTTAGAACATTGCAAACTGTATGCGATCTCCCGATGAACCCCCCTAATACACTCGATTTTTAATTAACTGGCTGATCCTGGTCTTCCAATTAAGCGACCGAGTTCCGAGCTACAAGTGAGGGGCCCAGCCGAAGCCGCGGGGGCTCAGACAATTGATATTAAAATGGCTTCTTCCTCAAGCTATTTCTCAATAGCAATAGAACTCGATAATCTTGTATCCGGTCATTCCTTTTAGTCTACTACAACTCATCGGCGTCGATCGCTCAGCACAGTATGATTTTCGAACCGGCAGAACGGCTTCTGCTTCCAACAACTGACATATTGTCCTATATTTTTGACAAGCCATCATATGACCAAGACCAGCCAGTGAGTATCAATGAATAACCAGCTTTATGGTCAATCGGTTGCTGGACTGACCTTGGTAGATCTACATCGATGTCAGCGATCACACCCGGTCAATCTCCTGTAACCAGGCGCGAAAGCTCATCTGTCGGCTCATTGCTGGCCTGAGGGCATCTGGGCTGAAACAAGGCGATTGTGTTCTCATCCATTCTTTCAATGATGTAAGGGTTTTAGCAATTCTACCGTGCAGTTGAAATCAAGTCACGGGGTGCTAACTTATTTTAGATCCATTACAGCATTCTTGTGTTGGCCATTATCGGAGCTGGAGGGATTTTTACGGGCTCTAATCCATCTTACACTCCCCATGAGCTCGCTCACCATATCCGGGCTTCCCAAAGCAAGTTCCTTTTCTCCGAGCCCGAGATCTTGGATTCTCTCCTGCGTGCGGTTAAGGAGACTGATGTAGCTGAACAAAACATTTGGATTTTTAACAATCTGGGACAAGCTATCCCGGATGGAATGCGCTCATGGAAACAGCTTCTAGAAGTCGGTGAGGAAGATTGGGTGCGATTCAACGATCTCAAAACCTGCGAACAAACTTCAGCGGCGAGATTGTTTAGCAGTGGCACCACAGGTCTGCCCAAAGCGGTGACAATCACACACCAAAATTTCATTGCAGAGCATGAGCTTTATTATGGCTCGAATCCGCGTCCTTACTCTGTCAGTTCATTCCCGGTATCAGCTTGGGGGAGATTTGGAAAATGAGTGATGGTATTGCTGACACCTGACATGCCCAAATAGATTTCGCGGGTTATTGCAATGCCTATCTTCCATGCATCTGCAGCTCCAATTGCGCATATTTCCACACTGAAAGCTGGTGCGGTTGCGTACATGATGCGTCGGTTCAACCTCGAGACTTACCTCGCTACAGTCGAAAAATACAATGTCACAGACCTGGCAATGGTTCCACCGATTGTGATCTCAATCCTGATGTCGCCTCTTTCTCAAAAGAAACCTTGGCTGCGAAAGACCCTCGCGGCAGCCTGTGGAGCTGCTCCCTTGGATAAAGGCGTCCAAGCCAGGTTCCGCTCCCTGATGGGTGACGACAAGCCGTTCACTCAGGTATGGGGCATGACTGAAACATGTTCTGTTGCTACCATGTTCCCCTTTCCCGAGCACGATGATACAGGTTCTGTTGGAAGACTCATTCCAAATCTTGAAGCTAAGTACGTTACACCCAGTCCCCTTAGCAAAGTTGCAGCGTTGTCTCGAGTCATCGACTAATTTCTAGTTTGTTTAGACTCATCGACGAAGAAGGAAACAATATTTCGGCCTTTGACGTGCGCGGCGAGTTGTGCGTCCGAGGTCCGACAGTGACACCCGGGTACTTCAATAATCCCGAGGCCAATGCGGAGTCTTTCGATTCCGATGGTTGGTTCAAAACAGGCGACATAGCCTATTGTGACAAGAGTACCCGCAAATGGTATATTGTGGATCGCAGAAAGGAATTGATCAAAGTCCGCGGCTTCCAGGTGGCACCGCCGGAGCTCGAGGCTGCGCTCTTGTCGCATCCGGAGGTTGTGGATGCAGCTGTCATCGGAATCACATTCCCTGGTTCTGATATCGAGTATCCACGTGCCTACGTGGTTCGACGACCCGGCGATGCAGGGTCCAAGCTGACGGAAGCTGGGATTCAAGCATATGTCTTGAGTCGCCTTGCGAAATACAAAGCACTCACAGGCGGTGTGAAATTTGTCGGCTCGATTGCACGGAACCCAAGTGGAAAGATTTTGAAGAGGGTATTGCGGGAAGATGCCAAGAAAGAGATCGAGGCTGGACTTCTTAAGGCTAAGCTATAAGCTCAAGGTATAGGTAGAATAACTAGGTAGCACCAGCACCATTTTTGGAGTATTTCCTTTTGTATCGATTGGAAAATATTTCTGCGAGGCGAATCCCGACTACTGGCTGTCTAGATGGCGTGATATATAATTCTAACCTGCAAAAATCAACAGCTTGATGGAGGTGATCATTAGATATTCTTTGTTATATTTCGACGCCACGGGTTTGGTTTAAGGCTGAGAAAGGGAACTAAATTTCATTGGAAGAAAAAAAAGCATAGAATAAAAAAGTCATCGCCCGTGGGCGATCCGGCAGCTCGAGATCAAACGGCACTCGAACTGAGGATGGGGGGTTCCAGTTAAGCGGCGTACCAATTGTCGTACCCAGTGTCGCCAAAGACAACCGCTAGACCAAATGCCCGCCCATCCGAACATTTACACCGAACGGTGCAATATATCACGCGAAATGAGAACACTCATGAAACAATTTCACAAACCCTCTTCTCCAGCTTTGACACAATAAATTTCACAACGACATTGCACTGTCCTGCTTTGGCACTAATATCCTTTTAGAAGACTTTGAATCCCCTTGAATACTCACATCATATGCAGTTAGCGCCACTTATGTTGTAGATCATTGAAGTCCAGTTTCTTGTATGAAGAATTTAAAGTGGAGAACTGTGGAGAAGCCGGGTTCCGCGGCTGTAAACATATCTAACTATACCTATTTAGGTAGTAAACCAGCGGGGTAAGGGAAGTGCATGATTGACACTCTGTAGATTGGAATGGCGTATATCTAACTGGAGTAGTCCTGTGGAGTTGTTGTAATATTTGGAGTTTTAAAGCGAGCATAAGGTTGAATGCATCGATATTCTCAAAGGCATAGTTCTACATGGTTCCTAGACTGCTGGTCACCGTATCAACATTCAACATTAGTGATATGGTAATTTTCTCTGGTAAAACTACACCGGATCATCAAGTGCAATATACCAAGGGCCCTTCAAGACATTTTATTACCATGGTGGTTGACTTTACATGCTGTAGTGGGGAATCTTATCCACTACCTAGGTGCCTACATACGTATTGCGCAGTTTTATTGTATAGTCATGAAAGCACGCCTGGACGGAGAATACAGGTATACACACTAGGAGATAGATATAGGTTGACAATACACATTTCCACACCTCTCTCAGTTGACTTCTTAGGCATACTGCCTAGGTTCCTTTTTATGCAAAGCTGGGTATAAAGCTGAACTGCGAGTACTAAGTTAAGCCATATACATTTGAGCACAGCCTTGAGCGTTCCCCTCTTCAATACCTAGATGCGAGTCGGCTTTGGCGGCCCGAGATACAGTAGTAGTCTATTACCGCCAGCCCGCCGGTCCATAGTAAAGTTTTGACCGCCTAGGTTACCGCTCACTGTTCGTTACCTCAATTATCGAGTTCAAGGTGTGGATTCGTGCGATGCTGGTGTATTGGATTGTATAAAATACGTAAATTACTAAAAGTACTGCTGGCAAAACTTTTCCACTAGCGCGTCGGCGGTAATAGAGTGCCGTCCACGGGTATACCAGGTGATCCGGCCTCTGATCATTACCCGGACCCCGGACCCCAGACCCCGGATCTGGGTCAGTGAATTTATCCCCCGCGTCGTCATTTCTTCTCCAAATTTCGATACCAAAGGAACTGAGTGTTAGAAGCAGAATGTTGCGACGCGCAAGAAGAGCGCCATCCGCTTGCTCATGGTGCCGTACTCGCAAAGTGCGCTGCGATGCATCAATCTTCGGCTCTCCGTGTACCAGGTGTCGACAAGACGGTCGCAGGAGATGTATTCTTCTCAATAAGAATTCTAATCAGTGAGGCCGTGATCGTAAAATTCACATTAAGCATCCATATACTGACCTTTATCAGGTCCCCGGGGTCGGAAACCCCGGTGCCGTCGACGCACCAAAGCTCAAGGTCAAACAATGTGATCACTGGCCGGCACTCTGACGACCTGCGCCAGTCAAATAATCATCCAAATTTTCCCTCCCCTCTCCGCGAACATAGTCTCAGTCCAGATGACTGTAGCACGAGTTCATTCCAATCCTCCAATCTTCCGTATACCGCATACGCCTTCGTCAAGTCGCAACAATTGCTGTCGCTTCCTTCCAAAGATATAGAATTTCTCACATCCAGCGGCTGCTTGAGCTTGCCTCCATCCGATGCAATTGACGAGTTTGTTCAACAGTACTTCAAGCGCGTTCACCCATTGCTGCCTGTGTTGGACGAGGCTGAGTTCTGGCGCATGTATCTGAACAGCCAATCAACCGGCCCCAAAATATCTCTTTTTGTGTTACAATCGTTGCTTTTCGCAAGCTGCCAGGTCAGTTTCAAGTGATCCTTCTGGTAAGTCCCGCACTTGGACTAAATCATAATAGTTTGTATGTTTGGAGACAATTCATCAATGTGGATTTGATGATAGGAGGGATGCACGACAGCAGCTGTATAACAGAGCAAAGGTAGGCATATCCTAAATCAGGGGCACATTTGGCGTAAATAGGAATTGATCGCCCTGGATGTAGTTACTATTCAAACTAAGAACCGAAAACCGGTCTCATGCAAACGCGCAAGGCGCTGTTCTGCTTACGCATTATACCTCTGAGGAAGACCCCCAGGCTGGAAGCTTGTGGCTGACAAGTGCCATTGAGCATGCTATGGCTATTGATGCTCAGCCATCCTTACTGGTGGAAGATGTGCCAATATCGCTCAAGAAACGACTTTGGTGGTGCATCCTTCTTCGTGACCGAAGCTTATGCGTTGGCCTACGCCGCTGTCCTCAGGTTACTTCAATCGGCTTTTATGGATGGAATAACGGGCTGAGCATGGAAGATTTTAATGAAGAGTTGCATCAGTCTTGAGTCTACGACTATGAAACTAAGAAGCGTTTACTAGGCGCACTTCAGAAGCAGTGCGAGCTAGCAGTGCTACTCACAGATCTAGTGTCTTTGATATTCGCCCACCAAAAGTCTCCAAAAATCCCCCTCTCTACGATAGAATTCCAGGGTGTCTTTTTGAGGATACAAAATATCAAAAGATCCCTCGACGAGTGGAAACTGCCGATGCAGCCTCTCATTTCACCAAGCAAGGTGTCGACATCGGAAGGGGATGACGCAGTTGCAAGGTTGACTTGCATGACGTATATGTACTATCAGTTCGTGGGCCTTTTATACCCCACTGTCTTCAAACCTAACCAAGTGGCCGTCTATTTCTAGCGCAGCACGATTAGATCTGGCGCAGTATGCGGCATTTTTACTGGAAGAAAGCTCGTTCTACGCGGGAGACAGATACAGAAATCTGGTGCTAGAGATCAGTAATGACCTCAGGGATGGAATTGAGGGGTTGAGTCTCGTGATGGAACTGTTCAGTGTCAATGGATATGCTGATAGCGTTCCCGTTAGTGTGTCAGTACCTCTTCCATCTCTCACTTTTCACCCAGTCACAGAATGCCATTTCCAATGTTTTATTGCTAGACAAATTAGTTTGCTAATATGAACCGCAGGCTTGGATACGTTAGCATGCCGCTCGTACTGGCAGCTATAAATCTGAAGCTTTCCCCCTCCCGGAAGGAGATGGAGGCAAGACAGCGCCGTTTGAATTCTCTGATTCAAGTTATTCGTCACTCAGAGACACTCTACGATGTCGCTGATTTTGTTGCTATTGGAACCAACCATATCCTGCAACTTGCCTATACGACAACACAGAACCTCTTCTTGGAAGAGAAACCACCTCAGTCATATTCATCCGATAACATGAGGAGAGATAAGATTTTATCTAGCACCCGGCGCTCGACTAGAGCCTCGTTCAAACCAAATCGCCCAACGAGCTGGCAGGATGCGTTTATTCAGTGCCCGAGGGCATATCTTTTGATATCAACATCTGTGGACTATAATCTGTCAATCGGACGACTGCCATCCGTAGGTGACCTTCCTAGAATTGTTCGCGAGCTTCCAGCAATCGGCGTTATTGAGCGACTTCCGTGGCCATCTGATATTCTGCCATCGGAATCCTTGAGGCCCCTTGAAAACCACGTGAACCACTTACAGCAGCAGCAGAGGTTCTCTCCAAGAGTGCATTTATCCCTTCTAGAATGGAGAGCTGCCTTGGAACCCAGAACCCCCGAGACCGAGCTTGAGAAAACCCTCAGCCCGCAAACGGCCCAAATCAACTACAACTCATCACCAGATACATTTTCAGACTATCCCGCAACGCTTTCATTCATTATGGACGATCAACAGCAATACATCAACAGAGTAGCGGCACAAACGACTTACGGAAATACTGCACCGAATCTGAATTTCATGGACTTACGAGGTTGCCGCAGTGTATCAAACAGTGCGGCGGAAACTTGTGCTCGGAGAATTCCATTGGAAATTGTCGGTCAAGACTTGCAGACGGAAAGCCTGCTGAAGCAACCAGTCTTCGACACCCATGCTGCCACCTTAACCCATCCGGTCAAAGGGATTCCCTCCACAATTTTTGACTCGTTCTTTCACGAAGCATTTGGACAGAACTGGGCCGTTTGATGGAGCACACTTCGGCTAAATAATCACATAAACATTCTAGACATAATGATCAAAATCATGACAGCATCCGCAGCAAAATATTCATCACTTAGTTCGTCTGGTGGAGGTAAAAACATTCCCGGAGCCAGTGGCAGACGCAATTATGGGATCTCAGACATTGCCCGGTATGATTTTACATCTGCACAAGATTCGCGCCCTCATTTAGAAATCGAAGCGGTGACCAAGAGACGACATTTCAAGTCATCTTCAGGCTCATTTCCATCTTGGCCAGGCACCAATCGGTAATTTATTTATGCGGAAACTAAAGCCTGGGCCTGGACACGAACACACATGGCTAACACGAGACGTGTATGCAATGCAAGTTGAATCTTTCCGATGATTCCTCCGACGAGGAACCCAGGATTGGAAATCAATAATCGACTGACGCAATCTCTTGGCGAAGAGGATTATGCACCGATATCCCTTTTTGTGGACTCCTATTATTCCAACAAGGGAGGAAAAGTGGGTATATCCAAGGCGTCAGGGATGATCGACAAGGATCTACACCCACCCCACGCCGAGGACTCTTCCCAGAGTGGCGCAGCTTTAAAGGATCTTCGCGCGAACCCTTCAATCAAGGAGAGTTGGGGTACCCCGGCAATTAATTTCGGATGCTTAAAGTTAGGATCTCCCTTCAAGATAAGAAATTGGACACACATCAGTGACAGCATCCAACGTGGCATCGACATCCTACTTAATCCTTAACCCTTGCCGTCGGGTCCTATTCTTCGGAAATGGCGAATTCCAAGACTCTGAGCTGAACTACATACCTAGCTAGACCTCCCATGTGTTACAATAAGTTGCATACAATCGTACCTACATAGTGATCTCTCCGTCAATGCAAAGGAACTTCGAACTAGATCGCGAGGACCTAATTCGAGCATCGGAAGGAGTCGGCTTGCGCCTACAATTCACTTGGCAGCAGTTGAACTATACTTCGTACCAGGTCTTCGCCTGCATCCCCGATCTACGGGGATCAGGTGATGTCACCCTCACCGCAGGGAGTATGGTTAAACATAGTTTCAAGCCAAAACACTGCCCAGTCGGTGGGCTGGCCAATTAGAGATAATGAACTAAGCACATCCCCTTGGCATTATCATGTATTGTTTGCGGCTTCATGGAGTGACTGACCTTGGCTAGTCTGAAGATAACAATATCATCGGAACAAACACGACTCTCACCGCTTGGCATATGGTATTGCTTTTTTGGACGGAAATATTTTATCTTACCATTGAGCTCGAACACTAGTTTTTATTCCTTTTTTCCTTTTCGCAAAATACCAACTCACGATAGCCATAGAACTCACCAATGTGCTCGCTATTGTACTCGTTTTTGAGTTGGGCGTGTATTCGTGCAGCCCACATATCCAAAGGAGAATATGCCAAGATTTGATCCGTCAGCGCGACTCAATTCCTGAACTGCTCTGTTGTTAATGTAGTCAACCTTGTCAACGCCAAGATCTAGCATTCGAGGCTGTGTTATCGGAGCTCAACCGTTGGCACGTATAGATAAGACTCCGTAGGGATGAACCACACTAGTGATGAACCATTGATGCTGACAGAGATCTTTCTTGGCGACTAGTCTTACTGCAGCGCGTGGGGACCCCGAAAGGACTAGTGTTGGTGGATACGTCGATCCCTTGGCAAATATAGTCTACCTTTGACGTTTTCAGGGGCCAGAACAGGCGATAACTCTGTGTTCTAAGACGCGATCTCAGCCAAGCTAGCTATACTCCGTATGCATAGCTGCATATCAAACCTATAAATACAGGGGTAAGCGAGGTTAAATGAAATGTTGATAAGTCACACTAATTCCAAATTTCAATTCGGTCGACCGCCGCGTAGTGATTGTGAGGAATAGCCAATGAATGCCCGCAAAGCATAACATGGCGCCAAGAACCGACGTGAATAAATGCTGCGGATTGCTTCTTGGGAACGAAGAAGCCTAGGAGCCGGGTCTTGACAGCCTCCATTGAGCCAAGGTAGATCCTGTACCCCCGGCTTCCGAGGTCGTATTACAGCTTGATTTCTAATGGAGTATGGGGATGAATTACGCATTTGCCGAAGATAATCACGGCGCCAAGATAATGCCCAGATTCAGCTATAATGGGATCTGTGAGATCAACTTATTTTAGGATGGATGTTCATATTGGGCTACTGATTCTATGGAGATTTACCCACGCGATATGATCTAGATATGCCCGATAACCTACGTCAAAGTGCTTGCATACGCACAGTGTATGTACAATGAAGAGCCGTACAGAGTAGATCTAGATTAGGTAGTCCGGCTCCCGACGTGCCCCTCGGCGGTGTAACTAATACACGAGACGTATAGGGATGTGCCAAGTATCACTGTTTCAAGTCATCGGGGTGTTTTCTTATCTTTCTTGGCAAATATCCAGTGTATTTCTTTCATGGAGACGCTCGGAATGAGCCCGAAAATGGGTCAGCATTATAAATAAGGCTTAATCCAGGTGTATTTTGGCAATCTATTTCTTTCATATCAACACAGCTAAAGTGGAACCATCCAGGCTTGATTCTATTCATAATAAGCTTGTCCGACTTCAATCATATATACACATTTACAATAATCCAACCATGCACAACAGACCCCCTACCCCGTCGGGAGATATCGAGCCACTCACTACAATAGCCCACCGCGCCTCTGATAACCGTTCCATCTACCAGAACGAATTAACAACTGCGAGCTTTCGTTTGGATCGCCCCAATGAGGAAATCAAATATACACCGGGCTTTTGGTCTTCCGGGGGCAGCACAGCAGTGTCTATCTCTGGCAACCAGACAGAAGACAACACGGCGTGGTCGACAATTTCACGCCACTTCCGAGCAGATATAGACGCCACACATACAGATATTCCTCTTATAATATGTGGCTTCGTTGGTGGCTTGGTGGATGGGCTGTCATTTAACGCATGGGGCAGCTTTTCCAGTATGCAAACAGGTATGTGGAGTGTATAGTTACACAGTAGTCTCCGATGTAAAGCACACAGAGCTAATGACGCCACAGGAAATACCATCTTCTTAGCCTTGGGTGTTTCCGGCCAGCCAGCCTACCCAGCATATCTCTGGGCGAAGTCCCTAATCGCCTTGAGCGTCTTCATTGCCAGCAATCTCCTCTTCATTCACCTACATCGACTCTTGAGCCCACGACGCCGCTCAACTATGATAATCTCATTTGGCATTCAGACGATTGCCCTTTTAGTGACAGCAATTCTTATCCAGCTGGAAATCATCACCCCAAAACCCGAAGACCCCCGGGCTCCGATCGAATGGATGCAAGTCCTGCCGATTACACTTTTAGCATTCCAAGCAGCAGGCCAGATCTGTGCTTCCCGCGTCCTGTCCCTAGATGAAATCCCAACTGTTGTTGTGACAGCTATGCTGTGCGATCTGCTTGTCGATCCAAAGCTGACTGCAAAGTTAAATCCAAAGCGCAACCGTCGGGTGGGGTCTTTCCTTGCATTGTTTTTGGGCGCCATGACTGCAGGTGGGCTTTCTAAGACCACGGGTATGGCGTCTAGTATATGGCTTGCCATGTGTCTGAAATTGACTGTCACCTTCGGGTGGGTTGTTTGGCAGCAAGAGGGAAGGAGAAAGAGCGATTTGGATGTTTGACTTGGTTTTTTTTATTTTTACGTCGCCTATTTCAACGGGCATGTACACGAGCCTATACCACAGTCAAGTATAGCTTTTTTTGCTTTATTAAAATACCCAGTCTGTTTTCATCATCTATTACATTGATCGGTTCATCTTTTTTAGCTTGTCCATGCGATTCAGGTTATCTGTTCGAAAAACTAAGCATGTGCGTCCATACGTAGTACGTATTATCTCGCTCTTCTTCCTTTATCAGTTTCCTAGTTGGATGCGTTGCTATTCCAAACCAAACTCACATATACATCTTCCACGGCATTTATTAGCAAAGCCTTGCGCAAACAATTCGCCGGATCACCACGAAAGTCAACCCCACGCCATACACCTTTCCTACCGAACAAATCACTTCTCGCAGCAGGTAGCATCTCTTGACCTCATCCTTCTAATCCATTCTGCGCCACAAATCACGGCTAATTCTCACATCTGTCAACGACACACCTTCGAGTCTCGGTTCCGGTATCGCTTCTTTGCCATCGATACAAGCCGACTTCCTTACTCACAATGTCTTTGTCTTCCGAATTCGCGGACCAAAAGCTTTTGGGGCTCGTTCCTACTCTTGTTGACGAGGTTAACTACTTCTTGGCTTATGAATTTTCTTTGGGCCTCCCAGCTACTTAACGGTTCCCACGCTAAGCTAGTCATTATCCGCGCGACCCAGTTTGCCATAACTTCCAAGGATTGCTGTCACTTCAAACCTAACGCTGAACCTCAACATAGGATCGTATGGTCCGAGATCTGCGCCCCTACATCTGTCAATCGCCACACTTAGGCGAAGTCGCTCGCTTACACAGATTCGAATTCTATTTCGCAAATTACAAATTCGCAAACCTCGATCCAAGGGGAACTCAGATACCAGAGCTACCACTTGCCGATCATCATTTCCTCTACGACCATCAATACAAACAAGTATCTTGAAGATCTCTATCGTGCCCCGGCTCTTGGATCCGAATAGTATTAACTACTTGATGTTGGGTTGTTCCATGATATAATATGATACTTAAATACTCTGAACCACCTCAGCCGTCCGCATCTTGGGCGTCTACGCCACTTTTGTTTTGCTCACTCGAACCCTGGTCAAAGCCCACGAATAATATTCACCCACCCATCTCATGCCAAAAGACGCTTGAAAACATTGGTTAATCCCCAGACCATAAAGTGTATCGCCGATTATTTCTATGCAAGATTGGATACGTGTGGATATGGTGGATTACCCGACTTCAACACGCAACCTTTGGTTCTTATGGGCAGTGAACACCCCTCTATTCCGAGGATTGAGACCAACACCTTTCACTGTTCAACTCTCGTGAAATATCCTACGTTCACTGACTTATCATTACGTAGATCTAATTCCAAATGGCATATATCAGAAAATAAACTTTTTTGAACAAACTTCCTGTGGATATAACCAAAATCTATAACTGAAATCTAGTCTATGATTTTACTAAATGGCTATTGAAGCAGTACCCAACTGTACCACTCATTTGCTCTCCTCCGCGAGAACGAAGTGCAGGACTCCAGATTGTCCACTAGCGCGGCCCTTGGCCTCGGAGACATAGATGCACTTGCGGAAAGTCATCATCAACGAGTACAAGAAGCCCTCCTCCTTCTCCTCGTGGTAGTTTTCGCCGAGCATAGGCTGAATGGCCTTGGTGGCTCGCTCGGCGTTGTAGAAGGGAATCTTGCTGAAGAGGTGGTGGACGACGTGGTAGTCGATGATCTCGTGGAAGAAGTGACGGCCAATGAAACCGGTTGTGCGGTCAATGGTAGCCAGGGCTCCCTTGGTGTAAGTCCAGGCTTCGGCGGTGTAGTGAGCAACCTCGGGGTGAGTGTGTTGGAGGTATGTGATGGCAACTGTTGATTTTGTTAGTGCTTGTTCTAGAGTTTTTAAGGTAAAATTGAAAGGAAAGACGTACTCAGCCAGTGGTGGACCCAGAGGTAGGGGATAACGTAGAGGAAGAAGACGTTCCACCCGCCAATGATAGATCCGGTGTACCAGACGATCGAGCCCATGATCAACAGTCCGATATCGGAGTAGGCAATCAACTTCCACTGGGCAGCAGTGAAGATTGAGGCGGATGGGTTGTAGTGGCTAGCAAACTCGACCTTCTCGGTTCCGTCAGGACCACTCTTGACACCAGCAGTCACATTCAGAACGAGGTACATCTGCCATCCGAGCAATTGGTGTCCAATGAGCTGCATGAGAGAAACAATAGGAGTCTCCTCGGCGAGGTCCTTCAGCTGCTCAATACTGACGTTACGCTTAGACGCCAACTCATCCTCGGTCCAAGGGACGAAGACGGTATCCTTCTCCATGTGACCGGTGTAGCGGTGGTGGCGGGCGTGGGTAATCTTCCATGAGAAGTATGGGACCATGAGGAAGGAGTGTGTAGCCCAGCCAATGAAATCATTGATACCCTGGTGCTTGGAGAAGGCGCCGTGGCCACATTCATGGGCAAGAATCCATAGTCCTGTGCCGACACAGCCTTGGAAGAAGCCGTAGGTAGCCCAGGCAACAATGCGCAGAGGCAAAGAAGGGAGGAGATGGATGTGGAGGGCAGCGTAGATCAGAACTGAACAGTAGATGATATCCCGAGCCAGGTAGAGGAGAGAGGTAGTGAGGGATGAATCAAAGCATTCCTTTGGGATTGCATCTTTGAGGGCTTGCAAGCTAGGAACTTCGGTTTTCTGTAGAAGTGGGATATTAGTATATGTGTCTTGTTGGAATGATTATTATCCCATACCTGTTCCGCCTGCTTAAGATGCTGCCTTTGTGTTACAGCCATTTTGAAGTGATGGATTTAGAGAAAGAGATAAGAAAAAAAGATGTCGAGGATTTGAGAGTATTTTTTATCGCGTCAATTTTCTTTTTTTTTTTCTCTTGCCCCTTCGCCCCCATGGAGTTATCCCCTAGTCTCGAAAACAAAAAAGGATACTGACCAATCCCCTTTTTCCAATTCTTTTCCAGAAGACTGTCAATTTGGGCCCACCCACAAAGGGATGGCAGTCTGATTGGTCAATCGACTGGACGCGCTTGTTCCGTGGATTCACCTTGCACTAGCCTCATTCTTTTTTTTTCCTTTTTCAACGTTTCTGGAGCTCAACGAATTTTCAGTCTATTGGATTGGGGTTTTTTTAGAAAATACGACTGGCAAAAGGTCATTCTCTAGCATAGAAAATGTTCCCATCGGATAATGCTACCCCTTACTCAAACCCCATAAAAAATCTACAAAGGCTACTGGCATTCGGTGTTTGTTTGATATCCACACGGGAAGTCTCGTACACCCCTTTTCGACCTCGGGAGAATCTATAGGGATCCACTAAAAGCCAAGGTTGGGGAAAAAAAAAGAAAACTTAATAAACGGCTTGGCGATTACCACGTTGTCCTACTGGCTCTGTTAGGGGGTATGTAGGTAATAGCAAAGTGCACAGCCCTCAAATTGTTGAATGCTCAATTGCAGTTTGACCCAACATAAAATTATCAGCAACATGGTCAGCAAATTGGCCATTGGAGGAAATTGCTACTATTTCAAGCTTTTTCCGCCTAACGTTGTACAACATGCCTAACAATGTATATGTAATCTACTTGTATACGGACTCTGGACGATGCTGATCTTAGCTTGAAGGAAGTTTCAAAAAAAGTGATCTCTCATAGGCTTAAAATTTGCCTAATCATGAAGCTATTAAAAGTAACGTATCATTTCACCCGGGTGGTTGTTTTCCGAAATTTTTTTTATTTACTGTTTTCGTGTTGCGCAGTTCTGATATGCAGGCCTATTAAAAGGGGGAAATACGATAATTTTAAAATGACCATACGAGCCAAGGCTGTAGCACATTTGGATTGCCTACTCTATATATATCGAAGCCCCGAGAAAGGGAAATCTCTGGGGGATCTCGCCTCCAAATATACTACCCCGTACCTTCTTAGGTTATTTAAAGTTACATAAAGTTTGCAAAGGCCTCCAGGGTACAGATTCACGTGATGGCATTAACATACCGCCTTTCGGACAAGACTCGGGAATCACATGAAGAAAAAGACTGCATGTGGTGTCCAAATTATTGGCATGTGGAAAGAGACGGAGTAGCGCACAACCCCCCGGAGGACACAGGCAATTATTTTGCGTTCAAGATGAAATTCCGTTTTAGTCTTAGATCACTCGCCCACTTGCTCTTCGTTTAAACTCGCATTCCATTGCTCAACTTGCCATCATGGTACTTTGTTACTCCTTACTTTTTGTACTTGAGGTGATCAACATTCTACCCAACCATAGATATATGATAAGTCACACCAGCTAGTTTTCCATAAATTAAAATTATATTGGTTTTTCTCCCATCTATCAATGCCCGATCACGGAATGTTTCGATCCAATCACAATAATAAAAATACCCTACATCTGAAAAAAAAAAAAAAAAAGCACGTTATTGATATCGTTCTATTCGTCAGAATACTCTGAAGCGGGTCACTAGTCACATGCTCATGAGGGTCAAGGTTGCAAACTGTCTGCCTTCAGTGGCTATCATTTACTATGTTAGATAACTATCACATGTGCTTAAAGAGTACAGAGTAGTATTTGTGTTATCATTAAAGAATGTTCACCCTCGGACCACATGGAATAAATCACTATCTATGGCGTAATCCTGCTCGCTTTTTTTAGGTTTTTCCTGCCGTGAATTCTCGTGATAGCCAGGTCGGATAAAAGATAAGCCCTAGGAATCAATGAAGCAATTTGGGGCTGGATTTTACAGAAACATCATCGTGTGCATGTACAGTGATAAAATGGCGAAAAGGGAAATATGTAATATGACTAAATAGCTACCTATGAAGATCTAGGAAAGATGATATCTTCAGGGAACAAACATTCCATCCAAGGACCAGACAACAAGACATTCAAACATTGGGGAACTGGTCCATATCACGATTAGCATGTGGGATATAAGGCCCTGAAGGTCAAATACTCGTCGCATTTGAACTCAGTATGTGTCTACCACCCTTCACCTCATCCTCAGAGCAATGAAGACAATTTGTTTCATCGACGGTATTGTTGAGCTTGTTGAACCTCATCCAAAAAACGATTGTCTGGAGAGCCAGCGCGACTGCCGGTGCCCCCCAAATCCATAAAAGCCAGGGATCCTTCGTAACCGGAATCAGAATTTCACCAATTGCACTCGAGAGAGCACTCATAAATAGGAAGATTGCCACAACCAACCCCTTCATACTTGGAGGTGATCGCGCATAGGCCAGTTCGTATGCAGTAACGTTGCAAAAACACTCGCTCAATGATCCAAGAACAATATTCGGAATCTGCCACCAAATACTGATAGGAGCAACCTTGTCGCACGTTGATGCGTAGTACCCGCATGGCGATAGCTTGTATACCTTCCATTGCACCAGAGTGCCTATAATGCCGGAAACAATCGCCAAGCAGAATCCAAATGTGATACGGGTGATGGGGCCCACGTGGATCCTATAACGGTCCAGAGTCGGGTACCCCACGAAAGTCAAGAACGGGATCGCGACAATGATCGTCAGTGCGCCGAAGTTGTTCAGGATATCATTGGGCGCCCCGTTTGTGATCATGGCGGCGCCTTGGTTTGTTCCGACTGAGCCAATACCGCCGATGTTGAGGGCCCAGATTGGGAAAAATAAGAACACATCGCATGCGCCTGTTATTAGATGCACAGTATCAGATGTGAAAGATCGGGTGCTGGGGTGCTGTGATAGATGCAGGTGCAAACTCGAAGGGATGAACGAGCAGATTATGATTTGATAAACTTACCGACAGTCCTCGCAACATCATTCACTGCATCCCTTGTCCAGTCCACAGTGATTCCGTTACTGCGCAGAGTGTTGGGACTTGCTGCATCCCAGAAGTTCGTACGCCATACTTGAAACTTGTGCTGCTTGAGCGCTGTCGTTGTGATCTTCCACGCTTGGGTGAGCTCAGATCCTCCACTGGGTGGCTCTTTGTATGTTCTATTGCGAACTGCTAAAAGCAGAATTGGGAGTAACAAGTAAATGACTCCTGTCAACAGGAAAGAGAGCCAGTACCCGACATACTTGGCAGAATATGCAGTAGCAAGCATAAAGAGAGCACCAATGTTGACAAAGCCGTAAAAAATAAGCATCGTTCTTGTGATGGTGGCATTTGGATCGACGATGACCTTTTCACCAGACTTCAGCTGCTTAGTGTATGCTTTCCTGTGGCGAATTTGGTCCAGAATAATGGGTGAAACGTTCGGTTTGAAAATTCCAGCTCCAACAGCCAATATCAGCATGCCGAGGATGAAGGGTGGAGCGGCATTGGATGGGCCCTTCTGAAGAATGGAGGGAATAGCACCGATGATTTGAATTACATGAGCGATGCCACAAATGACCACCCCGACCATAATTGCCTTGTACCGGCCCACATAAACATCGGCCCACCAACCGCCAAATATGGGAATCACGTAGGCCAAGAAGACGAACAACAGTGTTAACGCGGAGCTTGTTTGGAGCCCCATGCCCAGCGCCCCGGCTGTTTGTTGAGTTCCCCGTGGGGTAGCGCCGGCTCCATTGCCGCCTACAAATACCTGGTCAACGGCGAGGAAAGACCATATTCGAAAGATTATCACGCACCTTCTGGAAGTGGAAATTGGATAAAGTTGGAAAATACCGTCTTGGCTCCATAGTAGGATGCACGTTCGGCGAACTCAACCAGACAGAGTGAGAAGGAGACAAGAGGCAGAGTCCCTGCGACTCGGCGCAACGTCTGGGCCTCGGCCTCTGTGGGAACAGGGAAGTCGTCAAGTTGTGCATTCCTTATGATTTCAGTCCTGGCTTGTTGAGACTTTTCCACATCCCTAGGGGGTGGGATGGTTGCTTGCTCAATTGATTGGGTTTTGGTCATTGCTAACAATAGATTTGTTACTCTTGAGAAAAAGAAAGGTTTATGTGATGTTAGAACCTGTTCTCTTGTGGAACCCAAGATAAAGGGATACAGGACCCCTTTGCAGAAGCAAGGATTGAAGTCACAGGACAATGTGTCTCACTGTAGTAGTAGTTAGAGTAGTACAGATAAAATGATACTCCATGTATTCTGAGGTAGATTACCTGCAAATACCAGGAGGTATCGAAATGAATTGTGAAACTATCTAATCTCCTAGTTTCTAGAATATAGAATGAGCCCTCTTTATAGACTTTATTTCCAACCCTATAGATAACTGCTTACTTCGTAATAGAGATAGAAAGAATGATAATATCATCGTATTCTATCATTTGACAGCAACTAAATGCAGCCCGAAATGAAATGCAGTCCTACGATACGATATAATCGTGCCAAGCTTACCACCAATACACGCACTGTGTATTGGTGCGCGCCACTCAACGATAATTTTCAGTCAACAATAAATTATTCCCTCTTTACTACCAATTTATCCTACAACCACAATGTCAGACCAAAATAAATTGATAGAAAGTCAAATCCAAAAGGCTTATCTTGCCTATAAACGACAAAAAAAGCCCAATATCGCGAAATTGGCTCGAGAATTCGAGGTTCTATACCAACGACTACGCGCCCGAATCCACGGTCGTGAAAGCAAAAACACGACCACCGCCCTAAAAAGAGCTCTTACTCTAGTTCAAGAGAGAATACTAGTTATATAGATCAAGACTGTATACACTTCTAGTGTTAGAATCCCCCCTTCTACAATTGTAGACGCTGCAAATAGGATTTCAAAGCGCGCTGGATCCGACCGGGAGGCTGTTAGAGAGAATTAGGTCTACCGCTTTATAGCCCGTCTCCTACCAAATATACCCTATATTAACCCGAAACTTAGTGAAAAAGTGAGGGACGATAGTGAGCAATATAGGCCTCTCTTTCTCTAGTTTAATAACCTCAAATTGGTACTTAAAAAGTACGATTTTTAACCCTATAAGATCTATAATTAGACCTCATTAAAAACATTTAGAGGGCCGACATCTCCCGCCCTCCGCCCGACCCTCCGCCCTCTGAGGGCCGCTCGAGGGCGGCCCTTATCGGCCCTCATTTGTATAAAAAAAGTTGACCTTTCCTAATTTAGATGTATAAAAGTGCTAACTTATCACTTTAAATTACGGTTATTTAACAGTGTTCTGGTTTATATATTAGATTTACAGTCTATTTCTTTATCAGCATCGAGAAACTTTATGAAATTGAGTTGTATCACGATAAATCATAGTAGGTAATAATGATATTATATATTCTTAGTATCTTTAAGTGTATTAGTTGTTATCAATTTTAAAAGTTATCAATTTCGGATGATAGAGTTATAGAAATAGGCTTCCGCAAGACTGGGTTTTGGGTCCAAAGTCCCGACCCGGACCCAACCCAGTCTGGGTCTGGGTCGAAAGTCCCTAACCCAGACCCAACCCAGACCCAGTCACTGGGGCCCCAGAAAACCCAGTAAAACCCCAGTTCGACCCAGTTTGTGCATAAAATTTAGCATAATCTTTTAAATAACATACCGTCATTTTCCTTTGTTATAGTTCCAACATTGAAATACTTCAATTTTCACTATGAAGATAAAGTAAATTGTAAGAAATCTTGTTGTTTTTGTAAGAAGCATATCTTGTTTAGGGTTAATTACTTCATGAATTACTTAATTTCACATAGGAAGGTAATGCCTGTTAGCTGATTGGAATCTAGTGAGAATATAAAGTATATCCGCTCTGCGAATATATATTTTCAATATCCATTACTAGTATAGTAGAGTTTCTGACCGCGGTCAGAAATCCAGTCTTTGACTGCGGTCAGAAATTCAGTCTTTGAAGAGATAGAGAGGCTTTTATCTATACTTGGATATTCTAATCTTTATATAACTTTTGTTGAGGTTTACCAAATAATTGGAGTGGATATACTATACTCTAAGGCAGGGTAGGATAAGAATTTTTAGAAAGTCTTGATGAAACTGGGGTGGGAATTAGGGTTTGACTAGGTTATAACTGGGTTATTACTGGGTTAACTAGGTTACTACTGGGGTTTGGCTGGGTTTTCTCAGGGGGTTTACTTAAGACCTATAATAATAAACCAATCAAAGGAGTATAATAATTTACTCTACTTGATATATTAATAATCCTAGATACTCCTATAGCTTAAGTGCCTTTCCACTTTTGTATATTGAAGAATTCCTCCCCTTATATATATTGTTCATTTTTCTGATACTATATCTCAAAGCTAACTTTCAGATTTTCTATTATCCCTCTATAGTGGGGATCTTGATGATTGTTTATTTCTTTCAGCGGGACAAATCACTCTATCTACCAGTCAATTGTCAATTGACACAAGCTTCCGAAGACCAGACGATCCCCTCCTTATACTATCTTTATTAAAACGCGTCGGACCCGACCGCAGGAAAGGGTTTATCCTATATAAGACAATGTTATATAACTATTTTGTGGATTGGTGGTTAGCGACTAACTATAGGAGGAAAAGCAATATCAAGTGGGATTTAACCCGCTATACAGAAATCTGGAACTGCTACCATCAGGTAGCCTAGGTTATAGATAGTGCACCAAAGGTTATATATAAACGATATAGAAAAATTCTAGAGTATCCTTATACTCTAAATCCAAACAATACAGGTAAAGCCCAGTATTATAGTACATCGACTATCCAGAAACATCGAAAAACAGCTGGTTATTTACGGTCGGAAAAGGCCAAGAAGTCAGAGATTATAAACTTTCTACAAACAGAGGTATATCTTAAACCCAAAACCAAGCAATTATACTAATCACTGATTTATATTTACTTAGAGGGAAACTGCAACAAGTATACCGTTCGTACAATAAGATTGGGAAGAGGATATCCTCTAGTTTCTTACGCTGAACCGACTACCGTTCTATCTGATTGAGTATCTATTATTCAAACATCTTATCTATAAAGCGCGATCCGCCCTATCCCCTCCAGTGATCCTATCGGCCGATACTATCCGCCGCCGACTAGATAGTCTAGTCAAAGACCGGTAACAACGTATCCTTTGTACACTACCTCCTAGCTCGAAGATATCTATTGCGCTTAACTGCTGGATATCTCTATTCTCCTAGGCGTTTATAGCTATCACTGGCTATTTTATAGACAGTGATTGGGTTTATCGTGAGGTACTACTTAGGTTTAAGCCGCTTTATAGAATATATACCGGCTCTTACTTAAGTAGTATTCTTATAGAAACCCTAGTGGAGTATAATATTGAAGGTAGAGTATTCGGGTTAACCACAGATAATACAGTAAACAATAAGACAATAGCCACTTCTCTTCAACAGGCTTTACCCTATAATACTATTATCACCCGAATTCTATACCTTACCTATATTATCCAGCTTAGCCTAGGTCAGCTTCTTACTCGGATTAAGGCAGTTCTATTGAACGAATCAGCCGAGATAAGGTGGACTGAGAAGCAGTTAAGGCTAGCCTAAGAGAATGCGAAGCAAAGTCAGATATCCTCTACACTGAACAAAGTGCGTTATCTTGCGATTTATATCAATGCGAGTCCCCAGCGCCGAGAGACCTTTTACAATCTTCAGACAACAAATATAAAGATTGTCCCAATCTAGGATATAAAGACACGATAGAATTCTATATTCCTTATACTTCGACGGGTAAAGAGACTACGTACAATCTTCTCTCTGTTCTGTACAGAGTACGATTGTGAGGAGATACTACTCAGTGAGCAAGAGTGGTGTCAAATCGACTATCTTCTTTATCTCACCGAGCCTTTCTTTGATTTTACTATACAGCTATCAAAGACCCAAGATATCACTACCTATTATATCTTTAAGATCTACAATAAACTGTTTGATTATCTTAAGCGATTATAGGCACAGCTACGCCGAAAGCGCGTTCTATAGAAGAAACAGATATTAGAGGCCCTTGAAGCTGGTCGATCTAAACTGGATAAGTATTACTCCTAAGCAGATAATATTCAAGGAAATATCTACGCAATTAGCACAATGCTTACACCAGTCAATAAATTCAAATTCTTCCTCTCCAGTGATTGGGATCAGAAATAGCGAGATTCTTATCGACTTACTTTTAAGGAAGCTCTTATTCTATACTAAGCGTAGGTAAGCACTGGTGATTGTGATCTCCAGAGCTCTTCAGTGATAGCTCGGTTAAGCTCAAGGCTTAAAGAGATACTTAATAGAAGCGATATACAACCACGGGCAGTTACTGATAAAATCAGCCAATATCTTAATAGTGGTAAGTAGATTCTAATATTTAGAAACTTCAGATACTAATCTATAGATAGATACAGTTTCTGTTAGGCCGCTTACCTTCTGGAAAGAGCACTAAGATCGCTTTCCGGCTATTGCAGCCCTTGCGCGTGATACCCTTTTATTCCTAGCAACTGGTGTAGGAGTTAAACGCCTATTTAATACTGCTCGAGATATCTGCCACTACCGTCGTGGTAGGATAAAGAGCGCGACCATCGAGGCCTTAATAATATTTCTTTATACAACAAAGTTTGATATAGATAAGCAGGAAGCAATACTTCTTGAGAAATTCTTCTCGTATAATAAGCTTGAGGCTGCAAAAGAAGAGAGGGAGGATAAGATTGATAAGATAGAGGTTAATCCAATCAGTGATACAGAGGAAGATAATAAAGTGGATAATAACCCAGAAGATCAACTGGAGGAGGATAGACCAACTGAGTATAGTTATCCTTACCCGCTATCATTACCACTAATATATACACAAGCACGAGTATTAGGGAGAAAGCGTAAAAGCAGGGACGATAATACATTTGAATACCATTAGCCTGATAAGCAATCCTGAATTTAAAACCTTTTTTCACCCTCTTATTAACCAAATCTGAACATGATCGAGTAAACCAAATACCCAAAATTACAACCCAAAAATGTACAAGTTATACA